TTTACCGGAACCAGTTTCTGCCTGAATGAAAGCGTCCGAGTCGTCTTTTACTAGTTGTGCAACAGCCTTTGCCTGGATAGCTGTCGGAGCCTTGATGCCCATCTTTTCGAGGAGGTGGCGAGCAACTTTTGGCGATAGGCCTAGGGAGGTGAATGTGTCGAGTTCAGAGCTTAGGGGGGGCGTTGGAAGGTTGTATGGGTTCTGCGTCCTCTGCGTCCTCCTCTTCCTCGACGGGAGCNNAGTCGTGGCAGTCGGGTTGTATGTGAACAGAGACGAGATGACCTCCTTCGGACGTTGTCTGGGGGCATTGTTGCTGTCTCTCGGACCGGTGCGGCCAGTGGTATGTGTAGGCTTGTATTCACCTCCGTCGGTCTTTTGGCGCTTGAAAGGGCGAGGTTCTGAGTTTGAACCTGAGCGCACATCGTTTCTCGCGTCATTCTCCTTCTTGTAGTCCGGGTTGCTCTTGTTCTGGCCGTATTGCAGGGCCTTCTTCGCAGTCAAACGATCCTTCCAGCGGCCGCCCGTGTATGCGGTAGTTTTGGGAGCCCACGGTTGATCGCCAACGGCGAAGTTCAGAAGCATTCCATCGTCGGCCATGGTGAGTGATATGTGTCGACACAAAAAGTTGATGCAGAGTCTGGAAAATTAAACGGGAGAACTCAAGAAACTCTTCGCAGATCTGGGGTACACGAGCTCGGACCAGGCAAATGTCCGCATTCTCTCCCGAGCTGCCTTGCTGCCTCAGTCATCTCTACTTATCGCAGTCCTCTCGACAGATTCTTTCAGATCAGACTGAGATGCTGCTGCAAGTCGCTTGTGCCCCGAGTATTCAAGGTGGTATCCGGATTCGTCAAATTGCCTGGCTTCAGTCCATTCTCAGCGGCACTTCTATTGGCTGCACGAGATTGCTCCCCAGCCACGCGCAGCTGTTTAACACACAGTTTCCCATTTCAGCTGAGCCCAGCAAGCCCACTTGCCAGCTTTTGCTGGTAGACGACCGTCTATCCTCGCTCATCGCCGAGCAGCTATGTTTCAGATGTGCCATTGATTGCTGATCTGCGTATGTGGCAGCACTGAGAGTCTGAGACAAGAGAAACCGTTGAACCATGACGTGTGTTGAAAGCAACATGCTTTGATGCGTCCTGTGCCGCTCTCTACCAACCTGCATAACTTATCAAGAAGAAAAAAAACTTGCATCCTAGTCCCTCTTGCTACAACTCACACAGCTCTCCAGCATGGCCCAACGAATGCGAGCAGTACAGTACACCTCGGTCCAGGGTGGCCTTGAGAGGAACCTACGTTATACCGAAGAGGTAAGTGATTCGCTTTTCTCTGCGCCTTTTCTCTTCTGCACGTGTGTAACCAGATGCTGATAAGAACAGGCACTAGCACCTCAGCATGATGAACAGATGCAACGTGGCGATCACATTATGGTCGAAGTCATCTCTGCTTCGATCAATCCACTGGATTGGAAGATGCCCGAGACCCCTGTCATCGGCAAAGCCTTGACTTACTCTTTCACTTCGTCCGCCACGATACCCGGCATGGACTACTGCGGAAGAATCAAGTCGACAGGCTCCACTATCGATAGCTTAAGTATCGGCGAACTAGTCTATGGTCGCTTGACCAGACCTACATCTTCAGGCACTCTTGCTCAATATGTAAATCCGACCGACGTCGACAGCAACGAATCAGCTACTAATCTGAACTAGGTCAACATCGACCCTGGAACCTGTATTCCCCTGCCAGATGGAGTGAACCCAGATCATGCTGCCACGATTGGTATTGCTGGCGAGACGGCTTACCGTAGTATTGTTCCGAACGTGCAGACTGGCGACAGAGTCTTCATCAACGGAGGTTCCTCAGGCACAGGTACATTTGGAATCCAGATTGCCAAACTTTTGGGCTGCCATGTCACTGTTTCCTGCTCAACATCGGCCATCGAGCTCTGCAAGGATCTCGGCGCAGATGAGGTCTTTGACTACACAAAAACTGACCTTGTCGCCGAGCTTATTGAAAGCGGAAAGACCGAGCCGTTCGACCTTGTAGTTGATGACGTTGGTCAGCCTGATGATCTTTACAAGAACTCGCATCTCTATCTTAACCCCGAAGGCAAGTTCATCTCGATCGGCAGCAAAAACGACATTGCCTCGCTAGCGGCACGCACACTTCCATCCTTCTTGGGTGGTGGTAGACGCAGATCTGAACAGGTTCATGTTTTGCTTGGAACCCACCGCGATGACTTGGTACAGCTGGGAAGATGGATGGCCCAAGGCAAGATCAAGGCTGTCATTGACTCGACCTATCCCCTGGCAGATGCGGCAGAAGCATATGCAAAGCTGAAGGGTGGTCACGCACATGGAAAGATTGTGATTCGAGTGGGCGCGAAGCAATAATGAGCCGAGCTTTGAGGTCTCTCGCATGTAGCATCATTATACTATACAAATTTTAATTGGATCTTTACCATAGCCGCCATGGTGCATGAGACCGAGTGTGATAAGAAGCTAGGCGTATTTTGAAGCACAAGCATGGGTATTGCCCATACTCAAAACCACCGCGTACTGTCCATACTCGACGACAGTCAATTGCAATTTTCCACTTGCCAAAATGCTGACAATGGGTTGAAAAACACGACGTCGACCTCGCAGCGCGGGGACAAGCAATTGTAAAACCAAGCAAAGCTACCATTGACCATCCAGCACAGTCAAGCAGCAGAGCGCGACAGCATGGCTTTCCCGAGGCTCTGTTCCTTCCAAGGTATACACTGCTTCCTTATAGCTCTTCCAGAATACATCGGCTCACAGCTCATACTAGTCTCGAAATGTCTCCCGTATACACCAAGTGTCGCGAGACGTGCGATACACACCTTTCGCGAAGTCCAGCCCCTCCGCACGTTCAGAAAAGAGCTTCGGGCATCGCAAAAGACAGTGGGCTTTGTGCCGACCATGGGCGCATTGCACGAGGGCCACATCTCGTTAATGCGTCAGGCTGCTGCTGAGAATACCGATGTCTTCGTGAGCATCTACGTCAACCCTACCCAATTCGGCGTCAACGAGGATCTTGACAGCTACCCAAAGACATGGCAAGAGGATATGGACAAGCTACAGGCTCTCAACAAGGAATTGAATGGTCAGACTGGTTCTGGACGCATCACTGCTGTGTTTGCACCCATCACTAAGGTCGTGTACCCGACACTGCCGCCATCATCCGAGATCACAGGGCCGGGGTCCTTCGTCACAATCACCCCCTTGGGGAGCCTGCTTGAAGGTGCCTCACGCCCAGTCTTCTTCCGCGGTGTTGCTACCGTCTGTATGAAGCTTTTCAACATTGTCATGCCTGAACGTGTCTACTTTGGACAAAAAGACGTTCAGCAAACGGTTGTCATCAAGCGCATGGTCAAGGACTTCCACCTCGACACTGATGTCAAGATCGGACCTACAGAGCGTGAGGCTGATGGCTTAGCTTTGAGCTCGAGGAACGTCTACCTAGGCGCAAGGAGAAGGGAGGTGGGTGTGGTCTTGTCGCGTGCTCTCAAAGCCGCTGAGAAAAAGTACTTGCAAGGGAAACGTCTTCGTGCCGACATCTTGTGGCCTGCTAATGAGGTCTCGTCAAGCAAGATGATGGAACAGGATGACTTGCCTCCGTCAAAGCGTGCGCGAGTTGAAGTGGACTACATTTCTCTGGCCGATCCTGACACCATGGAGGAGATCGAGGTTGTGGATGCCTCGAAGGGTGCCATTCTTAGTGGAGCTATCAAGATGCTGCCTCTTGAAGAACCTCAAGAAAGAGAGGATTGCGGCCTGGGAGGCGGCGCTGTCACCGTCAGATTGATTGATAACATTATCTTACAGCCGATAAAATAAACAGCTAATACAGGGTAACACCGGACCCAAGGACAACTTGTCCAAGAACAAAATGCTCTCGTGAAGATGCATCATGTGTTTGGACATTCTCAAAAAGGGGATCGACGTATCTGTGTGGTGCCAAAGGTGGTAGATCGACAGACCCGATTTACAACCAACCTTGTGTTCCTTTGGAGTGTTTGATATGCTGAGAAGATCGAATCAACAAAACAACGGCAAGTCGGTGGAAAATGTCGCCGGCGAGTGCTGAAGATGGTTCGTCGATCCCTGCCGAGACTCTTGAAAGTCCGTAGCGGGGAAGCCTTTTTCAACACCTCATGACGATGTTGGTGCATACCTGCATGCTCAATCCTTGGTTATGCTGCCGTTTGACTGCAAGAACAACGAGGCTTCCATCGTGTCGTTTGCACGGCTCACTGCCTGATGTTACACAACTTGTTCCATTCCGTAGGCTGCCAGCCGTGCGACGCAGCGGTGGACATGTGTCTCGGCCTTTCGAAAGATGAGAATTTCATTCTGGTTTGGACCAGAGAGATTCGACAGGAAGAACAACAACAACAACGAGCAGAAGTGCCTCTTTAACAAGCCACTGCCAGGCACAAGGCCCACAGAAGTTGCGATGATCCTGGTCGAATCATCCACAGTACATGACTCTTACGTACATCGGCTCTCCAACTCGAACACCTCGACCACGGGGCAACATCAATGATGCCACTGCGTGTGCTACCCTCCCTTAGCAACAGCCCAACTCTGTTGGTATATCGCCTCTAGGCGGGACTAGTCAATCGGGCAACCGGCATCAACATCCCACCGATGGATGCCTTTCATGCGATGCGTAAGTGTGGTGGAGTAAGTGGTGAATGTTCTAACCTTGGTTTGCCCTCTCGCTCGCGTGGCTGTACTCGTGTGTTCTTCTTCTCCATCTCTCCCCAGCCACTGCTTTTTCTTCTCCTGCATTCTTGACAGCTCGTAGTGATTTCTGATGGTCAGTCATGTCCGAAACGTTTCTGCATTTGCATGTGCAAGGACAGCAAGTCTGTTTGCAAGAAATGAACCTAACGAGGTGTCCAGGCTTCCGTCCATGAGAAGGCGCCGTATCGGCCAGAAGCCCAAGCTTTGGGTGGTATACCAACCAAGATGGTCGACATACCAGTATGTGCTGTCTTTATGGTCCTTTACATAGTTGCTGGTGCTTTGCACATGGGAACTTTTCAGAAGAACAAGAAGGCCGGAAAGAAATTCATCTTTGGCGGAATGATGTTTGGTAAGATAGCACACTTCTATTTGATCCAACACCCAACAGCATAGCTTACTTCTGCCTCTANNGGTCTCTGCAAGATCCGCATTGTAACACTGAGTCTTCGAATGGCATGGGCATGCTACCCTCGCAATATCCGTTTAGGTATCGCGGCGCAGGTCTTTGTCAACATTGGTGTCGTCTTGCTATACTTTGTCAACCTCTTCTTCACACAGCGCATCGTCAGAGCTCAACATCCCAACTTTGGTTGGAGCAAGGCTTTCTCACCACTGATTCCTATGATATGCGTCATCACCGTCTTGACAATCATCGCGCTAATAGTTGGTGTCATTCAATCCTTCTACACCCTGGACACCAACATCCATCGCATTGATCGAATCATTGAGCTTTATGGATCAACAGCATTCTCCGCTATCGCCTTTGCTCCCATCTTCATTGTCACCCTGTCGACACTCCTTCGAATGGTCCCGGGCATACGCGGTCAAAAAGCACAGGACAAGTTTGGAGAAGGCAAGATGAGCACAAAGATTATCATCGTACTGGCAAGCTCGGCCCTTCTGACTCTTGCCGCCTCCATCAAGGCCGGCACTGGTTATTTGCCACCCATCGCTCTAGTTGACAACAGCAATCCCTCGATAACCGAACCTACTCCCTGGTACTTCAACCGCGGCATATTCTACGCCTTTGGCTTTGGAGTTGAGATCATCATCTTGTTCTTCTTCATGGCCGTCAGGGTAGACAAACGCTTCATCATCCCAGACGGCGCCAAAGGACCCTACAGCTACGGCGGCGGCTTCGTCTTTGCAGGCGAAAGCGGAAACGAAAAGTCCAAGTTGGGCCAGCGCGACTCTACCCGCAATCTCACAGGCAGTTCGCAATCGTTGCAGTCATGGGGCGGATCGACCCGTCGTGGCAAGAGTGGTGCTCCGTCCATCATCAGTTGGGGTGGTATCAGTCAAGCGGATACTGAAATGGGCATCGGCGAGGATGGTATCGAGCCTGTGCCTTATGTGACTGTTGACGACGGCGGAATCGCCAAGCCCGCGAGCATTGGAGGTGCTGGACAGGAGATGGGCTGGGATTCAAAATCTGGCAAGTGGAAGCTAAGACCCGTCTCCACCATGTCGGCCGTCTCGACCGCTACGCCAGTATTGGCCAGAGAGGATGTCTAAGTGGCGGATGCCATCGTTCAGGACGATCTTGCTCCGAAGTGTAACTCAATATGATGTTTAGGTAATAGGCGTTTTTGAGAGGGTGAGCGAGGAGTTTTTGCTCGTCGTCAAATCGGTTTCGATTCTTGTAAATAAGCACCGTATGTTCTGACGTATCAGCAGATGATTTTCTTAATCTTTTCTGACTACCTTGATGCCGTTGTCGGTGTCGGTTGACTGTTTGCTGAGGAAGGCAGCCTGCATTTCTTCCAGGTCTTCGTCTTGGTCATGGTCGTAGGGCGCATTTTGCGTGCTCTTCTCGAAAGATGGGTCTTGTGTAGGTACGCGTCGTACTTCGGGCTGGCCTGTCCGGCGAGCTTCTTCTGCCTTTTGATGCTCGAGCTGCTGCCTTTCCATGTCGTCAAACTCGTCGCGTCTGTCAATCCAGCGTTCCTGGACGTCTCTGACATGGATCTTTCCACCCCAGCCTTCCTGCATGGCAACCTGCCAGACCGAGTCATTTGTGCCCTTGTCTGTGCCGAAGACATAACCACTAGCACGATCGACAGCATGCAGCAGGTTCGTCATGGAGACCTTATCCTCGATAGCAAGAGTCTCGAAGGCGACGAGGCCAAAATCAGCAATCAGTTGGATCAGAGCTTCGTTGAGGGCTGTGAACTTTGACTGTGGCGGTTTGGGAATGTCTCTGTCTCCGGCGCGGTCTTGGAGGTTCTGCACCGATGTGTTGTTTTGTTCGGCGTCGAGATGTGGCAATAGGTAGTCCAGGTCTTGGACTTCGGTGTAGTAGTCTAGATTGAACGGTAGAGGCTCAGAGTTCTTTGCGAGATTGTCAATCTTGGTCAAGACGTTGACAAGAGGAAATGGCAGATGGAGCATGCTGCGCAGGCAGAGAAGCAATGAGGAAATGTATAGAGTAGGGCGGGAGAGGGTGAGGGAGTCGAGGAGATGGACCACAATCAGCNNTGGACAGAGTTAGTGGGGCAGAGGGGCTGTAGATGCAAGGAGAGAGGAACGGACTCTGTAGCCAATCTTCTCGAGCCGGTGGAACAACGTGGGCATTGTATTGTGATGTGTAAATAGCTCGACCTGGCCGGGGCAGTCGAAGAGAATGTACGAGTCGCCGAGTTCCTTCAAGCCTTGGTCGAGCCACTCGAAGTTTTCCTGCAACTCCTCGAGGGCATACATGACGCCGCCATTGGGGCCTAGCTCTTCCTGCTCCATGACTTCTTCGAGCGAGACCAAGTCCCGGATGTCGAGGGCGCATGGATATGAGGTCTTGTCGTTGGCAGGGTCGAGGTTGACGACGGCGCATTTGCGATCGACGGCCGTGAGGAACTGGTGCATGCCATCGCAGTAGGTCGACTTGCCCGCGCCTGGCGGACCGATGACTAGTTGAGCGAAAGGCATGTTGGGGTGGGATGCGGCAGGTGCGATGGCGAGGGCGACAATATAATTGTCTGCACCCCGCAAAACATTCGAGGCCGACAAGTTGCTGAGTAGCTCCTGCCTTTTGCTCACCTCTGTCTTCCCCGCGACACCATCACACAGCAATGACCGGTATCTCTCCTTGTAGTCTGACACATCCTGCTCTTACTGATTCCCCCTCTCTCAGCCCAAATAGAACTCGCACATGCGCCGTCCGACGCCATCTCGGCCGTCCGCTTCGCTCCCCAATCACCAAACCGTCTGCTGGTCGCCTCGTGGGATCGCAATGTCTACCTCTACGACACAAAGAGTGGAGAGCAGGGTAGCCTGTTGCAAAAAGTAGAGCACCGCGCTCCCGTTCTGGACATTTGCTTTGGCGACGACGACTCGACTGCCTTCAGCGCCGGCCTCGACTGGCATGTCAACCGCATCAACCTGGAAACTGGCGAGAAGTCCGTCATATCGTCCCACCAAGCTGGCGTCAAGTCCATCGTCTACTCGGACAAGCACCACCTGCTCATCTCGGCCTCGTGGGACAGCACCCTCCACGTCCACATACTCAACAACGGCAACATCGCCCACGCTCCCTCCACCATCCCTCTGCCATCCAAGCCCTTCTCCATCTCTTTGACTCCTACGAAACTCGTCGTCGCCATGGCCTCACGCCACATTTTCATATACGATCTGGCCGCTCTGAAGATGCTCACTTCGCAATCTGCCCCTTCTCAAGAATCCGGAAACCAGAGTATCCTCGAGATACAACCATGGCAGCAGCGCGAGAGCAGTCTGAAGTTCATGACACGCGCCGTCTGCTGCATGCCCAACGACCAAGGCTATGCACTCTCTTCAATCGAGGGCCGCGTCGGCGTCGAATGGTTCGATCCCTCGACCGAGTCTCAGAGCCGCAAGTACGCTTTCAAATGCCACAGACAGGCCGATGAGGGCGTCGATGTCGTCTACCCTGTCAACGCCCTGGCCTTCCACCCCGTACACCAAGGCACGTTTGTCAGTGGAGGTGGCGATGGTTTTGTTGTACTGTGGGACGGCGTCACCAAGCGCAGAATCAGGCAGTACCAGGCATACCCTTCCAGTGTCTCGAGTGTGTCATGGAGCTCCGACGGTAGATATTTGGCCATTGCAATCAGTCCTGGCTTCGAAGACGGAAACGAGGTCATTTCTGAAGGTCAGGTCAAGCTGTTCATCAGGGAACTCGCAGACGGAGAAGCAAAGGGCAAAAGCGCCAAATAAAAGAAAAGAAAAAAAGAGGCTTTGGGAAAAATTTAGAAGAATCGTTTCTTTGATACATTAGCGTAGGCGTTCTCGTCCTTGTTTTCTCGAGGAGGGCCTTGACATGAAATTTATGCCTTTTTTCTCCTCCTCTCAATCCTCGTCCATTTCGTCTCCGTCGTCATCGCTTTCGATGCCTATCGACTCTCCTGCTGTTGTGTTGTTGGCTATACCCTCACTTCCAAGCATTTTATCAAGCGCAAAGTCGGATCCCTTTCCTTGAGCCGTTGCTCGCAGAATCGCAGCCTTTGCCCTCCTGATAGCTTCCTCTTCCGCCTTGCGGATTGTTCCAGACACTCTGACGACTTGAATGACACAGGCTTGATCGATGGGTCGTGGGAGACGAGTCACGAAACTCAGAGCAGCCCACACAAGACGATAGTGCGCGCGCGAGACTCGAACAATGGCCGTAGAAGTCGCAGGGGATAGATATTTCACTACTACAAATCAGCTCTCGACCCAAGCTGGTTTGAGGACGAACAGACGCACCAACAAGNNACTACTGGCAATCATGCCACTTCCATAATCTCCAAACAACTCTGTCACACCATCTCTGATCATACGTGCCAGCAGTTGGGCGTTTAGTTTGTCCGACGAGGCACGGCGGAAGGACACGACATCGGGCACTTGTCCGTCTCTTGTCGTGGGCTTGGTGGCAGTGTCCGAGTCGGGGTATAGAATGTTGACGAGCAGGTAGCGGTGCTTCAATCGGACCATGATGACGGGTGTGGGCGCGTGTGATGAGCGCTGGGATTTGTGTTTGATGATGCGATCGGCATCTTATGTGCGATCAAGTCATGGTTGGCTGGAAAAGTGGTTGCTTCAAAAGTTCACGAGGGCCTTGGTTCGAATCAAGTTTGAAGCTTGGCGTGGATGTACTTTTTGACATGTCATGTTTCGACAAATACTTGTGTATTCCATTATGCTTCGAGATGGGGTATCTATGCTAGAGTTTGCTTCTGACGACTGTCTCCTTAGGCGCGCTTGGTTCTCTTCTTGCGCTTCTTGTTCTTCTTTGACTTTTTGCTCTTCTTGATGCTGGGGGCAATCACGTTGCCCTCATCGTCTAGCTGTTCCTCGTCCTCGTTGTCTGACTCGTCTTCGTCCTCATCCTCATCCGAGCCTTCTGCGTTCTCCTTTGCTTGTCTCTGCTCTTCCTTCCTAGCTTTCTTGTCCTCGGCCTGCTGCTTCAACTTTTCCTCTCTTCTGATGGCAGCTCCATACTTTTGCTTGACTTCCTTTTCGAATGCCTCCTTCTCGAGTTTGAACAGCATCATGGTTGCTCTTGCGTCCTCGACAGAGCTGTGCTCTCCACCTTGAATCTCCATACCGAGGAACTCCTTGGCCAGCTTACGCAGCGCAGGTGCTCTGCCCATGGACATCTTGCGGAATGTTGAGTGTCTGGATGTATCCCTGATATCCCTCTTTGGATGCGAGAGTAGCAGCACGTCCAGATCATTCTTGAGTGCGTGTCCAATCAAAATCTTCCCGTCTATCAATGCGGCAACCTCTTTCTGTACTTCCGAGAAGGGTCGAGCGACGTCTGGTTTCAGGTGATGGGGTCGGATACCACTGACGAAGGTGCGATAATCGGTGACTTCGACACCTGGTACAGGTTGGACAAAGCTATCGTAGATCTGTTCGCCGTGGAAGTTGACAATCGACACGCGCGCGAGAACATTGTCGTCGAGCGGACCAGTGCCAACCATTTCACAATCGATGGCTAAGAACTTTCCAGGCTTGTGTTGTGGGTGGAGGCCTTGGTTGACTAGCGAGTCGGTAGAGGTGCGAGTCGAAACGACTTCTTCAGGCGTGGTGGTAGGTTCGGCATTTGACGCGCTTCTCGGTGTCGAGGCAGATGATTTCGATGCAGCACCGCCCATCTTGGTCTTCCTCTGAGCAAAAGAAGGCTTGCTCAGCTCAATCCTCGGTCGCTTTGTTCCATTCGCGGAGCCCTGGAATTTCTTGAACTTTTCGTCTTGCGACTCGGTCGTTCTCTTGCGCTTCACGCTCGGGTTGATGTCTTCAGCTTTCGGCTTTGGCTTGAGTGTCTGCTGCAGTCTCTTCCAGTTGCTCGACAGGTTCGCAACACCGACTTGAGCCATGTTTTCTTGAGGGTTGGTTGCTCTGCGCTGCACAGTCTGGGGAATCCATCCAGCACTTTTTTTCTCCAGCCACGCCCGCGGCTGCCGGCCCGACCATGCGGCTTAACGCCGGCTTGGGCCCTCTGTCACATGCCAGATCTCACAGAGATCAACAGGTACCAGAGTACGACCATCTTTCTCATACTCTCGTCATCTCGCACAAGTATTCTTGCAGAAAGACAAACACTCGTACAGTTTCCCTTGCGACATGACTCAAACAGGAAGCCGGGACGATGCATGACCATGATTGATCACAAGTCTCTCAACTGGTGCAGACCTGCAGTTTCACATGCAAAATTCAACAATATATACGTCATGGGCAAGTGCTTGTGACAAAAGGTCAACACCGTTTTGAGCCTTTGTGAATATATTCTCTTCTCTTCTCCCTTTCCTACTCTCCTGCATAGACTCCTCACGTACAACCATGCCATCAATCATAGAACTTGGAGCCCCGGACCGCAAGAATGGCGACCTGACCATCACTGGCGATTCGAATGCGCTATTGTCCCTGCTCAAGGACCAGATCAGCGATTTCCCCCCTGGCAAACAGTACAGCATCGCCATCAAAGAAGTCCCGGTCACTGTCGAACGCCTGCCTTACTACCCAAAGGACGGTGATCGTCTCCAGGACCCTGGAACAGCTCGTGTAAACATTGCTGCATCCAATGAGAGCCCCAATGGAACCTCTCAGGACAACTGGGCTCGGAACCACCAACACCAAACTGTATGCCATGTCTTATGTGACTACGTCAACCTTGGATGCTGATACCACTCCCAGGTCGTACAACAGCATGTGGTCTACTGGGACAAAGATCAAGATGGTATCATCTGGCCTCTGGATACCTACAGAGGCTGCCGGGCGTGGGGCTGGAACCCCATTCTCTGCCTGATCGCCACTTTCCTCATCAATGTCAACCTTTCCTATCCTACTTCGCCTTCCTGGATCCCCGATCCTTTCTTCCGTATACACATCTCCAACCTCCACAAGGACAAGCACGGCAGTGATACCATGACTTATGACAACGAGGGCAGATTCNAGTGAGTCTTTGTAACCAAATATATCATCCTTTAGTCTTGCTGACTCGTTGCAGGACCTCAAAACTTCGAAGACCTGTTCTCAAAGTACGATCGTGGCAACAAAGGTGGACTCGACGCTTATGATCTGATCAGAATGCACAAGGGTCAAAGAATGGCAATGGACTTCTTCGGCTGGAGTGCGTCCTTCTTCGAATGGCTCGCCACCTATCTTCTGCTCTGGCCCGAAGATGGTATCATGCGCAAAGATGACGTTCGCAGAATCTACGATGGCAGCATCTTCCAGTTCAAAGCAAACGAGTATGCTGAGAAGAAGAGACATCATGGACGTACCAACGAGAGCGTAGAGAGCAGGAAGAAGCAAGCTTGAATACTGGTATGGCTAACTGCTGACGGAGACGAGACGACTAGCATCACCAGGTCACCTGTAGTGTTGTAGGCTTAAGCCAAATTCATGATTCTTACGACATAGACAACAATAGATATATGATTGATAGACCTTGAAGCCCACTTTGCAACCGAAAAAATGTGTAAACATTGTGCCAAGATGATTAGACACACCTCGATCAGCTCTCTATAATGTCTTGATAAGATGAAAGGTCCAGGCGCAGGCTCAAAACGCTTCAAATTCTCTAGTTCCAGTTGGGAACCACTCTCTTTGCATAACGCATGAACTTCCAGAAGCCTACTGCCCATTCCACACTTCCTTCGGGGTCCGTCACCCTCTCGGGCCAAGCAATGCCAGCACCAAATAGTCCAGGAATCTGCTTCCCGTCGACGTTCTTGAACGACCCTGTGTCTGGTTGGTAGTTGTATGTGATGTCGGAGCCAGCAGCGTCCTTGAGTCCGGGTAGAGGATCTCTAGTGTAGCCGATGGCTTGCACATAGCGACTACAGTCCGAGAGATGCTTCTCGTAAGTTTGGGTTTCGTTTTCCTTCTCATAGGCCACCTTGTTGATAAACTTGCTGACAGGGGACGATTCGAATTTCTCGGGCTCCAGGTTTTCCTTGGCCCACGCTGCCGCTGCACCCTTCAGACCGGTGTTGTCACGTCTAATCCAACCGTCCATGAATTCGGCGTATCTAAGGGGATGTCTTGTGAACCATTTGATCCGTAGGTCAGGATGAGTAGTAGAAGCTAAATTGTAGAGGTTGATGAGTACCAGGACAGCACTGTGGGATGCGCCAATCACGGCAACAGTGGTGGGCTCTTTGAGGATGGCCCTCGCCAAGAGAGTCGGGCTGAGAGCGTGATCCAGTTCGAGGGGTGATAGATCTGAGATCGAGACGGGCAGTTGCTGGTTTGTCGGAGAAGAGCCGGTACAGAGGATGATTCTGGATGCGATAGCCTTGCTGATCTCGCCATTTGACAGCTTGACATTGACAACCCAGTCGTTTGTCTCGCTGAGAGTTGCTTCGGTGACTCGACCTTGACGGGCTTCAACACCGGATGCCTTCTTTAGGCCTTCCGTAAGCATCAGGCACATGTCTGCAGCATAGCCAAGATCACATCCAGTATCTTGAGGTAGGTCTCGAAGATAGTCGACTGCATGAGGTGATGGGGTGTCCTTCAAGATCTTCTGAAAGGGTGACACGGCCTCTGCAAAGTCCACGAACAGTTTGACCTTTGTATTNTCTGTCTTGATCAGTAGTTGCAAGTGATCGGCCAACAGTAAAACTTACGATGGCACCTCTCTATATGATTTGTTCACTCTGCCAGCCTCGAAGAGGTCATCAACCCAAAGCACTGGCCCGACCTTTCTTTCCAGAAGGTTTCCAAGCACCGTGATTCCTGCGGGGCCGCCACCACAAACCACCGCAGCATACTTTGTTCTGTGGACGGACATGTCTGATACGAATCGTGAGGAACGAAATGGCGTAAAAGAGGGACCATAAGACGTGCTATCTCTCAAGCATTTCAATGGGAGCGTCCCCGAAGAACCCCTCAATGCTCGCCGAGGGAGTGATCCTCCAGGGAGGCGTCCTGCTGTGTATGCGCGACATAGTGGTCCAGTAAGCTGTTGTCGAGGGCATGCACGTGTAGCGAGCACTGCCGCATGCGACAACTTGGGTGCCATGGGGTCGGATTAGGAGTGGATAAGTGTGCAGGTGGAAGGCGAGTCAATCTGTCACTGGTCAAATTATATCGATAGATTTCCAGGGTCCAAGGTGGGCCACGAGTTTGCGCACGCCATGGCAACTTTCTTTCACCGCACGTGTCTTGGACGTCCTTTAACAGAACTGATCCACCGACTACTACTCGTCTCAGGCTATGAATCTCTCCGGTGATCCTCGCAGATCGGTCTCTTGTTCAAGGCTGCCTTCGTTCACTCCCTGCTCTCCGTGTCCATTGCTCAGCGGGCTCATTCCGCTATCAGTGCCCCGAGAACATCGGCGACCTTTCTTGCTGTCATCACCAGTCGGGAAATCACTGGAGTAGAATCCAGGCCCGATTTTAGATGCGCCTTGATAGACCCGATCGAAGTAAGCCATACGCTTTCTTTAGTCTGCCCAGTGTCACGAGAAGAAAGCGGAAGTCTGAGAAGAGTATACAGCAGTGTAGCCATGTCTCCCTCACTTTGATATCACGGTTTCTCAAGCGCACACTGGTTCTATGAAGTGTTTCTTTCTTCTCTGCGCCCGATCTGTCCAGACCTTGTGTTGTGTTGTTTACGATGGCACCTTCCTCCACATCAGCAGCTGCACCTAGTTCTTTCCTTCTTCAAAGTGTTCCTTCCCTTGATCTGGATTTTCGCTTGGGTTTCCTATACTCTGGCTCGTCTCTTCCTTAACATTCCACCTGCCTCGAAATGAAATAGAGACCAATTCCGGTATCCACTTTGCAGCATTTGCTCCAAGGCCTCACAAAGAAAGCCAATATATATACATTGACAAGAACCAAGATGCTTGATTACATACATCACTGCCACTTTGACAGGGAATCGGTCTTCAAACTGCTATAGGAGAGAAAGCGATATATGATTGATCAAAAGTTCGAGAGTAAGGTGTCAGGTGACATATCTGTGAGCTAGCTGCTTTGGACTAGCTTCTAGCCCTGCTCTCGTCTTCTCTTGTCGTTCTAACAATGGTGGAACAAAAGAGCAGCGCTCGATCAACAGAACTCACATCGGATACATATCAATCAGCCTCGCCGCTGTCATGGCTTCTATCTCAACAGTGACTGCATCTGGGATATATAGCTCTTGGAAGATTCTTGTCGGAGCTGAGCCTTTGGTGAACATCTCCGTGCTTGGAGTGACCAAATGCATAAGCATCAGTCCTAGTAGTGGAGATAGGCGCCTGGAAGTGTGCTTGAACAGATATTGGGTGTGAGAAGCCGATTCGCCAATTCTGGCTCAACAGATGTGGTCAAGCAACAGACGACAGATGGTGTCTTTGTGCTGAGGAAGGATACACCAAACTCGCTAGTCGGCATGGTTTGATTACTGGCGAGACAGCCTATTCAAGCGATCGATCAATGGTCCTAGAGATCCGTTAGATACTAGAGCTGTCTAGAGCGATACCAGCCAGCTGGTGAGGATGAGAGTTTGGTACACATCACTGCGTAGGCATGACTAACCTCCAACCACTACCTTAAATAGCTCCGTCAGAAGCGATGAGCACCGATCAATCGGAAAACCGCCCGGATACGCAAATGGGAAGACGGACAGCATGGAATAATCTGGCACAGATTTGAGCTTCGCTAGCACAGTGGTCTTTCTGATGTCAAGGCGGAGTGATAGGCTGTAACAAGCTGGACGAGACGGAGACGGTGAAGAGATCATATAGAGAGATCTGATTCACATGCCTACCTGGCGTGATAGGACGAAGTATAGGCTCCATGACGACAAAGCATTCCGAAGCAGAGGAGTTGTCAGAGCGAGTTGCCACGGCTGAAACCTAGCGGACACTGCTCTGTTTCCCGATAGCACTGTGCATTATGTTACGCGTTACATCCCTTTAGGCAAGGGGACGTGGTCCAAGACGGCTCCATATTGAAGAAAGGTATACTCGCGTGCAGAAGGGCGGCCTGCAATGGGTGCTTATACCAACAAGCTTTGGCTTGTGAAGACCTGTGCCAAAGTTTCGTACTATACATGAGTTTCTGTGACTATGCGCGAACAAACGGACTCATATGCAGTGAAGCCGAGCGAGTGCCACGGAGCAATAAATTTGTGTTCTCGAAGGAACCAACATGACGCATGTCCCCCCACATTTCTGGATAAGGCGATAAGACCACGAAGGAGTAAGGTCCATAGACTGATTCTCATTTCTGAACAAGTCACCTTCTCAAAACATAGACAATCATGGCCGAAACAATCACTACAATCTCACCCATTACCAACAAGGGTATCATCGAGCGCCAAGGGCTCAGCGACTCGGAACTCAGCGAGTTGGCGAGCAGATCCGCTGAAGCCTTCAAGTCCTACAAGAAGACATCGTTGGACGAACGCAAGAACTATATCAAGAAGGCTCTCGAGCTCATCACTTCCAAACAAGATGAGCTGGCCAAGGAGATTACCGAGCAAATGGGACGCCCAATCGCATACACAGCTGTCGAGGTGAAGACGGCCGTCGCCCGTGGCGAGTACCTGCTTAAGATCGCCGAGGACGCCCTCTCCGACACTCCTGGCGAGCCTCAGGAAGGCTTCAAGCGCTTCGTTCGCAAGGTGCCTCTGGGTCCCGTTCTTGTGCTCTTTCCATGGAACGTGAGTCTCGGCTGTGTCTTCTCCCATCTGCACAGTACCATGCTAACCACCCACCCGACCTAGTACCCATACCTGACTCTTGTCAACTCAATCGTTCCTGCTCTTCTATCAGGCAACACTGTCATAATCAAGCCCTCGCCGCAGACACCAACTATCGCCGAACAAGTCGTTTCTGCCTTCAACCAAGCCGGCCTTCCCAAGGACGTCATCCAGTACTTCCACTGCGGTGACTTCCAGAAGATTGAGAAGCTCGTCAAGAACCCCGATATTCGGCTTGTCTGTTTCACCGGCTCCGTTGCTGGTGGTCTCGCCGTTCAAAAGGCCGCAAGCGACAGAGTAGACTCGAGAGTTGGTCTCGAGCTAGGTGGAAAGGATCCAGCATACATCAGATCCGATGTCGACCTGGCATGGGCCGCCGAAGAGATTGTTGACGGTGCTATCTTCAACTCTGGACAGAGCTGTTGCAGCATTGAGCGCGTCTATGTCAATGAGAAGGTCCACGACGACTTTGTCAAGGAGCTACAANAAGTCTTGGCCAAATACAAGCTGGGCGACCCATTTGACAAGTCCACACACGTCGGTCCTGTTGTTTCCAAGCGCTCTGCCGAGACCATCCGCGCTCACGTCAAGGATGCTATCTCCAAGGGTGCTCAGGATATGACACCCAAAAACTCGTCTTTCGAGTCACCGCCGGCCGACGGAAACTATGTGGCTCCTGTCCTCCTTACCAATGTTTCTCACAAGATGGATGTCATGACCGAGGAGACTTTTGGCCCTGTTATCCCGGTCATGAAGGTCAAGGATGATGCCGAAGCCATTCAATGGATGAATGACAGTCAATTTGGCTTGACTGCCAGCATCTGGACAAAGGAGACTGAAAAGGGTTATGAGCTTGCCGATGATGTTGAAGCTGGAACCGTCTTTGTCAACAGATGCGACTACCCTGCTCCCGACCTTGCATGGGTCGGATGGAAAGACTCTGGCAAGGGACAGACCCTGTCAAAGTTCGGCTTTGATCAATTTTCCAGACTCAAGAGCTACCACATCAAGGACTACCCAAAATAAATGCATAATCCCACGTGGAGTCACGGCATTTGATGTATCAGAAGGAATGGGCGCACGTTCACTCTCCTGCAAAAGTACGTTTTGGTAGTGCAGGGAGTCTGAGACATCATCCCTCTCATCAGCATAAAGCTTCAATCTCAAGAAATAAATCTCAAGCTTGGGGACGATTTTATCCCGTTTACATAGAATCTCGACCACGTCAATGGAGAGTGCTGTCGCCCGTCACATTGTCGCTTCTTGCACCATTCGGGAAGAAGCTCATGCATTCCTCGGTATGCCGAAGCATTCCACAGATATTGTTCGGCAAGGTTGTCTCGGAGGGAGAAGAAAGAATGTGTCAATCATCATGTCCTATGGCTGTATCAGTAAAAGATTGTCTTAAGCAAGGCGACCAAGACTGGTCAGGCTTTCGACGTCTGCCAATAATTGAGACTTTAGCAAGCTCTCGTCGGGTCAACGCAATCTTCTGCGAGATACTACAATCTCCAACTTGCAGGTCAATCGCCAGGTATGCCGAGTTCGTTCTTCTTCTGGATCCCGATGCGGTCTCATCTGTCTTCTACTTAATCTTTCGTCCATGTGTTTCTGGTCGTATGATTGCCCACGACCTGTCATTACCTCGCTTGTTATTGGGAAGAACTTTCATGTCCTGTTGTTATTCTTGACTTTGGCTTCATCTTTGGCGTGTCCTTTGTCCTCGTCCTGGTCGTGTTGAAATTGCTTGCGTGCTCCTTTGTCTTGTCCGGAACTGTCTTGTTTGCGTCAAATAGACTGTCGTGTCTCTACTCCACGACGGATCCACGACATTCGTCTTCGACTTTCGATCCACTAGAGACAATTTCTCGGCGTTCTCAGAAGACGCTCACTTTGCGTGAGCGTACATGATCTTTGTGCTCTCCAACCTACGCTCTTTTGCTGTCACAACGACAAATCATGCCTACTCTTTGGACCAAGATCAAGACCCTCCTGTGCTGCGGCGAGGAGGAAGAACAACCTCCCGCCCTTGTCATCGTAAGTTATACGTTGTTGTCGCCATCAACTTGACTGACGCCTTCGCGCAACAGGGCGAGCCTTTCGGCTTCAAGCGTGTCGACGTCAACCTTGCCGGTCTCTCTGAGCAAGAGTCAGTCTGCCCTTCCTAGTGATCAAAACGAAGACCTATCTGCTGACTTGAGATGGACTAGANNCAAACAATGATCAACACGAGACCTGTTCCTGTTACGGTTCCAATCGATTCAGAGGGAGCCCCACAAATCTGCCGGTTGGACCGCGCCAGAGCTCACACAAGAGCACTCAGCAATTCTTTCAAGTCAGCCACTACCAACGCAATGTCAAGTGTCGGAGCTAAGGGCTCTGGTTATTCCGCACTCGCTAACGGCAGTGCTTCAAAGATGCAGCCCTTGAAGATCGAAGAAGACTACGCCNCCCACGAGATGAAGGAGCTGCTACCTCGTGGCACAGGTGGCCTCGAGACTAGCAGCAGCGTCGGAACTGCCATTGCAGGTTGTGAGGAAGAGGATGACGGTGTCAAGAGCCTCGCTCGCATCTAGTGGTATCAGACAATGAGTACAAGTACGGGGCACACAAAGAGTAGACGATGGAGGCGCAGCGGCAAGAGGCCTGCGTGCATATCAGATACAGGGTCTAAAAGAGGAAGAGGGGAAAGAGCCTGCGGGAGTTGCAGTGCTTGCTCATTACAACCCATTGGTGGCAATGGCTTGTCCATGATTATGCCACAATTTTCCCACCCAAGTTTTGGCGCTCGGCACGTATGGAATCGCTTTTTAGTAGGGCTCCCGGATCGTGTTGTGCGTCGGCTTTCTATGTGATGCCAAAGCGATATAGGTATAAAGGTCGGTCCAGTGATAGATAAGCACAGGACATGGTTCCCTCGCTCATGATGTATCCATAGCATCGTCAAGGACGCCTGCAGGTATTCTACCTTCGTTGAGAGCCTTCTCCAAACGAGTAATCTCAGCCAGGGTCTTTGCGTTCCTGATCAGCTCCTCGATGCGCTTTCTCTCCTTGTCAGTCAACTTGACTCTAGAGATCTTGTCGGTGCCATTTGCATTGGCTGTTGAGGCGGTATTGAGTGATCTTGACGAGCGCGAAGAGAGAAGCTTTTGTGCGAGTTCGGTAGGTTCGGCGACGGTGCCAAAGAGTTCGGCAGCCTTGCTGCGCTCTGCATCCTTGACCTTCTGGAAATCGAGGAATCTGACGGATGGACATCTCGCGATGACCCAGTAACGGTAGTTCNNTGTGTTGTGTTAGACCAGAGGACTTGTCGCGATTGAGAATGGGGTACAACTGACCTCTCTCGAGGCGACGGGGTTCTCCAGAAGAGTCAGGTGTGTCAGCTTCTTCAAGTCGGCCAAGGGTTCGAGGTCGCCGAGTTCGGATATGGAGTTTTGGGTCAAGACAAGCGTGTCGAGGTTCGGAATGGAGTTGTGCAGGCCGGGGGTGATGGCAGTGATGCGGTTTCGGCCAAGGTACAAGGCCTTCAGCCTGTGGTTCTTGGGAAAGTTTGCGAGAGCAGGAATGTCGTTGTCTGTAAAGTCGATGGCATCTTCGTTCNNTGGCGGCGCATTCGCATCAGCGCTGTGTCTGGATTCGCGTGGACTGCGTGCAGGCGAACGTACCGTGATGAGACCCAGATTCTCCAGAGCAGGGATTTTGTGACCTNNTTTTCAGCCTATGAATCAGCTAGTTCAAGTATAGTATCTGTCCTTTTCTTGACAAGGGATAGTAGTACCTCGCAGGTCAAGTTCGCGCTCCTTGAGCGGATTGAGATATGAGAGCGAGTTGTGCACAAGCTCGGCTGTGAGTCTCATTGTGGTGTGTTTGTTGGCTGTCCCTCGGCGACGCGATCGTATTGGGTGACAGGTGGATTGTAGATGTGATGAGCGAGTCGAGTTGATGTAGTCACTAGCTTTGCGTCTTTGCGATGCCTCGATGCTTCAACTCCAGCAAAAGTGACGGCGCGCTGTAACCAATTGCTTGGCATTTCATTTCATCTCTTCTACACGGCTGCTTCGCACTCTCAATCAATCAATCAATCAATCAATCCGTATCCCATATCCTATACAGCTGTACATGGCTTGGTCCTTTGTCTATTTCATTGCCGAGCATACCATCACTGAACTTCATGTCCTGGTCTCCGTGCTGTCCAGGCTGCCACTCCAAATTCCTCCATGTTGGCTGCCTGTCCATCGTATATAGACACGTCGACTTCTTCCATCTGTTCCACCAACGTCTTGTGTGCTCCTGCGTCCTATCCCACGGCCGTTTGGTTCGTGTGCGTCTCGTGCGCCTCGTCTGATCGCATCTACACTTGCTCGGCTCCCCAGCCAGCATCGGCGTCCCTGTTGTCGCGTGAGCATCTATGAGTTACGACAGCGCTACTGGAGCTTTACCTCATGTTGGCCGGAGGCTCAATGCTGGAGNNTACGTATTCAAGGGCGACGTAGGTGATACCGACAAGTATGATGATGCCACCGATCAGGTATTTGGTCCAATGGCCCGTAAAGCAGAGCCCTCCGATGAAGATGTAGACTGTCCCATATTCGTCAGCCTATGCCATTGTCAAAGCAAAGAGCTCGTGTGTCTTACAAACACCGCGTCCAATGAAGGAGAACATGAAGGATGCATATCTGGCGATCTGAGGGGGNATTTGGAACTCNTGCACAGCTAGTCAGACGTGTCGTGCTTGATCGAGGGGGTATCGCGAACCAAGAAGAGCATTGGCGAGACCAAAGAGGATGATATAGACGGCGCAAATGGTGCCTCGAACGCTGACCTCGGGGAAGAATTGACTGACACCTCCAAGAACNCTAGAGACAAGGTCGCAATCAGCAGAGGCTGCCATATACCAAAGAAGTCGTCGTACCATCAAGGCTCCAGTTGCGAGGTTGACAATGCGACTGGGCAGTTTTATCAGCTACCGAGTACGTGAGTTACACGTCTTTGACACGCACAAGATATCTGAGAAGTCCATGACGACGGTGCTGCAGGATCCAAGTCGCACAGTTGAAAAGCAGTCGAGTAGATGTGTTAAGGAGGACAAAGGACTGGCAACCTGGAAGCTGTCAATAGAGAGCTTGAGGCTGGGGCCTGCGCCGCTTGGCCAAGCTCCACATCGTCACTGGCGTCCCGTCCACAACCATGTGCTTTCCCGATCCGATCAGGCTTCCTCTTTTCGTGAAACTACAACTTCACTAAATCCATCCCAACATGTGAACCCATTTCCGGCAAATGACAGGCTGTAGCATTGTTAGAGTCTCTTGTTTAGATAACCTATAATCTCAAACACGGTCTGTTCATCTGTTGCAGACCTTGACCTGGCAGTCACACTCTCCTTTTCCCAACCTACAAGCGTGCCTTCTCTGTTAGAGACTCGTCGACAAGTCGGACAACAGCGGCAGCGCAACCCCATGAAGTTTGGTATCCATAGCCACCATGACCGATGCTGTGTACGACCCTAACGCCATTCCCATCTGGACCTTTGATCGTCTCCTTCTCGGTCCTGATGCCGCCCTTGCGCATCGGTCTCAATCCCACACCATGCCTGATAACGTCCAAGGCTTCGATGCCTTTGCCCTCAGGCACGAGCTCAGGTGTCAGGGCAATCGCGCGTTTCATGATGCGGATGGCAAGGTTGGGATCCACTGCCGAGTCCCATCTGTCTGCTTGCAAACAGCCTCCCAAAATACAACCACCGCCAGCCGCACGATGCATGATATAGACTGCTTCGTCTTCACCGTCGTCGGTTCCTGACGTGGTAGCCATGTATCCTGGATCGTTGCGAACGAGAACAATCTGTCCACGAGCCGGATACATGTTCTTGTCTTGAACTCCTTCCATGAAGAGAGAGAAGAGTCCAGTGCAATTCACCACCAAGTCGGCCTTCTTTCCAGAATGGTGGAGTAATGTGGCGTCTGCAATATGCTTCACAACACCTCGTCTGAAGATGACACCGTTCTTGAGGCACTGTGAGACCAACCAAGGGAGATAGATTGCTGTGTTGATGCAGACAGAGGTGAACGAAGTACCGCCATCCATACCCTTGGGCAACTCTTCTTTGCTAAGGACTCTGAACNNTGCACAATCAAGTCATCAGCATGGTTTCAGGGGAAGCAGATATATACCATCACGACCTACGTTGGGCACAACCTTGCTGAACCATGCATCTTCGCGAATGAGTTCTGCAAACCACTCACTGACCGGACCCTTGTCCTTCTCCCTGCGGTAGACAAGAGTGTCTGTACACAGTCAGTAATCATGTATCTAATGCAGTTGATTGCTATCTAGTTGCACACCTTGAAAGTGAATGCCCGCTTCAGGGTGCTCTTCGGCGAGTCTTGCCAACTCTGGCCATGTATTCCTTTCGTACTCTTGCGAGGGAGTGCCTTCTTTGCCAACAGGTAAATAGTTTGCGCCGGCCCAGGGTGATGCGTATTCAATGTCGTAGTCTCCTGGCATATGCTTCGCCGCAACGGTAATGCTGTAGTTCTTGTTCTTGGAGAGTATGAAGGCGGCAGTCAAGCCAGAGACTCCGGCTCTACGGTCTGGTCAGTTGGGTGTATCGTTCCGAGTCAACTACGAAGACTGACCCNNCAGGACGACCACTTTGTGTTGAGGGGACATGGTGGATGACTGTAATTGTCTGGTCAAGTGATTGGTTGGAGAGTGTCTGCTGCCTGCTTGCCTGCTTCTTGGAGTGAGTAATTCCTCACGGCTTGGTAGCTTTGACGAGTGAGCTTGATGAGACAACGGGTCAGAGTCACGGGCCAGCACACTTTTATATTCAGGACCTCACTTGCAGGTCTGCCTACTTGTCACTTCTGTTGTCCTCTGGGAAGAGAGAGGTAGTTTTCCGCCCCGCATCAGCACATGTCGCCGGTGAGCGCAAGCCGCATCCGCCGATAGATTTGTATCTTGGCCGGCGCTCGCAAGCACGCCAATCAGACAGAGGTACTCGTACGCGATCAGATAACGGGCAACTACTTGTAGGAAAGAGGCTGACTCTCGCGATGCACGGGATTAGGCGGCGGGATTAAGGTACGGAAGGCAGACAACTTGCCGTAAGTCTCTGGCTTCTGGCGGAGGATGCGCTCATGATTTGCGGCGTCGTGGGCGTCTTTTTGAGCGTGTGATGATGCCAAGGCAAACGCTCCAGCTTTCCAATTCTGCTCCTTGTTCTTCACTCACTCCTGACCACCCGAGCGGGCCCTACTCGTACCCTTTCACCTGTCATGTCGTTCTGATTTGCTGTTCCATCCGCACCCATGCCTGTCTGCTGTGTTGTTGACTTTGGTTCGCTGATAAACCCTCCCTTACAGCACAATGGGCGGCAGTCAAGAAGAATTTCCACTCTTGAACAGCCTTGGCTTGTATGCTGCCAACATTCTCGGTGATGGTATGGAGTCGTTCCATATTCTTTGCCTTCGCCCACTAATGTAGCCAGGAAATTGCCTTTTCCACGCACTTAGTGATCAGCTGTACGGACACCAGAAAGAGCACCACATCATCCGTTCCAGAGTCATCGGTTACATGCGAGAACATGCCGACTACTACAAGCAATTCATAGACGCTCAGCCTGGTGGTGGCACACGGAGGAATCCAAAGAGGAAGAACGTCGGCTCCTTCTCAGCCGTCGCCGCTGCTCCATCGGCCGCAGACATAGACCACACCTTCCAGAACCACCTCGAGAGAATGGCAAAAGGCGGCACATACGGTGACAATATGGAGATCTCGGCCTTCAGCTCGGCATATAGTGTCGATGTCAAGATCTACCAGCGAGACTTTGCCTACATGATCTCGGGCTCTGGTGATCAAGGAGAGCGTGACGTAGCTCATATTGCATACCATGTTGGTAGTCCGCCCTGACCAGCTCGTACCCTTGCTGACCTTTGTAGGNCCTGGGAACACTACTCTTCTATCCGTAACCTTGACGGCCCTCATTCGGGTCCGCCAAAGGTCACCGTCAAGGCTCTCTCGCCCGATGAGGAGCAGAAACAGAAAGAGAAGCTAGCACAAACCCCTCACGTGCTCCCTTGGATGGTCGATGTCGTTTCGTCCTCTCTTCCCTTCCTTGCCGACAAGCCTACCATCAAACGTACACTTGAAGAATGCAAAGGCAACATTGATGCTGCCGTCGACAAGCTTATGGGTGCCGAAGAAAATGGCAGCCTTTCATCCGCACAAGAGAGCTCTAGCGTTGAGCGTGAACCTGACAGCGATGAGGAATACCCAGGCAAAGACGGGCCCAACAAAAAGCGAGATCGTAGGCCGTCATCACGACAACAATCTGGCGAAGTCAACTCGGACGACATGCGGGCCAAGTTTGAGACACATAACGACTCTTCTGAGTCTGTCAAATCAGAAGCCTCAGAGTCTCTGAGCTCACAACCCGATAACAAGGTCGATGTCGTCCCTGACACGCGTCCAAGGCCTACCATCAGACTGAAGTTCAACTCACAANAGGCATCCTCGCCGGCCCCTGTTCCAACCAAAGGGCCTCAGCGACAAACGGCTCGGGATAAGAAAGACATCAAGAAGCAGGCACAAAAAGCCGCTCGCAAGGAACGGGAGCAGGCGACCGCTGGTAGCGATCGACCCGAAAGCCCAAACACATCAGGCATGAAGCTTCGCAGCAAAGGTGTGGTGAACACTCCACCCATCGAGTCTGGTTTTCGCACCCTTTTCATCTGAAGTTCAAGCCTTCTTTGCCAACCGTCTTTCGATATCGGATAAATGGGTGATCATGCGGGTACATGAACAAGACGCCCTGACATCCTCTTTTCTTTCTTTCATGGCTCTCAATGATGCATAGCGTGGGCACTTTGACGGCGGACAATCTGTGATTTTTCTATACCACCATGAGCATGGCGACGGCGTACACAGGAATATTGGTGGTAGACTTGGGATACGAATTGGCACTGACGTGCCAGAGCATGGCATGATGACACTAGACGGGTATCACACCCAAGCTTCTAATCTTTTTTGCTTTCGTAGCGATTAACGACTCGCTAGACGAGGTGCAAAGAAACAAATACTATGGTTCCTCATACTGAACCCCCTCTCGATTCGGAGACGTAATGCCACAATCAATCTTCTCTCTCGCTAACAAGTGGCAATAATGTATCAGTTGTCAGCATGCTCAAGGCAATGCTCTCTCGCGGCAAAGTCCATCGGAAGATGATCATCCTCTTTAAGCAGCGACGGCTTGTCCAAGCTTCATGTAATTCCAACAGACTACAGCGTGAGTCAGCACAGTCAAATTNGCGATAGCACCGAACGANTACCTACTCGAATTTGCCAGGTCGTTACCAAAGTAGCTATCCATCAAATCTTCTCCAGAAGCAGTTCCGTTTGTCGAGTCATAAACAACGGCCTTCTTTCCCACTGCTAGGCCCATGATATTTGGAAACTCGGACAGTTCCTTGTAAGAGGGTGTCTGCCCATGATGGTGCTTGAGCATATCTTGATGGATATTCATGGCACAGTAATGGCCCATATGCATGGCGCCTCCACAACGTTTGATGCCGGACCAAGATGCGATATCTCCTGCTGCGAAATGGCTGTCTGCGTTTGGTACCTCGCTCTTGAATCGTAAGCTATGACGAGATTAGCAAGGTTCAGGTGGGATGAATCTTTGTTCGTACGAAGCATCGATTTTGACGTAGCCATCCTTGTCCAGGACGGCGGGCGGGAGATAGCCTGATGTTGGTGTACTTCTTGAAATGGCTGTAATGACATGCCCAGCTACGATCTTCTGACCGTTGGACAAGGTGAGCCTCCACGAAGCAGCTCCATCATCAGTCTGTTCAGCAGCAGTGTCCGTTACTCTGATTCCCATGATGACCTGAACACCTGTCTCCCTGAGCAGCTCGAGGCTTCGTTCCTTGAAGTCATCTGGCAGAGGCTCTGCAGACAGGAGCTTATCCCGCGAGTGAATAAGGGTAACCTTCTGCCAGGGTTCAATCATCTTGATCTCGCTAGCCATTTCGATTCCGACAGCCCCTAAAGGTATGAAAGTTAGTCTGGAGTCCAGTTCACACAAGATGTACTCACCTCCGCCTATGACCACCACGCCTTCTTTGGCATCTCTGACAGCTTTGGCATGTGCCTTGGCCTCGGCAAGAAATTGTTCTCTATTTAGTGCTTGCGGCACCACAGGTGAAGTTCGTCGAAGGCCTGAAGCGGCCAGGAGATAGTCATACTGCTGCTTGCGAAGTTGTTTGGTGACAGTATCCACTATCGATGCAACCTTGTTCTCGCAGTCAATACTCGAGACACTCCCCTGCAGGAAGTGTATATTGGGTAACTTTAGTGCAGGGATGTCTCGAAATCTTGTCCAACTCTTCGAAGCAGCTTCATCAAACGCAAATGCTAACGGATTTCCAATCAGATGGTCTAGGGCGCTAATCAGTGCTGTGAACATTCGATATGCTGTTATACCTACANNATAGCCATCACGCTCATCAACGATGGTGATATCCACAGGCACTTTCGTTTTTGGAGATGTGGCACCTGTAGGTGTAGAGCTAAAGCGGGGCTCTTTTCCATGGCACAGGTCAAGGAGATTGACGGTCGCTGCAAGTCCAGAGTAAGAGCCTCCGATGACTAGGACTTTCGGAATAGTCTGGAGCTTATTGGGACCTTCGATGGATGGCATTGTTGAGAATCGAGGAGAGGAGACAGATGAGAAGAGCAAAAACTGAGAACGAGAAGTTTTGAAGCAAGATGAGGTTCCTACAGTAACCGAGAAAAGAGTCTTGGTGTTCTTGCTGTGCAAGAGGATGGGTCTCATGAATCCTCGTGCAAAATTCATGTTGGTGGAGAGCCGGGACGTTCTGGCCCCTGTTGTCTGCCCATATTTAAGATGTGGGCATCAATTAATGGTCTGATTTTGACCCTTCCACCACAGCTCCGACTCGGCGATGCGAAGAGCATCGTACGCCCTGTGGGAGGAGGAAGACTGCGAGTGATAGGTTGATGAGACCTGCGCTAAGGTGTTAGCTTCAATCCGATCCGGCAACATTTATCTGATTGATAAGAAAGCTTGGCGCATGGCATCAGATATGTCGTGTCTCCCGACTTCGCGATGCCATTTCCAAATTGCGAGCTTGAAACCTACATTTTGTAATACGTTGAAGACATACCGACTGATTCTCTGTCAAGCATCGTACAGTACGTAAGTTGTGAGTGTCGAGTACTGAGACTTTGGCTGGAGCAACTCCCAATGTGGCCTGTGCGTTCTCGAGAATTATTGCATCATGCAAGACGCTGTTCGGTAAGTTGATCCCAGTAAGGACATCAAATCTTATAGGGCTGTCAGATACGGTCGCCATCCATGTCGACTTCAATGAACTATCTCGTGACCGGTGCGGGTAGAGGCATCGGCAGAGGACTGACACGGAACCTCCTTGCCCGGCCTGGTAACCGGGTCTTTCTCTTGGACAGTAACGAAACTGAACTACAAAACACTCTTTCGCTTGCATCGACTTGGACACAGTCATCAAACACCGTTAGCAGTTCTTTCAAGGGCAAAGTCGTTGACTTGAGGAACCGCGATGAGATCAAGACCGTGATCCGCGAGGTGAATGACTTCTTCGGCGGCAGAATAACATGTCTTGTTAACAATGCTTTTGCTACTCCGCATATCTGGAGGGACGATAAAGGAATGGAAGATGATCTTTCTTCCGACGAGATCATGGATCAATGGGATGTCAAAATCGCCGTTGGTCTGACTGCACCGTTTCTTCTCTCAAGGCTTTGCGTACCCATGCTCAAACGTAAGGAAGAGGGTACAAGCGCCGGATGCATCATCAACATTGCCTCTACACGAGCGAACCAGGCGGAAGACAATCATGAAGCCTATAGTGCAGCCAAAGGCGGACTTCTTGGCCTCACTCAGAGCATGGCAATCAGTCTAGGACACAGGCACAACATTCGCGTCAACGCTATCATACCTGGCTGGATCAACGTTGAGGACGAGAACAAAACAGCAGACGAGGAAGGGATCAAGTGGGAAGACGGTATGACGGATCAAGACCATTCGTGGCATCCTGCTGGCCGGGTAGGAAAAGTCGAAGATGTCTACAAAGCAGTCAAATATCTGGTCGAGTCTGACTTTGTGACCGCCGAGAATATGGTGTTGGATGGAGGCGTAACCAGGAAGATGTACTATCCAGAATGAGATGACTACCATCGAGCTAGGCAGTTCTATTTTGCAGTCCTTTCTGGCAGATCGACAATACCAGTTCTGTGATCAAACTCCACGAATGAATCAAGGATGGTAACCATCCTGACTAGGGTGATACAAATTAGTTGTGTGACTTTCTCAAGGAAAGAATATGATATCGACGATTTTATTGTATTTATGAGTCGTGGCAGTTGCTATGCGTGTTGCAGCCTGCTGGATCTGTCTCAACACAAGGTCATGGAAATTATTGCCATATTCAGAAGATCAGATTGACATGAGACTGAAGAAGAAATTGGGTATCATAGGTATGCTTCACTAAACAATCGCGTTCTCAGGAGGTTTGCTGCAATCCAAATGTTCTCACATGACGACGCACTCGGCTTCATCTCTCTTCTGATTACTCCTGGTCAGGCGGCCCTGGTTGGGCTGGGGCTTTGCTGCTTTGCCCTTCCTGATTTCTTCAAGTCTCTCAACAGCCTTGGGGAACTTGTACGAAGCAGCCCTGGTGTACCACCTTTTACCTTCCTCTAGACCAGCAGGACAGCCAATGCCGTTCTCAATGTAGTAGCCCAAAGCATACATGGCCTTTGCAAGCGGAGGTTCACTTGTCGCAGCTTTGCGTGCCCAGAGGTATGCCTCCGTGTCCGACTGGTTTAGAATCCCCTCGGCACCCGTGAGGTACCAACCGGAGAGCGCCAGTTCAGAATTGTGCTCACCCTGAGCAGCTGCCTTGGAGTACCATGCAATTGAGTTGCGCGAATCGACTGGCAGACCCAACGATCCATACTCGAAGGCTTGGCCAAGTCTGAATTGCGATTGCTTGTAACCCATTTTGGCTGCTTGCATGTACATCTTCTGTGCGTATTTCTCGTCCGGCTTCACTGCTGCACTGATAGCAGGATCGGGATTTCCCTCTTCGTGAAGGCGAGCAAGTTCGTGGATGGCGTGAGGATTGTTGGCATCAGCATTGTCAGCTGCTCTCTTGAGATACGCCATCGATTGCCCTACGTTTCTCTGCTGGCCAAGAAGGCCCCTGAGTAGGATCATTCCCATCTTATACATGGCAGCCACGTCTTGTAGCTGCGAGGCCCGCTGATACCATTGCACAGCTTTGTGATAATCTCGCTTGGTGCCGCCCCCNTCTTCAGCTCCCATCTCGCAACACATGGCGGTTCTATAAGCTGCAGCGCCATGTCCAGCTTTGGCCGCACCTTGATATAGCGAAAATGCCTGCTTGGGGTCAGGTTCTAGACCCAAGTCTCCAGATCCGTAGCAGTCTGCTAGGTAAAACATTGCTTCCGGATAGTTGGCTGCAGCGAGTTTTTTGACACGTTTGTGGGCGTCAAGAACATACCGTTCACTATTTTTNGCAGTTGACTTTGCATCTGACCGGCCATTCTCCGATGCCAATACAGTCGAAGCTTCGACAAGCTTCTTGACCAGAGCCATTGCAGTCTTCATATCATTGGGATTCGCCTCAACTCTTGAACGCAATGTATCGAGTTCGCCTTTCGTCACTGGACCAGAGCTGCCGGTATCAGCACCCGTAGGAGATTTAGGTTGCGACTGAGCGCGACTGCTTGATGACAACTGCGGGTTGTTGGCATAGTTGCGCACAGGAGTGTGTTTGGGAGCAGGAGGACCGTTGTTCAGGCCAGGCCTAACGGGAACTGGATGGCTGGGAGGTCCATCAGGATTAGCAGACTGGTTGTAGCCATGTTGCTGAGCACCTGGTATCGTTTGTGGAGCCGATCGTTGTTTAGCAAGTGGAGCGTCAAAGGGACGGTCAGACGATGTTGGCGGAGCAAAGCCATTACGGGTGGCGGGCGCACTCGGGGACCGGTCTTCCATAGGAAAGCGCGGGTTTGGCGCCCTCTCGACCATTGACGGATCGAGCCCGTAGCCATAGTCAGCTTGTCTAGCAGGGGGGNNAGGCGCGAAGCCATTGGCCATTGCAGGCGCACTTGGAGCTCTGTCACCTGATGGTTGACGCTGTGCAGGTAGGCGGTTCTCTATTGGCATTCCTGATCTGAAGTCTTGCTGTCCAGGCACTGGTCTCCTGGATTGTGGTCCTCTAGACTGCGATCGGGGTCCACCGTTCATGGGCATAGGTCCAGGAGGCATGGATCCTGGGGGCATAGGTCGAGGTGGCGGCGGCCCACGACGAGCTTGCCCATTTGGCAAGGAGCCTGGAGGCATACCACCCATTGGACCTTGAAGGGGCGTGGGACCCCGCCTAGATGGTCCGTGAGGCATATACCCATTAGGAGCAACGCTATTTGTGTGTCCGTCCGGCATGGGACCACGTTGCACAACAGAATTTGGCATAGGCCCGCCTCGTTGCATGGGTAGTTGCCCGCCATACTGCTGCCCATGGTACAGACCCTGATCGTCCGAAGTGACAGCTCTTTGCTGCTGCGGTGGCCTCGGTGGCCCTGGGCTAGGGTCGTCGTAGCTCTGGCTCCGTTGTTGATCGGGAGGCGGCATGGTTTGATGAGCGTAGCCCTGCTCATACTGCTGCGCTCTCAATGGCCTACCTGACTGGTCTGCTCGCACGTCATAGCCTTCGTAGCGCGATGGATTATGAGCCGGGGGTTCAGGCATGGAAACCTGGGCGTTGTAGCCATGACTGGACTGTGCGGGTTGTGGCTGGCGATGCAGAGAAGCGAGAGGCGTGGACGACTGGTGGCGGTAAGTGTGATCATGCTGTGGAGGCTGTGGGGGTCTAGCAGAAGTAGAGTGTTGATCGCCCTGAGTGCGATCCCATGGCTGCTCCCGGTGAGACTGAGTGTGGTGGTACAGAGCTTGTGCAGGGTGCTGCGGGAGACGAGTGGGATTGTGAGGCTCAGGGGACTGTGTCAGCTGCTGGCCCTGGAAGCCGAAGTCAAAGGCATTAACCTCGTCGTGAACAGGGGTACGTTGGCGCAGATCTGGTTGAGATTTGGCAGATTTGAGCTTGCTGGAGGCAGTCTGGTAGCCTGCCGGAGGTTGAGCAGACTGAGCAGGACCGTTCAAGTGCATGTTGTTCAGATGTTCGTCGATAGTGGGCTGACGCTTATGCGCGTTAGGTCTATCAAAATCGGGCATGGCAGCTTCGATCTCGTCCTCCCGATTCATGGGCCGAGGAGGCTCTTGGTAATAATCATCGTAGACGCCTCCCAGACTCTCGTGCTTGTCCGCATGGGGGTTCCAGGGCTGTTGAGGATGAGCAAAGTCGTCCTGATAGGCCGAAGCATTGGAGAGGTGGGCCGCTTGCGAGATACGTGCTTCGTAAGGAGCGTGGACCACGGGAACGATGGCCGGACGATGGCGAGCGGTCACACTGCTCAACAGGGGTGACTCGACACTATGAGGATCGGGAGCGACGTGGGTATCAAGAGGCGCCAGGAAGGGGCGTTCGCGGCCATTGGCAGAATCGCTTGTCGAAGGACGAGAAGACGCCGAATAAGGCGGGCTGAAGGTGGGCAGGGGAGCAAGCTGTGCTGGAGGCTGTTGTGGAGGACTTCGGTAGGGCTGGCGCTGGTCTCGAGTCTGTGGACGAGCATCTCGACTGGCAGACCTTGGGTCTTGTAGGCGAGTCTGTGGTGGGTGATGTGGTTGCGGTGGAGGTTGTGGAAGAGGGTGGAAGGATGTTGTAGGATTCGGAGGGTCTTGGAAACGCGAGTGTGGTGGAGGGCGAGGAGCGTCGGCTGTCGATGGTCTTGGGTAGGAGGGGTTGGATGGTTGTGGAGGATCGTACTGGGTGTTTGGCGGCCTCAGATTCGGACTGGCATTCGCGGTGGGTGGATGGTCGCGAGGACCGGATGCATCGCGTGGTGGCCTCTGGTGCTGGTGGGCAGCGGCAGCAGCAGCGACAGAGCGCTTTGTGGGAAAGACGGGAAAGGCGTTGTCCTGAGCCATTGGACTCTCTCCGGGCGATGGTTGATCGAGCAGCGGTCTGCGGGTTGCTTGGGAGTGGGAGCGTCAGCGTCTGTGGCATGTGGTGGCCATGGAAGCCTTGTCTCACCTGGTCGTGATGGCTNNCTCGTCTTCGCGACTCGTCNNTCTTCCTGTCCTGGCTCGTTGCGTGTGTGTTTGCCTGTCTGCCGCGGGTCGTGGCTGTGTAGCATGCTCTTGATCCAGGTGGGTGTCGTGCGCTGTGGGTAGCGACTCGAACGCGCCTTGATCTGCTCGCCGACCTCTGTACGCCGGTGACTGGGCTCGCTCGATCAGGTAGCCCCGCGTGGGTGGAACGTAGGCATTATTTGGGTCATACGCCATTCTGGTCCAATCCCTGCGTCAACGTTGGACCCGGCATGAACTTTCTCTGACCACTGGAAGCGACAAAGAGCAACGAGCCTCAACTTCTTACACTCTTTCGAAGGGGCAAGGGTGCAAGATATGTGGTGACAATGCGCCAATCAATGCACAACAAGGACGAGATTACTTGGTCTGCTCCAGCGTCGACACCCAAGGTTTCAGCTGATGCTGCCCATGGTTTCGAACTTCCCCAATTACGCGCCCGGAGCTTGGACACTCCAAACATAACACTGTCACAAGGACCGTCAGCTCGCTGTTCCCACTCTGCTCTGTAGAAACACTCTTGCGTGCTCTTGAAACCACATGCCACCTTCACCTTACTCGCCCTCGTCCTTCCATCCTTCCTGAAACATTCTCTAACTGGAGGCCGTGCTGCCATGATCGTCAGTGGCTTGCCGAGGTCTGTCTTGCAGAACGCTTGGCCTGTGTTGAGCCTCATTTCCCAATCCTCCATCTGGATCCATCCACGATCTGTCCTGTCGCGCTTGCCATGACTTTCTCTTGCATCTTTGGTGCACAGAGCGATGCTCTACTGCCGCTGTCCTACTCTCGGTGCTGCAGTCTCGTCCTCGTGTGCGACTTGAGTCCTGCTACGTGGCCGCCAATCCCCGTGACACCGCACGCGTTCTAGCATGAAGCCTTTATATTTGCCTCGTCTCTTGTCGAGCTATACATACACATAGTGTTGTGCTGCAAGGCTAGCAACGGCTATAGCAACTTCTTAAGTCCACCTGCCTGCTAGTGGCCATCCTTCAGCTCCACTCCCTTGTCCAGCACCAAACCCCGCTCCATATTTACGGCCGACTGTTGATAAGTCAGCCTGCCGAGGGCCAAGGGTAAATATACATGCACAAGCACGTTGGCTGCTGTTGAGCAAACTGTTCCACCAAACGTCGTGCCTCGTCTTCTGTCTGCTCGGCCTCTTCAACAACATGGATCTAGGTGGACATCATTGCACTCTTCTTGTCTTGTTGATCTACTCACACTGCAACAGGTACTGCCACAATTGCTGGTGCCGCCGTCGCTGCTGCTGCGTATATTGATGGTAAACTCCAGGTCCGTAAGGACTTGCGCGATCTCTGGAATGTTAAGAGAGCTCAGTTTGAATGGAATCGAGCAGGTAATCCAAAGACATGGATTCTGATGTATAGAAGCTCTAACAATCCCAACTTGAACANNGTCAAGAAAGGAGAAGCCTCACTTTGGAGCCAATTCGAGCAACAGGTCGAACGTCTGCCTTCCTCGACACGATGCATCTGGTCCAAAACTGGATCTTATACCTGGTCTGAGACACATGCTCAAGCTTGTCGCTATGCCGAGTTCTTCTTGACAAAAGGGGTTCGTCCTAGTGAACCAGTTGCCATATATCTCCAGAACTCGCCAGAGTTCATGTTTACTTTGCTTGCCACATGGGCTCTCGGGACAGCCCCGGCAATGATCAACTATAATCTTACTGGCGATGCGCTGCTACATTGTCTCAAGATCAGCAACAGCAAAGTCCTTGTGGTAGACGAGGACGCTGGGTGTCGACAGCGAGTTGAAGAGTGTCGGGAAAGGATCGAGCAAGAACTAGGTATACAGATTGTCGTTCTTGACTTATCGACAAAGGCATCAATCGCTGCGATCAGTCCAAAGCAACCAGAGTCTCGTTACAGAGATCACGTGGATGGAGAGACACCTGTTCTTGGAATTTACACTTCGGGCACAACTGGACTCCCAAAAGCAAGCCACTTCCACCTTGAAAGAATCTGGTTCCTGGGAGATTATCGTAGACGTCTTACAAACCAAAGCTCAGGGCCTGACGGAGATGTCTTTTATAACTGTATGCCCTTGTACCACGGCACCGGAGGTGTACTCGCTACTGGTTGTATGGTTTCTGGTATGACACTGGCCATCGGACGCAAGTTCTCAACCTCCGGATTCTGGGACGAGATTAGGGAGTCTGGAGCCACTGCCTTTGTCTACGTAGGAGAGACTGCGCGCTATCTGCTCTCTGCACCACCCTCGCCCAGAGACAAAGACCACAAAGTTCGTCTGATGCACGGCAATGGTATGAGACCGGATGTCTGGAAGAGATTCCAGGAAAGGTTCGGTGTGACGGATGTCATGGAGTTCTTCAATAGTACCGAAGGTGTCTTCACTCTGAATAACTACAGTCGAAACGACCACTTCGCAGACGCAGTCGGCCACCATGGAGCGATCTTCCGGGCTGTGTTCAAAAACACCTACGTTCCGGTGAAACTAGACTACGACACGGGTGAGATCTGGCGTCATCCAGAGACCGGTTTCGCACAGCGGCAACCCTACGAGGAAGGTGGTGAGATGCTGGTCAAGGTTCCCGACGAGAACCAATTCAAAGGATACTGGCACGCGCCTGAAGCCACAGCAAATAAATATGCTAGAGATGTCTTTGAAACAGGTGATCTATATTACAGATCTGGCGATGCACTGCGAAGATCCTCGGATGGAAAATGGTTCTTCATGGATCGTCTCGGAGACACTTTCCGCTGGAAGGGCGAGAACTGCAGTACGACCGAGGTCGCTGAGTGCTTGGGCAGATTTCCATCCGTCAAGGAAGCCAATGTCTATGGCGTTGAAGTGCCAGGCAAGTCCGTCTTCGATTGCTGAGATATAACGTGCTAACAATCGTGTCGCCAGNGTCATGATGGTAGGGCATGTTGCGCTGCCGTGTATATTGAACCAGCAGATCGTGCTTCGTTCGACTTTAAGGCCTTCCTCTCTCATTCGCAAAAGCTGCTTCCCAAGTATGCTGTCCCATTGTTCTTGCGATTCGTACAGGATGACCAAGCACATACCATGCACAACAACAAGCAGAACAAAACCCAGCTCAGACGTGAGGGCGTAGATCCCGAGAAGGTCTCTCGCGGAACAGCTGGCGCCAAGGACACACTCTACTGGCTACCGCCTAGAGGAAATACCTATGAATCGTTCGGCGAAGCAGAGTGGCACAGTATAGTCGCAGGCAAGGCAAAACTGTGAAACCTCGATGGAGACAGAACAACTTATATGGCAGAGTAGTTCTAGTAGTTAGATATCTCGTCATTTGCCCTGCGCACTCTAATACACATGACTAGCAATCTCTGGCCCTTTTGTATGGGATACCATGGAGCTGGGAGGCGCTTGACAAGATAACAAGTAACAGCAGTAGAACAATTTGCAATGGACTAGCGGCGTCAAAGATGGTTGAAGGTAAAATGCAACAGTGGAGCGCTAATACTTGAGTCGCGTATTGTGTTGTGCTTTCCATAGAGGCTGTTTTTCTTCCGTCCAGAAAAAAATCCTACGACCACACGCCACAGTTAATGGCACTAGCAATTACCAAAAGCACAGTCGCTTCCCCAAGAGATGTGGGCATGCGGGTGCATCAAAAGCAAGCGATCTTCTTCAACGCTGTCGCAAAAGTGATGATGCGCAAAAGAGCAACGCCCGACCAGAGGCTCGAACTCTGAACCTTGAGATCTCTGATTCATAAAAGTCTCACGCGCTGACCAATTGTGCCAGCCGGGCAGAAGATAGTGAGACGGCTGGAAAGATAATTATATTCTTGCAGTGGCCACTAAGATCATGAATCCCAGTCACTTCTCACTTCCCCCAATTCTATACTGTTCAAAGTTAACCATCGTTTTCCATCTTGTTCTACCATGGTGACTTTCCGGCCTGCTGACCCAGCACACGAAGTATGATGGCCACGACCTTTACATCTTTGACGAAGAACTTTGTAAAAGTGAACTACTTCCAATGACCCTATCTAACACATATGTACAAGAAACGATCTGAATCACCTGCTAACGACTGTAGTTACAACGAGATACTGTCGCCTAGGTCCAGGTTCTCTAGGCAAATACTCGTAGGTCTGCTTGAATGCCGAACTCTACTCACCACACATGTCGGTCCGACCACCCTGCCTTCTGAAGTCTGTATAAGACTCCCTAGTGATTGATATGGTTTTTGGAGATAGTATTTAATGGGGAACACGTTGATTTGAGAAGCATTAAATACTCGATATCAGACGGAGACACAACAAACAGTCTGCTATAGTGGCTGGTATCAAGGATGTCATGGCTTCATTGCAACCAGCTCTACTACAACAAATATCATTTAAGTATTCCGTAGCATTGAGACTGCAAGCTTTCAATCTCGCCAACCACGCAGGCAATATACCCCACGGCCTAGTTGTTAGAGTGTCTGTCTCCAGGATAAAAAGTACGACGAAGCATACTCTTGTCACACTCGGCAATCTTTGAGATACCAGCAAGTCCCATGCTCTGATCAAGGTCNCTATATGGTTTGTCAGCTTCTCAATCAGGCTCAACATCGACCTCAAAATGGCTTACTGCTAGTATGCCACGGAGAGCATCTTTGGCTCCCGCCTTGCCGCTAATTCCCAGGCCGTAGACCCAAGGACGCCCAATAAGGACACCCTTGGCTCCGAGAGAGAGCGCTTTAATGACGTCGACACCAGTTCTGATGCCGCTGTCGAACAGAACATCGATCTTGTCACCAACTGCCTCGACAATCTCTGGCAGGACTTCGAGGCTGCCAATCGCTCCCTGGATAGAGTTAGCCTTGTTTCTCGACGAACAGTAGGGGTCACGTACATCTAACTGCCTGCCTCCGTGATTGCTGACGACTATGCCTTGAACACCAACTTCGACGGCTTTTCGGGCATCCTCCACATGCTGGATACCCTTGAGGACGATAGGACCGTCCCAGTTATCCTTCAAGTGCTGCACTTCGTCCCAGGTATGAGCAGCACCAGGGAATACCTTGCTCTGCCACTCAAGCGCAGCATCGTGAATGTCATCTTCTACCTCTTTGTTGTGCTTCTCCTTGAACTGTTGACGGAAGACAGGATCGGAGAAACCGATGGCGTCACCGATACCCTTCATGAATGGCACATAAGCACCCNNTAAAGCGAGGACACAATTAGCATGATCTCACCAAGTTAATGTAAGAACACCACGGCTTTACTGGAACGGTGCGCCTAACTATGCGAGATGCTGTCCCAGGTGGTGTTTCGTATAAACCCAACCCGGTCGAGCTTTCCACACAGACTGACGCAGATCGCCAGCACTGGTCGTGGTGTCCATACCTTCAGCTTAACTCACATCGAGATCGAGAGGTCTCCAGCTGAGAGACCAAGTATCTAAAGTGACGACCAACACTTCGTAACCAGAATTCTTCGCTCTGTTGAGCATGCTCTCGGTTATAGCTTTGTCGTGAGGCCAGTAAAGTTGGAACCATCTGTGGCCATCACCATTGGCTTTGGCGACTTCCTCGATCGTGGATGAGGATGCAGTCGAGAGGATGTAGGGCACTCCGATTTCAGCTGCGATCTCAGCAACTCCAGTCTCCTTGTCTTCGTGGAAAATTGACTGGACACCGACAGGAGCTACGAGACAAGGCGTGGGATACTCCTTGCCCAAGATGGTCGTCTTAAGGCTTCGATGGGTCGTGTCACGAAGCATGCGTGGTACCATCTTCCAGGTTCTGAACGCTAGGCGGTTTGCGTCCATGGTAGCGCCCTCTCCAGCACCTCCACCAACGTAGTTATAGCTTCTACGGTTCATGGCTTGCTTTGCTTGTTCCTCGAGCTTGTTTGGGTTGGTTGTGACGGTCGGAACCACATTGTCATACATTCCTTTGCGATAGATCTCGGTCTGAAAAGCTCCATAGTGATCGTGTTGGGCGGGAACATTGGCCGCACCGTCTTGATGAGTACCTTGAATTGCGTTCATCTTGGCTGACAGGTGGGCAGTATGGAATAGAGCAAAGAAAGGGTAAGGAGATGGAAGATTTGCTGTACAGAGTTGGCGAATGAGACGAGATGACAAAGTGCAACGAGAGGTAGGTATTTTGTCTTATATATCCTATGATGTTGGATGAGAACCGCCGTGGAGAGACGACAAAACAGTGATGTATGCAGTTGCGTAGATGACGTGGATCGAGACTTCCGCGGTGCCGAAGCCTGAAGGCCCGAAGCCCACGAAACGATCAAGGATGAATCGGTCTCTGTCTGGCAATGTTCGAATCAATTGCCAGTAATTATGGCATGAGGAAGCTTGTCTTTGTTAAGCGCTCCTTCCAAGACATCAATTTGTGTTACTCCATGGTTATTCCTTGTTCTGTCAAGTCCGCAAGGTTCGGACGGTCGCAGACAAACACCTGAAGACGACACTGAGCTCATGGCCGCCAACACGCCGCCGCTATGGACAAGAAACACATCACGGTTGCTCCGTATTCACATGTTACTCCGATTGCAAATACCCTGTGCTGAGTGCATTCCTGTCGGCGAATGTATTGACCAATAGAAGTCGATTTAAACGGCCGCGTGTGCAGCCTTGCGGCGAGGGTCGTCATGATGGCTGTTGTGCTAGGTAACTATGACAATATATATTCGACAGTCGCGCTTTCTCCAAAAGCTCCTAAACTCTTCTTACCAACAAAGGCACCACAAACGACTGTATCACAGCACCAACCATATCCGCTACAATGAATCCGCAACGTGCAGAACAACTCTCGAATGCGTCCGTACCATCGTCAGAGTATCACGAACAGGCACCTCCACTGCCAGCTCGTACTGTCAATACCTCAAATGCTTTGCAAGCAAAACCATCGTACCCAGCACCACCTCGACGGTTGAGTAGTGCCAGATCATCAAACGAGGATATCTCATCACCAGTGCATTACACTCGAGATCCACATCGCCTTGTTGCTTATCTGATTCCGTTCCCGAAACCAAGACTACAAGGCATCTCACCAGATTCTATTCCTGCTAGGTATTTGATCTACACACCTCCTCCTCCTCCTCTGAAGGCGCCTGCAGAAGGAGAGAAGGAAGCCAAGGTCCACAAACTACACCGGAAATGGCAAGAAGAAGTGCGCTCGGCAAAGACGTCGACTGCTAAAACCGCGAGCTGGAAAGGTGTCAAAGGCAAAGCTACAAAAACAATCGACACAGCAATGGGTTGGACAAAGAGCTCGAACCTCGAGTTTCTCAACAGAATCAACGTTGACGGCGAGAAGGGACCTGAAGCGCACGCACGGGACGAGAATACTGAAGGAGTGACTCGCCGTACAGTCGGTCTCGAGGAAATGTGTCTTGTTTATCCTAACAGCGTCAAGAGCAGTCCAGATCAGCTCAAGGTGGAGTTTGTCGAATCAATGATGCGAAGCAAGAGCAAGGCCCAGAGAGACTCAATCATCGCCACTGGCTTGTTGCCTGTATCTGCCGCGATCGACATCATGCTGACACTGATATGGCCGTTCGGAGGATTGTTGGAGATTGACGCAGTCTGGGCATCTGCTTCGATCAGAGGCGCGAAGATTTCTCGAAACGTGACCAAAAGACTCCACTCTACTTCCGCGAGCGGCAATCATGATGAAGACACTTTGAGACTCTCGTTCCATCCTTCATCCCGTCTCAAAGTACTGGACAAATATCTGGAGGCGAGATGCCACGAGAACGACGCAAAAATGTTTCCATCTTTCGGTTGTGCGCCGACGGAAACAGAATGTCTCCAAGCAATAGGATGGGGTCCCAGTCAGACCGATGGAGAGACAAGAAACTGGGAAGATGAGCACTGGGAAACTGCAGAGGTAAAGGAGGACCTCAAGACTGTCTTGACCAAAGCCGCACGCGAGTGGGACAAGTGGTGCAAAGCCTATGAGAAGAATCCCGAGAAAGCAGTGAAAAAGTAAAGAATGGCCTGGGAGATGTGCTATCCACCAGTTGTTTCCAGAAGCAGGATGTTGTTGTTCTCAGAAGTTGCCATAGAGATGGATCGATTCCGGGGTAGGTAATGTAGCATGTCTTGGTCAGGGTGTGGTATACGGTCAGAAACAGAAAGGCGTGCCGAACCAGAAGCAGGATGAAGTGGTTATATAAGTTTTCGAAAAAGTACCTCATTGTTGGGAGTGGGGACAATTCTTGTAGTCATAGAAATGTCCATAGCGTGATCCCGAGGCCACGTGCGAGACCTTGATGGCCACGAGGAGACAGATGTAATACGTGAAGCTTCCCGAACCTTTCTGAAATGCTTGTTTCTCATGTTTGACGTCTTCTGCTAGGCCTCACACTGCCGCTAACTCACGAGTATGCAAGATGAGGGAGGTTTAACCTGCATATTATGAGGGATGAGCAACCACTGATAACGCCATCGCAGCGCAGATAGGCGACATTGATAGCAGTCTTATCATGTCGTGCTTCGATGCACATAAAGTGGCCACCGCGCACCCGTACACGATCGCTGCCTCCAGGAACCCATTCTACCAGCCAGAGTTCGCCACCTCTTCTCCGGACTAAACATCGTCTTCAACGCCGAAACATCGAGGATCTTTAGAAGACACTCGGCAGTGAACCTTACACAACATCAACCGTAGCTCGCTCAGCAGCACATCCAGCGTCGATTCTTTGTGCTTGGATTCTGGATGGTCTCCACCTAGCCTGCATGAGCAGAAGCCTACTTTCACATGCTGGTGTCGCATGTTAATCAGATCAGCAACTTGTAAGTTGTAAGTCAGCCCTCGGCAGGTCCTCGAGAACCAATATCCGCCGATATACCACTTGTGAGTGGCTTTGCAGACACGAGATTGCCTCAGGCGAAACGAGATGATCTTTCCAACTGGCAGCATCGGCCGAAGCAACCATGTCGCCCGGGTGAGGAGAGGCCATTGTGTGGCAGCGCGTATCAAACGGACGCGAACGCCTGGCTCCACGCAGCTTCCTGCAGCAAGCACAGGCTAATATCACGGCGATGGTGCTCCCGTCCCAGACTTCTCACCGAGGCGACGAACGTGCGTGGAACCTCGATTGTTTCGATCCGGATGTGTCTGTCCTCGGGGCACGCGAGCAATCAACAACAACAGAAGCTCCTCGTTCCCGTTAGAGAGCCAACTCTTCGACCTGTTTTGACCGTGTTTCGCCGGCTCAAGGTTTGAAGCTGTCCCTGGACCTGGAGGATGCAGGACCCACCCCACCTTATTGTACAAGTATCACGGAGGCTGAAGTTAAACGCCGACCTAAGTCCCGGCTCTTCTTTCTTCCTTGTTCTCAAGCTCTCAGGAATCGATCACCAATAATATGCTTCGACTCACGGGCTTGGACAGCATGCATATATGCCAGCTCTAATAAGTCCTCGCGCCCGAAGCAAAAGTCTGGCGGTCTTTTCAGAGTCGCAAGATCTCGGACCCACTGAGCGGATTTAACCCAAGGAAATTATTTCTGGAGAATCGTTGGTTGAGTTGTCGCGTTTCTTAGCGCACTCATCCACATGGTTCGGGCGAGGCCACCTCAAAAATCACGGGGAAAGAGATCCACATGGTCGTGTGCAAACAACCCTTGCTCGAAGGAGGAATTTTCGTTCCTGAAGCACACTGTTCCGACTCGCGACTCGCGAGTGTGGCCAGACCTCTGGAGCAGAAGCGCATCGAATTTATCAACGACACTCCAGCACATATAATATCTGTTTGCGAGGCTCGTGGTGAGCGACGAACGAGTTTTCTGGAACCTGTAGACTTGTAAGGAATTGGCATGTGAGAAGACAGAAACGGAAGCGACGTACGTAGAGCAAACGGTGGTGGAGCTTGTCTCGTGCATATGCATGTTTTTGCTTGTTCGCTTTGCAGGATCATGAAGCATAGTGATCAGCTAGCCACCCACAGTGCATGGCATCGGTAGTTGTACTTACAAAGGTAGGTACTTGGTAACTAGATAGACGCGATTGGTGTCAGGCACACTCTCGAGAGTCATGGACATGCACAACAACAATTCAGGCGGAGAGTCGGTCGATTCCAGCCTTGGAGCGATGGCGTCCGTGTCAGTGTCAAATCGCTCTTGAGCCCTGACACTGACAGCACGGAGGAAGGTTCTCAATAATCCCCAAAGAGATGAGCCGAAGATCAGGGTCTATCTCGGGATATCACGGATGGCTCAGCGATGGTTGTGGGGAGGCTAAAGTGTCACGCACGGGTCGCAAAAGACGTGTCGAGTCAGAAGGCAGTTGTTGATGGGAAACGAAGGGAAAAGGTACACACGAAGGCGTAGTGATGAGATGGGGGCATGAGTGCAGAGGCAGTGGAACGATTGAGAGGACAGGCTGATGAAGTCGACTTCGGATATATTGAGAGGTAGACAAGGAGCGGGCCCCGAGTAAAGTGGGAGGTGGATTCTCAACCGAGCGGTTCTACAACGGCAAAAAGGGTTGCAGACTCGAGCAGATAGGAGGAGCAAGGTTTGAGCCGCAGAGGTGGGTCGGACCTCGAGGCTTGGAGCCTGTCAATGCTGTTACCATCGTCATTGGGCTTTTGCTGCGACGAGCAAATGCAGTGAGCCGAGAGCGTGGGGGCTTCTTGTCGGTCTTGTATGCGTGTATAGACGGCGGTCAGTACGGAAATTGATGGAGACAGAGACAGGCTTTGTAACGACGACGAAGCCAGGCAGCCGTGCGAAGGTTACGAAAGAGCGAGCAAAGATGGGACGAGGAGCAGCAACAAGATGCGACGGTAAGGGCAGCAGGCAGAGGGCAGACTCTGGGCAGAGCATGTGGCAGCAGATCCCTGCCCGTCTGTCGGCGCGCGTGGGTGAAGCTAACGGATTGGATCAGCCACATTCAGAGTGCATGGAGACTAAATTGACGGAGCGCAAAACAGGCGACGAGGAGCGAGCGGGTTCGCCCCTAGAGGCTAGCAATAGTAGGCTACTCGTGTGCCGACCCTTTGCTGACCGAGTTGGACTCCGAGTTCGAGCCAGCATTAGACATACCCACATCCCACCCTCTGTCTTCCCGCAGCGCGTCATTTGCATCTCCAACCATTCATACTCTGCCCTTGGCTTTTGTCTGTTACAAACTTCTGGAGCCTGCCTGCGTACGCCCGGGAAAGTTGGTTGAAGTTCACGAGCACAACTGCCTCTCCGCACGAGAGCTTATGTGTTAAGGCCAGCCGAGCAATCAACCAAGGACGTGGGGGCCACCCAAACATGACATCGCCGCGTGCCTTCGCTCCCACCATGGCCGAAAGAACGGCACCTACTTCGTCGACCACGTCTTCGGCGGTCCAGTCTCTCACCAGCGCCAGCACGCTGGATTCCCCTACCGAGTCATCAGCGCGGAGGGCGCTGCGGGATAGTGTGTTTGAGTCGGCGACATGGCGCGAACCTGACGGCGAGAGCCCCGAAGAACTACAACGAAAAGACCCCCTCGGCACCCAGATCTGGAAGCTGTACTCCAAGACCAAGAACACTCTGCCCAACTCGGAGCGCATGGAAAACCTGACCTGGCGCATGATGTCGATGAATCTGAGGCGCGCCCAGCAGCAGAGGTATGCCCCACGCAACAGAGAGCTGCCGACAAAGAACAAGATGACTCTAACACGCCGCAACAGCCGCCTGGCCCACGCATACCAGCAGCGTGCCAACGCTCCCAGCGGCATTGCACAGTTGCGACAGTCGGCAGAGGCCCAGTCGCACTCGCACTCGCACTCGCACTCGCACTCGCACTTCCCCATCCCCGCCCACGATCACATGAATCTGGACGACTTTATTGTTCCCTCGTCCATCGCATCCCCCATTAGCCAGCCCTCGCCGCCTGCCTCGTTCGACCCATCGACCGCGTCCGACTCCAAGACGACCCCGACAGGCATTCCTATCCGCCGCCATCAGCAGCTGCAGGACGAGGCCCAGGACGACTTCATCGCGCGTGCCTCGGCCCCTTCTGTCGCTCCCACGGCCATCAACAAGACGACCGACGAGTTTGGCTACATCCAACGCCATGTGCGCAAGACTAGCATTGACGAGCGCAGGGTAATGTCTCTCCTCTCTACTGACCACCTTGGCCGCACCGCTGACTCGTACAGCNCACCCAAGCGACGTGCCGACTGCTCACCCCAAGTTCCTCCCGTCACCACTGGCATGCCCAATGATGCTCTCCTCAACAACTACTCGCTCGACTCGACCGCCTTCAACCCCACCAACCCGCAAGCTCAAGTGCCCTTTGGCCTCGACACTTTTGCCTTTGACACAGGTGCCAACTCGGCCCACAACGACCCGCTGTTGACATCGGCCGGCCCTTTCCAGACGAACTTCAACTTCTCACCTGTCGGCTCGCCCATGATGAACACAGCTCCCTATACCAATATGTTCAACCAGTCCATCATGTCCAACAACTACTGCTCGCCGCCACAGTCGTCCTACCACTCCCGTGTTTCGACTCCCCAGCCTATTCCCGAGCACGAGCCTGTCTTCTTCAACACCTCTAGCAGTGTTGACCTGAGGCACCACGCCCACATGAGCAGCTATACCAGCCAGCAGCCTACCCCCGTCGCCAGCATGCAGCCCCAGTACATCTTCAGTCCCAACAACGACAACATGTTTAGTCAGATCTCGGCCCCCGATCCGTCGACTTCTTTCACCCAACCCTCGTCATTCTCCATGTCGGGACACGTTGATCCAACCGAGGTCTTGTCAACAGCAATGTCCTTGCCGCGAGGTGACAACATGTTTACCTTCGGTGCTGACTCTGACAATGAAGACGACGAAGCCGGCTTTGGCGACCGCAACAACTTCATCATGCAGACCGACTTTTCACCTATGGAAGACCCTTCAATGGGCGAATACCAATGGGAGAGCGGCCTCGCATCAGGCCAGTACAACTCGCTGCCCGCTCGCTATGCTGGACCACCAGCTCGCAAGGGCGTCACCATTGGTCACACCGAGATGATTCCATCACCACAAGACTGGGGCGTGGGCAGCTTGGGACGCACACATGGTTCGGCTGCCTCTGTCAGTGAGATCCGCAACCGTGGTAACGACCCTCGTCTTAAGAAGATTCCTCGCACCAGCTCAACCCCAAACGCGGCGGCTATGGCTGCCCAGCATGGTGTTTTTTCTGCCCGCCCACAGTCTTCGCCCTCGTCGCCGCCCGAGTCGTCGACTGGCTTTAGCTCGGTTGCGCCTTCTCGGCCCGGGAGTCCCAAGCCTGGTGACAACGGCTTACCCACAACATGCACAAACTGTTTCACTCAGACCACTCCTTTGTGGCGCCGTAACCCTGAAGGACACCCACTGTGTAACGCATGCGGCCTGTTCCTCAAGCTCCACGGCGTTGTACGTCCGCTAAGTCTGAAGACAGATGTCATCAAAAAGCGCAACCGAGGCGGAGCTGGTTCTGCAACCATCGGACCTTCTTCCAGCCGGTCCAAGAAAGTTGCTAGCAGGAAGAATTCGGTCGCTCAGACTCCTGCGACCACTCCCAAGCCTACGTACGATGCCGATTCTCCCAGTACAGCTGCTGGTTCCTCTACCACCGCCAATACTCCTACCACTCAAAACAACCTCGTCATTGCACCCAAGACTACTGTGGTTCCCATTGCGCCTGGTCCCNCCAAGCCACAAATGCCAGCCACAGGCCCTGCTCCTACACGGATGGTCGCACCCAAACGTCAGCGCAAGCAGAGCAAAGTCGGTAGCTCTCCCCAAGAGATTGAGATGGGTGAGGCGGACGATATCAGTACGGGCAACAAACCAAAGGAACTTACTCAAGCACCACCACCCGCTTTTGCATCCAGTCAACAGCCAACCATGATGATGAACAACGGCCCACCTGCATCAATGGCTAGCACTCCTTCTGGCATGCCCGCCGGTCCACAGGAATGGGAATGGCTTACCATGAGCTTGTAAGGTTGATAACATCATGTTGAGCAACACCTCCCAATTCTCTATACGCAAGACGGGAGCTTGCAGAGGTCGGCGCCCTTTCACAACGCTGCGCCCAACTGAGCATTTCTTTTTGCTTTTGAATTCGATCATATACCCGCCCATATCTCGGGCACTGAACATTCGATCACGATCAACCCTCGGTCTTCTGATGTTTATGGGGTTGGGTTTGCCGTCGCGCGTGCGGCCTATGTTTTTGCTTTTTCCTTGGTGTTGATACAGGCGTTATCTTTGGCAAGAGGTGTGGTACTGTTTCTGATTTACTTCTGCGAATGATTCCCTTATTAGACTGGTGGGCAGGTTTCGGATTGCTGTTTCACGGGATTATCAGATCCTTATTGTTCTTCATCTGTCTTTAATGAGCCGAGGAAGAGGTTTGTGCAAGATGATTTGGCGATACTGCCTTGGGAATGATGGTACACGACTCTGACCTCTCCCACTTTTTCGACTGGTTGTGTTAATGACCGGGATTTTAGAATTGAATCTTTCTCTTTTCTCGAGTATTCGATAGCGGGATCGGTTGTTTCAATCTACGTTTGTGCTACAAAATCTCCGTGCAAAGCTCTATGCAGTGTATCATGGTAGTCCTTGAAGAATCATACCAATGCTAGGATACAGAGCTAATCGCGCGCATTTTGGTTCAAGGTGCACAAAGGGATCCACTGAATGGTGCATTTGCAGAAACGTCAAAATATTTATGGTCCTGCTTGATTGAGAAATGACACAAGTCTTTCGAGCTCTCGATAACTTGGTGTGTTCCCGACACTCGCCCTCAGGGATACCATAACTTGCTGGAGTCCGAGTGGTAGGCTTGTTCCTACAAGTAAGGCTTCACTTCTTTGCGGTGTGCATGAAATCATCTCACTCTCCTCTCCAGGGCCTCCACTCGACTCCTGAAAGCTGCCACGATGTCGCGAATACGTCTTATCTTGTCGAATTCGGTCTCGAGTTCATCGATCTGTCTCAGTAAGGCATGAACCCGAGCGATCTCTGCGTTGGCAGCCTGGATCGAGGCGATGGCTCTCGAGCTCTGTCTTTGCACTGACGCTTGTGTTTCGCGGGTCAANCTCCAAGACACGATTCTGTCAGTAGATGCTTCAAGCTTTCAGAGCATGGCTAACTGAAACAGTCATCATTCAACCACGACAATGAGACTTGAGTCCTCCAGAATCCGGAAACAAAAGAAGCACGAGAACAGAACCTATACCCAGGAAATGAGAAGGGCCGTCCAGCGAGTACTTACAAGATTGGCTCTCTGCTGTATACCAGCCATGACGTGATCGAAGTGGTTGGCTAGCAGCTGCAAACTACTCGCGTCGACCAAGACTCTTCCATTCGCAGCTGCAGTGCGCGCATTGTTGTTTGCTCTCGACAATGCAACGTGCTGGTGTCGCTGGAAGGTTGCAACTTCTTCGCCATCTGTCAGACCCAGTTGCGATGGGGGCACTGTGGATGCTGCAGGTGCCGCTGCTCGAGATGATGAGGACGAGGGTTTCTTGGACACCATAGATGGAGGCTCATTTTTGGCTTTCATACGACTGCGCCTTGGATCGGAAGGGTTCGGATGGTCTCGCAAAGAAGATTTCCTTTGTCGTATCGCGCCAGATTACCGCTTCGGATGCTGTGCGTAATGTCGATGTTGATGGCTAGGAAATTATGAGGATGCGCGCTCTACAAAGTGCTGTGGAGTTGTGTGGCATTGCGGCCTCGCCGTCGTCGTGGGGGTGGGTGTTCCCTGCCCTGGCCGAGCATCCGGCGCGAGACAATCAAGAATTAAGCCCTTATTGTTCATGCAAGCTGGATGTCGCGATGTCGGTACTCGAGAGTAGGACATGGTTAGTGAGCATTTCACAACTGCGAGATTGGACAAAATAAATTGTGATCCTTTGAGCACTGGTAGCACCTCGAAAGGTTGAGACAGAGCACTGCAAGCCTGTGTCAGTCGGTTGGGCCAAGTCCACTCACCAACTCAACCATGAGCTCCTTCACCATCTGCTTTGTGGGTCAATGTGGATCTGGACATGACTGGAAGTAAACCGGCTATCGATTTATTGCGTGTAGCTTTGCAGCCCCATGAGAAGTAGTTCTACTCTAGCGAAAACAGTGCTCCTCCCTCTTGCGTCTCCCCACTACGAGGGCTTGAATGTAACCTCACGCCTGAAACGCCATCCTTTGTCTCCTGGTTCTAAAATCCTGCTGCCGTACTAAACGGCGAGTCCCACCATTCTATCATTCAGTAGTCGTTCAAGTTGTGCAAGGAAACATCCTGGCTGCCGCGGTGCATCAAGCCACCTTTGGGTCTTTTCTCCTCGCCCTCGCCATCAGCAGTGATTTTGCTGACGGCTGTTGCCTGTGCTTGGTTGCCCTCGTTGGCAGGAACCACGTTGCCCTGGCGATCGACTTTGACGCCGCTCGCTGCCATGCGCACTTCCTCCTCACCAGCGGTGCCCTGTCTGACAGCCTCACGGGCACTTTCCATGACCTTTAGCTTCTTTGCATCTCCACGCATGCGTTCGAGATGCTCGAAGTAGTCGTTGTTGACCGGTGTGACATAGGTACCACAAAAGACGCCAACTTCGAATTTTTGGTTCGGACGAGGACTGGCTTCTGCGCAAGACTCTTCGAGGTCTTTGAGCGACTGATAAACGACTGCGTCGGCACCAATCTTCTTGGCAATGTCCTGAGAGCTGCTGTGGTGGGCGATGAGCTCTGAAGATGATGCAAGGTCGATACCGTAGATGTGAGCATAAGTGATTGGGGGAGCGCAACTGGCGAAAAAGACCTGTTTGGCACCGGCCTCCTTTGCCATGAGCACAATCTCGCGACTGGTAGTGCCTCTGACGATACTGTCGTCGACAAGAAGCACGTTCTTGTCCTGGAACTCAATGGGGATGGCATTGAGCTTTGCACGGACACCCTTNTGACGAGCCTTCTGGTTCGGCATGATGAAAGTGCGGAAGATGTAGCGATTCTTAACAAAGCCCTGGCAGTAGGGAATCTTCAGGTGCTTGGAGACGGCATAGGCAGAGATAAGACTGGTCTCGGGAATGGGTATGACGGCGTCAATGCTTGCGAGTTGTTCGGGGGAGAGTTGCTGCTTGATGGTCTCGGCGAGGCGGTAACCCATGAGCTGACGACTGCGATGGACCGAGATACCGTCAATGACAGACTCGGGACGGGCAAAGTAGACGTATTCGAAAATATCTGGGGCGTAGTTCAACTCCTGTGCGACTTGGGAGAAGACAGGCTCCTTGCCCTTCTCGATGATGACAGCCTGGCCGGGCTTGATGTCAATGATGTTCTTGTAACCACATTGCGATAACGCAACCGACTCGGAGGCCATCATGTAGTCAGTGCCGATGCCGTCGTCAGAAGGCTTGGAGCCGAGGACCATGGGGCGAATGCCGTAGGCGTCGCGGAAGCCAATCAGACCGAAACCAGCGAGCATGGCAGTACAGGCCCAGCCACCGGAGCAACGCTTGTACATGCGCTCAAGGGCGGCAAAACAATCGCTGGCGTTGACTCTTGCCTTCTTGGTCTCGTTCAACTCGTTGGCGAAAATGTTCAGCATCAACTCGCTGTCGCTGTCAGTGTTGATGTGTCTGTGAGCGACCTGGTCGAGGTATTCTCTCAGCTCAGGAGCATTGATCAGATTGCCGTTGTGGGTGAGAGCAATGCCGTACGGGCTGTTGACGTAGAAGGGTTGGGCTTCCGAGTTTGCGCTGCTGCCAGCAGTGGGGTATCTCAAGTGGCCGATGCCCATGAAACCGGGCAGGTCGGCGACGCGGGAGCCGTCGTGGAAGACTTTTGCGGCGAGACCATTGCCCTTGCACTGGTAGATGCGGCCATTGCGGGTACAGGCGGCAATACCGCAGGCGTCTTGGCCACGATGTTGCAGGTAGTACAGGGCCTGGTGAATCTCAGCGGCAGCGTCGAGCGACGACGGGTTGCCGTGGATAACGCCGAGGATGCCACACATGGTGTCTGGCTATATAGACGAGGGTTGGTAAAGGGTAGAGAGCGAGGGGTTCTGCAAGAGACTCGACGTTAGCCGGGCTGAGATGAGTATTGGTGGTTGCCGAGGTCGTGTGCTCAAGGTGTCGCTCAGTTCTAGAAAATGTGTTCATAAAAGATCACTAGTCTAACATCTATTTTTTACTTCTGATCTCATCCGTGCAAAGTAGAGTGGATTGAAATAAAAAGTCTGCAACTTACGGATCAGGGCGGGCGCGAGGGGGAGGTCAAGTGTGGGCGTAGTGAGAGCGGCGAGGTTATTGGCAACTGGACATGGGCAGTACGCCTTGGAAAGGCACTTGAAGACGACATTTGTGTAGGAAGGAGAAAGCGTCAGAAGCAAAGAATTTTGATAGCGTTGCCGGAGTCCCCACCAATCTTCACGAACCCTTCACCTTGGCACCTGGCAAGCCATTCCGACTCCCGATTTCGGGGGGGGTGAGCATGTGGGTCGATGGGGTTTCACTTTCTGCATCCGGGGGTGGACTTCGCACCTTCGTCGCATCTGCAACAACATGACAACTCACAGTCATTGAGATTGTGATGCCATCTTCCCTTGTTGTAGTATAGGATCGATGATTGACCCGTCTCTTTGAATGATGGATCTCGTACTTCTGTAAAGACCGGTCGTGGTGGCCTAGCAACTCCGCTCTCCTCAGTGCTGCCAAAGACAAGTTTGTCGTCGAGACTCAAAAAGAACATCATGGCAATAGTCTAAGTGCTACCAATGCTTCAATCAGGTGTCTTCTCTTTCACTTTGATGCTACCAGAACACACATTCGCTTCCTTGTCCTAGACAATCTCCAACTCCAACCTTCTATCCCACATCTCTCCTCCGCAACACCTCTGATTTCATTCTCTTTCCACAACACTTCCGACTCCATTCTCTCCCCACAACATCCTCCACGCCTTTGACGGACTTCTCTTCTCGTACGCACGCCCTCTTAACTCTTTCATTGCAACAAGGGGTGCTTTGGAAGAGTTGCTGGCTTCATCACAACCTTTCTGCGACACACGAGGCCAGTCCCGTCACTTCTTTCGTGACTTGATTGCTGCTCGGCTTTTGAAATCGTCTCCAGCTTTCACTTCATCACTTTCCACCTCTTCATTCCTTCCAGCCGTTTGGTGAAGCAATCCCTTTGGCAGTCATAAAAAGATCACCAAACTTCCCGATCATACTTCATTTCACTCCTCATCGTCATCATCAGAACAACAACCACTCCCGATCAGTAAATTTTCGTCATACCAGTCTGCTATGCGCAGACCAAGTACTACTTCCTCTAGCCAGACAGGCACTTCTCGCCGTAAGTGAATGTCTTGGCTCTCCTCTGCCTTAACTAATGCCTGCCATAGAGCCAATAATGATCGATGATGATATCGACTATCTGAGCACGAACCTTTACGATGCCATCATAATTGACGACGACGACGATGACGTAGAATTCATCTCTGTGCAAGGACCATTTGTCGACGATGAGGTCCGTTGGGGTGCACCTGGGCCCCCACGCTCTCACATCAGAACGACCAGAAGACAAACAAAACCTTTTGTCGCCTACGAGCCCAGAACCAGGCCCGTCACTAACCCATCTTCCCTGCAAGGCCACTGGATCACGGACACTTTTTGTCTTGTTTCTGGTCTCGTTGTCGAGCTCAGACAAGACTCCAGCGCACCCTTCAAGTGTGGCGACTTTCTCAGCATCGAAAGTGTCTACGAAGATCTGGACACTCATGCAGTCTATCTCAGAGGCCTTCTCTATCGTCGTGCAAAGACCTTGGATGGCATGCTCCCGAAAAAGCTCAACGAAGTGTATCAGGTCTTGCAACAGAATCTGGAAGATCCCCGTCCCATCAGTATCCAATCTCTCCACGACGTCCCGGTCAGTCTAGCTGTCCGCACCCGCTGCTTGAAACACACCAATGCCCCATTTCCCGAGAACAGCTTCCGTACGCATGAAGACATGCATGGACAAACAGATGAGTTCCGTCGAGACAATGCGCAGCTCACATGCCGTTGGAAGAGGCTGTTCCAGTACACTTGCTCGACAGACTTGAAGACCGGTTACCCCAAGCAGCAGTCTCTCCAGAGACTCACCGATGTTGAATGTGATGAGGGTTTTGGCGTTTCGGACGTTGTGCTACGCAAAGCTGTTCCAAAGATCGAAGCAGACCTTGCCGTTATCGACCTTACCGCGGAAGAGGCAGTCGATCAAGACGCTCAGCAGCTAGCGAACATGCTTAGCAAAACGCACATCTATGATACAAGCACCGATTCTGCATACACCTTTGGTGACTTTTTCTGCGGAGCAGGTGGTGTCTCCGTCGGAGCTAGAGAGGCGGGCTTCAAAATCGTTTATGGCGTCGACCATGACAGGGATGCTTGCGCAACCTATCGTCTGAACTTTCCTGGCACAACCGTCTTCGAGGAAGATGTCAACCACAACTTGACCGTTAGAAAGGAAAATGCACACGTACGCTGCGTCCATATGTCCACTGTGTGCAAAACCATCTCTACTGCATACACCGTTAGAGGTAGAAACCACGACGCGAACGAGGCAACCCTCTTTACTATCTCGGATATCCTTCGCAAAGCCACACCAATGGTCGCTACACTTGAGCAGACCTTTGGCGCTCTTAATCAAGGCAAGATGCAGCTCTTCAACGCTTTCGTCTGGCAGTTCACCTCGATGAACTATTCGGTCAAATGGGCTGTTCATACTCTATCTGAGTACGGTGTTCCACAGGCACGCAAGCGCCTCATCATGATCGCCGCTTGTCCTGGACATCCTCTGCCTGACTTCCCAATGCCTACGCACGCCCCTTCAACCGAAAACCCTGTTCCAGGTTTGAGACCTTCTGTGACAATCGCAGAGGCTCTTCGACCAATTCACCGGAACACGCCAAACCACAATCCTGGCNGCTCTACCCCAAAAGACCTGGCTCCTTACAGCCCTGACCAGTTGGTCCGAGGTTGCATTACCACTAGCGGTGGGCAAAATAATTGGCACCCAAGCGGTACGCGTCACTTCACGGAGCGTGAGTATGCCTGTCTTCAGACATTCCCTTTGAATCATGTCTTCTTGGGCACCAGATCTTCGGTTGTGCAGCAGGTTGGAAATGCAGTTCCACCTGCCTTTTCTCAAAAGCTCTTTGAGAGTATACGCAAGACATTCGAAGAGATCGACACGCAAGATCGCCAGAGGGCCGAACCTATCCTGGTCGATGATGATGAGGATATGATGGACGAACCCAGGATTGTTGTGGATCTGGATTGAACATCTTGTTCGTCCTACAGTTCATTCAACTTGGCGGATGTCGTCTTCTTTCGGTTACCGGGGTTTTCAAATCTCACCAGACCAGATGCACGATCGAGCAACCAAAGTGCTTTCTCACTTACACGTTTTCCTTTCTCTACGATCCAAGAAACACTGACCAATATTCAAGAGTTCATTTGCTGATGTTATTGCTTTCTTCCAAAACAGCCCGTTTTCTTTTGTCCACTGTCTGTTCTGTTTCATGGTTTTCGCTGTTTCGCCCTGGAGCCATAGCTACTGTTTCACCGTAGAAGATTCTGAGGGGCCATATCTGCTGCATCGCAAGGAGCTCATAAAAACTGAGATAGGATCATTCTTCCCTTGCAGCTGTCCTTACTAGCAATGATACCATGTTTTTCCACAATTCCATCGGAATACAAGTGCGAGAGTTGTGACAACGTGTTTTTACCAAGTGCTAATGGCTGTCAAATTGTAGCTATAAAACAGTACAACATGCGTAAGGTTCATGATGACAAACTTGAAAATTCGTCCCTCGAAGGGTTGGATAAACAAATAATGATGTGGAGGATAAACATTTGAGAAGCCAGATTGCCACATTGCCACATTGCCACATTGCCAGGTCTGTTCGGACCATGCCCCTGTCTAGCCAAAGACATTGTTGTCTGGAAAGCAGTCCCATGTGCATTCTGCACCGGGTGTGTCTATAATTGACCATGACACAAACACCGAATGGAGGTTACGTACACGAACCATGCACATCCGCTTAGGTACTTACAGCATAGTTGGTCACGCATGTCAGGTCTGATCGGCGTTCAAGGTTAAGCCAGTGCCTGGCAGTCATAACGTGCAGAAGCAGAAGTCATTGCCGTGAGATGGCTCGCACTCCATGGTGCGACAGAAGAACGGGCTAGAGAAAACGAACATCACGATAGCAAGTAGGCTGACCGCAAATCTCATGGTCTCTGCCGAGAACGTACACTCTTCCGCAAAATCGTGCTGCAGACATTGCGCACGTCTTGTACAGAAGCAGTGAGAGCAGGCCGGAGTAGAGTGATGGCCAAAGCACCAGTGAGCGGCGACTTCAGCCTGGAGGGGACAAGAGGTTCACCCCATCTGTTGAAGCCGGAATTTTTNAATTCGTCTATGAAGGTGTCGCGGAACCTTCTCGTGGCCCATGAACGGATAGTTCTTTTCTTTGAGATGGCCATCGGGGTCCTGATAACCCAGTGTAGTCGTTTTGGATTCCAATCGTCAAGGCGACGTGAGATGGGTATATTCAAGGGGTGACGGTCATCGTTGGCAATGGTTTCGGTAGCAATGAAGGTGGTGCAATTAATCGGCCTAGGAAAAGGCTCGAAGCGTGCATGGAACAGGGTGTTGATATGTTTCTGCAGTTGTACGCGCGACATTTGATGGCGTGTAGTGAAAGGAGATGTTGCACAACGTGACGAGGTCAAACAATGAGAGATGTGAAAGAGGGAGATGGTTTGTTAGGCGCTGGCCAAGAGATTTGGCAGACTCTGAATCCCCCACGCCGACGCAACTTCCAACTCATGCGTCACGCCGACCGCCCCTCCTTCTTTTCCACAACCACAAACACTGCACACTCGACTTTTCCCGCTCTTCTACACCCAGGCAACGAAGCCGCACTAGACACAGTCCAAACTCTCCAGCGACACATTCGCCATGCCCAAGAACAAGGGAAAGGTATGCGCCCCGCAAACTCTACGAGAAAAAACACGGGCTGACTTGGCTGTGCCAACTAGGGTGGTAAGAACCGCAGAAGAGGAAAGAACGAGAACGACAACGAGAAGCGCGAGCTCACCTTCAAGGAGGAGGGTCAGGGTATGTCAACTTGCACAAGAAACAAAGCGCACAGAGCACGAGACTGACCAAGAGCGCAGNAGTATGCCCAAGTCGTCAAGATGCTGGGTAACGGCAGACTGGAAGCACAATGTTTCGACGGCGAGAAGAGACTAGGACACATCCGTGGCAAGCTGCGAAAGAAGGTGTGGATCAACCAGGGCGACATCATCCTCCTGTCGTTGCGCGACTACCAGGACGAGAAGGGCGATGTCATCCTCAAGTACAACGCCGACGAAGCACGCAGCTTGAAGGCATACGGCGAGCTGCCCGAGTCGGCCAAGATCAACGAGACCGACACATACGGCGGCGAGGAGGAGGGCATCGGCTTCGACTTTGGCGAGGACGAGAGCGAGAGCGGCGGCGAGGTCGACATTGACGACATCTAAGCGCGCGACTGGCGGCCGCTGGCGGTGGAGGCGGCATTCACGATTTCAACCAGCGTTGGGCGTCTTTTTTGTTTCACGGGCATCTTCCTTCAAACTGGGTCTGACGCCGCCGGGCTGGCAAAAATGAAGTTTCTTTACTACCTGATCCTACTACCTTGACGAATGCAAGGCCTTGACAAGACAAGCACACAGAGCAGGCACTTGAAGATGGATGCAAGGCGTGCTCGTATGGACATGATATAAACATGATTGCAGATAGCGAATTCCCGATTGGGCAGCAGCGACCAAAATTGGAGTGCGGAAGCGGCGGGCTCGGCGGACGACGCGCGTGGAAAGAGGTTGGTGCTGCTGCTGCCGCCGCCGCCGCTGCTCGTCGGCCTTGTCTTCCGTAACCGACTGACGTACCGCTCTTGAGCCTTCTTCTGCCCACCAACTACCACCAGTCACGCAGTGTGCCTGGCTGTCTGTCTAGCTTCACCATCTTTCCACTACCCGTGCCCCTCACTCTGGGTTGGCACATGCGCATCCTCTCGCCCTCGCCATGCCCTCGATCCTAAACGACGATGACAAGCAGAATGTCAAGCGCCAGGTGCCCAAGGCTTCCAACAAGATCCATGCCGTCGCCGTCGCAAAATTGTACGTTGCATACCCAAACCACAACAGATGGCAGTACACCGGTCTGCAGGGCGCCATAGTCCTCGCCAACGACCTTGTCGGCAACACTTTCTGGATCAAGATGGTCGACGTCTCGGTACGCCCTTTCTCCTCATGCCCATGCCGTGTGCCTCGACTGACCACTTCTCCAGCCCTCGAACCGCGGCGTCGTCTGGGACCAGGAAATCTACGACACCTTCCAGTACAACCAGGACCGTACCTTCTTCCACACCTTTGAGCTCGAGGACTGCCTGGCCGGCCTGTCGTTTGCGGACGAGAAGGAAGCGAAGCAATTCAAGAAGAAGATGGACGAGCGCGAGAAGAACGCACACAAGAACACAAAGAACAAGCCCTTTGGCAGCGGCAGCGGCACAAACAAGGACTATACTGCTGCGAGTGGAGGCGGTGGTGCTTCGACTAGACACCGTTTTGGGCTCAGCAGTCTGCTACCCGGACATCGCCATTCGCAGGCTCCCCAGCCTCCTGCTCAATCCATTATTCCACCACGCGATGTGACTATCAACCACGCCGCGCCTGCTCGCCCTACCCCATCTCACAACTTGGACATGTCGGATCCTGCTGTGCAAGAAGTGCTCGACCAGCTGCTGTCCATGGGCATCACCGAGGACCAGCTCGAGGAGCACGCTGGCTTTATTCAGACCTATCTCGAGCAGCACAAGGCCAGTGCCGCTGCCGAGGAAGAGCGCAAGGCTCGGGCGCCGCCGCCACCTCCGCCTGTAGCTGCACAGATGTCTCCTCAAACCACCGGAGGAAGTGGAAGCACTTCGAGACGTGGTCCTCCACCTGCTCCGCCACAGCCTAGGAGGGGCGCTGCACCGATCAGACCACCTTCTCCCTCTCCATCGCCGCCACGCGCTCCTTCACCTCCTCGACCCATGTTCCGTGCTCCTCCTCCGATCGCCGACGCTGGAAAGTACGCCAATGTTCCTGCTCCGCCAGCCAGATCCAGAGCTTCGTCTTCTGTTGCTCCTCCGCCTCCACCACGTGTCCCGGCAAAAACGCCAGCAGACGAGCCATCCTCATCCAGGTTCGGTGTTCCTCCTGCTTTCGCTGGCGCCCGCATTCCGTCTGGTCCTCCGCCGACTCCTGCTCGAGGGCCTGTACCACCGCCCCCTCCTGCAAGGAACAATGTCGCCAGCCCTGGTATTCCTATGCCTCCGCCATTGCCTCCCAAAACTCCAACCTCTGTCGCTCCTCCTCCGCCTCCTCTTCCTCCGCCGTCAGCTCGTCCTGTTCCTCCGCCTCCCGGCGGTGGCAATCTCCCACCACCCCCTCCTCCTCTTCCTCCATCAACAGGAGGCGCTCCCCGCCTCCTCCACCCATGCCTCCGATGGGCGGTGCTCCTCCACCGCCCCCATTGCCACCAGGTCGTGCTCCTCCTGGTGGAGACGCTCCAGCACCCCCACCCTTGCCTCCCTGTTGGTGGTGGCGGTAGAGACAATCTTCTGGCTTCCATCCGAGGCGGTGCTCGTCTCAAGAAGGTTTCTGACCAGGAGAAGAAAGATCGCAGTGCTGCAGCGGTTCCAGGTAGTGAACCTCCTGCACCGAGTGGTCCGAGTAGCGGCGGAGGCGGTGGTGATGCTGCTGGCGGTCTTGCTGGTGCTTTGGCTAGTGCGCTTGCCGCCAGAAAGTCTAAAGTCAGCCACAGTGGTGAGTTTTGTCTTTGCTTTGTTGATGATGGCTGTATGCTGACGATTTCACAGACGACGAAGATGACAAGGACGACTGGTAGATTGTTGCAAGAACGCGACTCAAAGGCTTCTCATTCGTCAAAGGAGCGAGGTGTTTCAAAGGCTATGCCCGGACGGCTGTCGCTCAAATATGGGCATGTTTTGTCGGTTCATTATATATCACGGCTTTATGGCCATTGCAGCAGTGCAAAGTTTCGATTAGCAAATGTGCAGAATGTCAGTTATATTTCTCCATTATTCAAACCCCAATCTGTAGAATTCTCGTACCATCCAGTTGATTCATAATCTGCATACATGTATAAAGTGGCAACATGAGATTCTGATATGGGTCAAACAGTTCGGCACATAAAATTCACGGTGTGCAGCATGTGGGAATCATTTGGTTGACATCCCAAAAAGCACAACCGAGAGAAACCGCTTAGGACTCTAATACGTTCAAATGTGCCAAATAGTACAGGTACTACCGGCGGAATGATTGTGCATTGTTGCGAGACGGACATTTGAGACAAAGATTGACACTGCTGTCGGCGATTTATTAGGAGACCAGGGTGGTACCAGCGACAAAAGACGGACAAACTCCCACTCAGCTCAAAACACTTCCTCCCAGACCGAGTTCATATCACACCACCCGTCAACACATACACGAGCGATGAACAACCTACGGAACAACTCCACATGGAGCTTGCGACTCATTCGCCAAACAAGACAAGCATCGACACTAAACCAGAAGCCCAATGCAACACCATCCATCTTCCGCAAATACCGCGGCATCATACTATGGACGTCCATCGGCCTGGCAGTAGGTGGCACAACGGGCACTATGGTCTCGCACACAATCGCTCCTCCACCGCATCCCCTACCAGGAACTCACGAAGATGGCATCCTCATGCAAGACCTCAACACACGCATCGACTCCGAGTTCAAAGTCAAGGTATTGCGAGGAAAGTGCACTGCCGTAGCGGCGAGCTTGCGCGGGGACGAAGGCGTCTGGCGCGAATTGGATCCCAAGACATTGGATGGCTCACTCGTAAAAGACTCGTTAGCCGGTGCCCGTTCGCTGGGCGTTCAACGTGTATTCTGGAACGAGAAAGAGCATGAATTGGTTGCCGTGGTCTGGTTTGGAGGTGCCATGTCTGGCTGGCCTGGCGTTACACACGGCGGTGGCATCGCGACTGTTCTCGCCGACAAGATGACATTGGCCGCTCGTCTTGCAAAAGGCATTGCGCCTGCTCAGGACTCGTCTCACGGTCCCTCGGAGCCGACGCGTCTGGATTTGACCTACAAGAAGCCTACATATGCTAATGCCTTTTACGTCGTGCGTGCAGTGCCCCGATATGGCGCTTTCGAGACTTCTTCGCCCAACGACATGGAGGTTGATGCTCAACTCGAGACACTGGATGGCACGGTTTGTGTACAGGTCAAGGGCGCTGTTCCTGTTTCCGAGGGAGAGAGTGCCGTCAAGTCTTCCATCAAGAGCTTGACTCCTGCCAAGTCGTGGCTAGGCTGGACCTCTCGCTCAGACACATGAGCGAACTCGGCAAGCCTCAAGCTGAGGGTAACAATGTCCAAAGCAAAACGGGATTGAGCACTCCACTGAAGATACCCGAGCTTAAATCGCCAATCCCGATTCAAGCAAACTTCGAACATCAAGACGCTCACGGCTCTCAAAGCAGACATGAGTGTCGGCAGCGAGGATGACATTCGATTGTCTGACAGTTTTTGTCTGATGACACAAAACCACGCATAGCAGGGCTTGGTCACGGAGACCAATAGTTGTAGAAGATGAAGAAACTGATGTGGTAGAATGAAAAATTGACCCCTGAGTGCAACCCTCGCACACTCGATAATACCCAGACCCCTCACGATTATTTCAAACCCAGATGCTCCATTGCCCCCTCTCCCTAGACCATATCACATTATTGTACACAGGGTGCATGTACTGTTAGACCTCTTATGTCATCTATCATGCAATCATCCACCTGAAGACTGTCAGTCGAGCTGCCAATCGCGTTACAAGTTTTGACTTACCATGCGCCTCCAACGAGAGCCACAAGAATCAGCGCTNNTTGAGATGTTAGCAGTTTCACTGGGGAATTCCGGCATATCGATAACGTACCTGTGACGATACCAGCACCAGCCCTGTCGCTGGTCTCGATGGGATCGGGAGTAGCAATAGGATTCGTGTCGCCTCCGCTTCCAGCACTANNGAAGAAACGAGTCAGCTACAACCCAGGCATGCTGAGAAACATTACTCACTTAGGATTGCCCTTAGAGGTTCCACCGGTTGAGTTGGATACAGGGCCTTGAACCTGTTGATCGTTAGCGCCAGGACATTGCGAAAGGCTCGTGGACCAGGAACATACTCTATCTATGAGATTGGATTGGATGACTTCGAGAGCGGACATTTGCTGTCCGACACCCGTTGCGCCATCCCAGACCCCATTGTTCCACCATCGGGTTCCGCAGGTCGTGCCCTCAGCTCCGCCACTGCAAGATAAAGCTGCAGCTTGGGCGGATGCTGCGAGGTAAGGCTTTATATCATCATAAAGCCAGGGTGCTACCTTGGTAGAAGCGGCCATCCATCGTGATAAGTAGGCTTTGAAACTGNNCAAATAGTCAATCGATGCACAAACGTGATGTTTTGAGAGAGGGACGTACCTGAGCTGATCGATGTTGCAGTTGTTGTTCGGTTCGCAAGCCACCTCGAACATGATCTGTCCATCTCCCTGACCACCTTGGTTGGTGAAGAAGACATGAGTTGCGTTCCAGATGCCGAGGGTGCGCTCCCTCCAAATTTCGCTCTGTGTGACGTTCCACATGGTGGCAGCACCAAGAAGGAAAACGCCAGCATTGTAAGACCACTGAATATGGTTGAGCTGTGTGCAATTGATCTTGTCGTCGCTACCGTCATAGAAATAGTAATCATCGCTCATCAGGCCGATGGCGTGAGTCCAGTCAAATGCTCTCTCGGCCCACTCGGAGTAGGTCTGGTTGCCGGTGTAAGCCGCAAGACGTGCAGCGATGTTGAAGAAAGCACCGTTGGAGATGGTGTTCTTGTAGTCAAAGCCGTTGTTGAAAGTGAAGATCTGCCACCTCAGGCCTCCGCCGCATGTCGAATTGTCCCAACGCAGAGCTTGACTGTTGAAGACGGCTTGAGCTAGGGCGAGCCACTGAGGCTGATCGGCAGGAGGATTAGGGAACTTGAGCTCGGCAGCAGACATGGCCGCCATTCCCCAGAAAGCCTGATCGTCGTTACCAAGCGATTTACTCTGGTTGCTGGGCATATAGTTGTCCTTGTCGCCGACTTGGAAGAGCATGGCTTGGGTGGTGACATCGTTGTAACTGGTGTCACCGGTGTAATACCAGTAGTCGATCAGAGAGCCGAACATGGCGCCTGCTTCCCACCAGTAGTATGGACCGGGAAGCAATCCAGGAATGCCGCCAGTCACATTTCCATTATAGAATTGCATCATTCCGTAGGCGATGGTAGAGGCAGCCGTTTTGATTGAGTCTNNGTCGTGGTCAGTTTCTTTGCGAGTATATGGCAACGAGGAGCGCGTACCCTCGCTAGTCAGATCAACGGTTATAGCAGCACATGGCAGTATTGCAAAGGCGGCGCAAGACAGGCCGGACAGTATTGATGAAGGGCGCATGGTGAATACGGTAATATATGATGGGTGGGCGAATTAGACGAGGCAGGCGCCGTCGACGGGTGGCTAATGCTGATGCTGGGTATGAATGTTGGATATAGTACCAATGATAGAAGTAAGAGTTGTTGCGGCACGACAGAAGAGTCGACTACACAGGTATCCGGGGCATCCAGCACCGTTTAACCAAGTTTGCGATGGCCGATGGTGACGTCGATCGAAGACAGGGAGAGCTGAGGGCGGCAAACACTGGGAGGCGCACCGCGGCTTGGATGAGGTTCAAGAGAAGGCACGGGAGCAAACAAATGGCAGCCGAGCAGAGAGATGGATGTTAGTGAGAGTGGTGACAGTGGTGAACAGGGTGGCGGAGAAGGTCGATCGAAGGAAGGGAAATAAAGCAGCATGAGCATGATGCATCTATTAGTCTAGAAATCGGATGGCGCACGGATGGAGACGGCGCATGAAAACCTCTGGGCGCCAATCAGCATGCACAAGCGGCCATTTTCTCCACAGCTGGGCAGCCGTCCTCCGCACTCTGTGCCAGAAGATCATCCTGCCCGTCATGTCTCCAAATTGTTTGCCGCGTCAGGACAGACCGTCCACCACTCTATCTCGAGTCATCGTGTCAAAGGACTGATTGTAGGAAAGCACCTACTGCAAAGCAGCATATCTCAAAGCTCGTGGGAAGACAAGACTTGGACGCGTATAGACCCAAGGCTTGATACGAGAGGATCGCAGGCGGCGCCGAGGCTGACAAGAAGAATTGCGGTAGCAGCCAAGCACCTGGCGTCTTTTGCACAAGAAGTTTTTGTGATTTTACTGTTGCCGATGCGCGACGCAACTCGCAATCAGTAGGGGCAGTGCAGTGCATCTGCCCCTGAGACTTGATGAGAAAGCAAAGCGCTGCTTTGTTGTTGAGACCCGACAGCAACCAATATTCGCACGTGAGGCGTGATGGATGTTTACCCAAGCCTGCCGGAATCTTCTCCCAGCCGCAAGCCGGTCACGGTAGTTTTCACCGTGGTGGTCGCTGCCGTCAGCGGCTTGTCTTCTCCCAATAACTCATGCCCAAGGAAAAGACAGTCTGGGAGAGACTGCTCTTGTTGCTTCAGGCCGACAACGAGCTTTCTGACTATTGATGCATGATTGGTTGGCCTGAAGTGGAACAAACAAAGCACAGAGAAGTTCAAAGAGAGCCAACAGCAGACGGTCTAGAGTCGGTAGCGATGAAGGAAGCTGGAAAGAGAACAGCACAAAAGACTAAGGGAGCGCAAAACAGTGTAGACAGCGAGCAGGTTCGAACGGTGGGCGGCGTGACAGAGGCGGTTGTATTTTTGGGTGCCTAGGCAGCGAAATTCGTCGAGATGGTCTGACGAGAGTTTGGCTTTGGTTTTGTCGTCGTTGCACCGCCCCAGCCACATCGTGGTCGCGGCGGTTTGAGCTTCTGTCAACCTCCGCCGGCCGACTCTCCTCTCTCTCTCTCTCTCTCAATAACCTCATCTTCGCGCATCCACAACTCCGCTCCACAACAACCTGATCTCTTCTGCCTGCGCTTTCGCTCCGTCTCGTACAACTCAGTCCACACTCGTATCCTCGTCCGTCACACCGCCCACGTCGCCACAATGTCCGAGCAGCCTTACGACCCCTACATTCCCTCTGGCCAGACCGGCGGCGCCAGCAGAGATGGCAACCAGCGTACCGCTGCCCTTCAAGCTGTACGTCGTGCCTGAAATACCGCAACGCATGCACACAGCGACTGATATAGTGTGCAGGAAATCGACTCGACCGTCAACGTCATGCGCAACAACATCAACAAGGTCTCGGAGCGTGGCGAGCGCCTCGACAGCTTGCAGGACAAGACCGACAACCTGGCTGTCTCGGCGCAGGGCTTCAGACGTGGTGCCAACAGAGTCAGAAAGCAGATGTGGTGGAAGGACATGAAGATGAGAATGTGCCTGATCGTCGGCATCATCCTCTTGCTCGTCATCATCATCGTCCCCAGTGGTGCGTATCCAATTCCTTCGAGTCCTCTGCTTTGTAGAAGCTTCTCCAGCTAACACGGTNGCAGTCGTCGCAACAAAACATCACTAAAGCGACCCTTCTCCGNNATATCTTTTGACGACATGACCTTGCAAGCTTGCGAAGCCTCTGGTTGAGAGGCACGCGTATTATACCACTCTGCCACGATTCTCCCTGCCCNNGTCCGAATCCTCTCCGATACCACGACATGCCCCCGACTGCACTTAACGAACTGGCGCATCAAGGAGCATCTGCTGATCTGTTTCTTGACTTTACGATTGTTTTCCTGCTTTTGCACTAGCCAAGGCTCTCTACACGTGTAGTAATATGATTGTTTCCTTTTACCAGTCTCCTTTTCAATTATGCAGCAACCACCGACGGCTTTAAGTGACTTCCGAGTTTCTCGTTCAAGAAAGTGCTGATATGTGGCTATCAGAAAGCACAATTTATACAACATCGAATGACTTGTCCGCTGTAATCGGTTCCTTCCTGTGTATTGAGATTTGTCACATTCTGACGTACGACCAAGCGATATTGTTCATGCCGAAACACCGTCTCTCTACGGACACCTCAAACAGGGAAGCGAAACAGAGGTATATGGGGAGCTACTCCTACCAGTTCACAGCCGATGCCCATCCAAAGTCATAGATGAATTCCTGAGGATGATCTGGTTCCTGAGTCCTCTCCGTGTGCAACAGACAGTCACGGTGTAGTTGTGGAAATGCACAATCCTTTTTACTACAGAACGATGTCCACGGAGAGGAGGTCATGCTCAGGCATCTCCATGGTACACCTCTGTTCAAAAAGAAACTGTGCATTTCTATAGCGTAAGATAACACAATGACTTAGTGAAGGAGAGGGGTCGATCATAGTATGTGACTATCTGTTGCCTACGGAGAAGACTTACTTCTTTCTACCTCAAGGCTTCACTCGTATGCCTACCTTTACAGCTCGACGCCTCTCAGTTCAACCTTCTAGGCTGCAACACCAGTCACTCTATGGTTCAGCATCACAATATAACATCACCGGAAGCAACTTGAGCATCATCCATCGCAGTGTCATCGGGCTCTCACTCATCCAACTTCACACCGCTCTTGGTTTAAACCGATCGTCCAGCATAGATAAGGCCTCTTCCATCCATCCACAACTCCAGTCGCCTCCGATCTTAGTATCTGTTTTCATCCTTCAACTCTTCTTACACTGCAGGGGTTCCAGCACGATGACCATTCTACCTAGATGCGCCAGACTGGGACTGCAACTCTTGATCGTGCTTCTCTCAAAGCAGAAAGAGCCCGGCAGAAAACACACTTCCGAAACATTGCAATTATCAAGAAGAGGAAGCACACCCTCGGCCTCAGGATCAGGAAGAAACTCGAGCTCAATCAAGAGCTCTCTGAGAGCGAGCGAGCTTATATTGAGAGGCGCCCTCGTGGCCAGCACACAGATTATGTTATGAGCAAGACAAAACATGGTCTCCTAGATGCAGTACAAGCCTCGGAACTAGACAGTGTGTTCAAATCGCGCGTTTTCTGCCTACACTTCTAACAACTACCTACAGAGCGCAGCGAGAGAACTCCGTTCATAATGTTCAGATCTTCTACACTTGTTGGCACAAAACATACGAACGGCTTCACAACCCAAACGTTGTTTGTGCCAGCCGCCCATCTTATGACAGATCTGGCCACCAGGAGAGGTATAGACGAGACGTCGTGGATTCGAACCTCCATGACAGAGATTCCGCTCCAGGAATTGAGGCCTATGTTAGGACATCATTTGCTTTGGCGAGACCGAATACAAGATGAGCTTCTATCTTGGACAATGTCTTACCTCTTTGCAACAGTCCACTTGTACCTACGCCATCTCAAGGGCCAGGAGATCGGATGCGTTTCAACGATCAACCGCACTCGAGCTTCGCATCCGGAAGAGTGGCACGTCGAGCAGCTAGAGTCTCAGAAAGTACAAGCCTGCCAGGTTCTACTCTGCCAACGACCTCTGTGATCACACGGGAGTTTATCATGATTATGAAAGGAAGTGTCAGAAGGACCTGCCTGGTCTTCATCCTCGGAAGACCAATCACGAATACATTACTCATGGAGTAGTTGGATACCCTGAGAACGACCAATTGCAACAAGCTGCATGGGCCGACCTTGTGGCTGCCGGACTCTTCAAGCTTATTCCCGAATTACTGGTCACCGTCGAGTTCAGAGCCGCAGGTCTGTACACGGTGTTACGGTACATTCGGGGTCCAGAAGATACTGAACATGCAGGACCTTTTGGTAAGTCGACAGCATCTAGGCCATTGTGGTCAGATCATGGAGTGGAACAGACGAGTGGCTTACGGTCGCAGAGGCAGTCCATGCATGAGGAGCTCAACACTATGCTTCTCACGTATAAATATGTGAGCAACGCCGACTGCTAGGTAATCTTTCGAGACAAGAAGGATATGGGCAGATGACATTAGGGGAACTCCATAGTAAACAACAATATCTGAGAACATTCTCCATATATTTCCGATCTGCTGCATAGACTTATTTTTTTTTATCGCCGGAAGATAGAGCAACGCCCACTGAAAGCCACCACAGTGCCAGGTCTTGGAACAATTGGGCATCGTGGTTACGAGTGGTTTAGGCGGCTTGAGAGTGACTGACTTATGGAGAGACATGGACTTTGAATGATCGGCAGCTTGTGGCTTTGAAACTGCACACCTCTCGTAAACGAGCAAGAGTGGTTGGAGACGCCGGCTGTCTGATGTTCTTTTCCTAGCCGTATGTTCGTCGCAAAAGCAAATATGCAGATTCGAAGCACATGCCTCTGTACCTAAATGATTGCGTTGGAAGGTTTCGCAAGTTGGTTGTTGGAATATCAGGGTTTTCATATAATCCATGCATATGAGAGTTGCATTCGTCACGTCGAGTCATGTTGCTTCTGTATCAGAGCAGAGTCTTCCATGCTTCCGAAATTGAGTGCAGCACTGTGAACAAAGATACCTAGGCGACAAATATCTCATAATATGCATGTTGTCGTTGGGTCTTGGTGTGGGTAGATACCCTGCGTTCGGAATTCGAGGTGCCCCGAGGAGAGTGAACGCAGTATGAATGCACATTTTCAGTTCCGGATGGAGATCGGCTTCTACGCCAAATTGCGTAAAGGAGGGTGAACAAATTGTGAGGACGCTAAGAGTCTAGTTGTGGTGATCAACCTCGTGCGGGCAAATATTAGAGGCCGACTACTGTGATTGCTTCTATTCTAGCAAGTGGAAGAAGGCTGTATGCGCGTCTAGTTCTTGTGCGCACTTTCAGCGTCTCATACCCACAGTAAGCCTCGTAGTCCCTTGGCCAGATGCACCTTGCAAGCCAGATGTTGTGTGTGAATGTCGTCCCAATGCGAAGAATGTGGGTCCTGTACCGGCATATTCAGCCATGCGAAAAACGATCAACGCGCGAGGTTCGTGTTCAGCTCGGATGGGTTCAAGTAGGGTTAAAACATGCCAAGTAAATTGGCCGCGTTTGATGAGATGTTATTTCATGGCTACGAAAGACGTTGCACATCAGGGACCAACATCGTGTTATGAAGCGGTCGCATCACAGAACTGAGCTTGTTGCAGGATGTTTTGCATCTAATCAAGAAGGATGACAAAATAGAAAAGCGGCTTTGGAAGCGAGCAGTTTGCAGCGATTGGTAAAGTCGTCAGGCCGCTCTCTCGTAAGCATCGGCGTTAAAGGACCGCCGCACGGCTTCGGAGGATCCGGTAGCCGTGCCCGTTAGGAAGGAGGTGGGAGGAGGAAGAAGAAGAAGGAGCAATCGGCCAAGCAGCCCCTACTCAGCAACAAATACAACAATAACTACCTAGCACGCGCGAGTGCAGACGTCCATCTGACAGACACAAGCTGAAAAAGGGCCCGTTCTGACGAACATCGCTTGTCGAGTGGAGCGCAGTCCGATCAGACAGTTGCAAGGGAAAGTCGTCATTACATTTCTTTGGACTATCGCGTTTCGAGACGTTCTGCCGTGTTGGACGCATCCGCCGCTTTCCTTTCCTTCCACAACACTCTTTGGCATCTTCCCGCCCGACTTGGTCTGAACAGACAACCTTCGACTTTCGTCGCCTCTTCCGCTCGCTCGCTCTGGGTATCGCATGCTTGCAGGCTCTACGCAGCGAGCCTGATCCTGGCTCTTGAGGCTCACCTGGACGCCTCGGCGCCCACCTTTCATGGTCAACACCGGACAATAATCCATCACTTTGCCTCGACTATCTATATCTCACCATGGCCATCCAACCCTATCAGGAAGACAATGAGGCTTCCTCTGGACCGCACGACACCGCTCCCGCAAAACGATTACGCTGGGCTACGCAGAGGGTGACGGGCTCACAGNGGGGCACAAAACGACAGTCCATTCTCAGACGTCTCTCGCACAAGAAGCGCTCGAGCGATAACTCGACAAAGCGAGAATCAAATGGAACCGACCTCGAATCTGTACCCGAGGAGTCCGAGGCTTCGGCCGAACAAGCTGGTGCCGGTCGCCGCGTCTTCTTCAACATGCCCCTGCCCGAGGATGCGCGCGACGAAGAAGGCCATCCTATCACACAGTTTGTGCGAAACAAGATTCGCACCGCAAAATACACTCCCATCAGCTTCATACCCAAGAACTTGTGGTTCCAGTTCCACAACATCGCCAACATCTACTTCTTGTTTATCATCATTCTCTCGGTATGTAGCCTACCATCGTGCTCGTACTAATACTACAATCATGCTGACTGGTGTTTGTAGATCTTTCCCATCTTTGGCGCCTCGAACCCTGGTCTCAGTGCTGTACCGCTGATTGTCATCGTCTTCATTACCGCAGTCAAGGACGCAATTGAGGACTGGAGGAGAACAGTTCTTGATAACGAGCTCAACAACGCACCTGCTCACCGCCTTGTCGACTGGGAGAACGTCAACACAGCCGAGGACCAGATCTCGTTGTGGCGAAAGTTCAAGAAAGCAAATACTCGAGCTATCACTTATGTCTGGCACCTCTGGAAGAATCGTAAAGAGTCCAAAGATGAAAAACGAAACTCCCAGAAGGATAGAGCCTTAGACGAAGGCAGAGCATCCGCAGACGCCCGACGACCATCCATGTACTCTCAGCGCATGTCGGCAATGTCCATAGCCACCGAAGAGCCTGGCGCTATGGAAATGACGCCGGTACATTCGCCAATGCCCGCCCCGGCTATGGAAGGAAGCAAAGAGATGGACTTGGGTGACCACGTCAGGAAGTCCCTCGAGAACGATGCCCTTAAGCCAGGCGACGCGCGTCAAGTTGTCGAAGTTGCAAAAGATCCCACCGATACCAACGCACCCGTTCCAAAACGATTCTACGGCAACGTCATCAACCCCAACAAACCCAGTGGAAAGGCGCGGTTCAAGAAGGATTGCTGGAAGAACGTCCAAGTCGGAGATTTCGTCAGACTCTACAACGAGGAATCCATACCTGCGGACATCGTCGTTTTGTCGACCTCTGACCCCGATGGAGCTTGTTACGTGGAAACTAAGAATCTGGATGGAGAGACCAATCTCAAGGTACGCCAGGCTCTACATTGCAGTCAGAAGGTCAAGAGAGCCCGCGACTGTGAACGTGCCGAATTCATTCTAGAAAGTGAACCGCCCCATGCCAATCTTTACTCTTACAGCGGAGCCGTTCGATGGAAGCAACATGGCAGCAAGAATTCCGAGGTGGAAGCCGCAGACATGGCTGAACCTGTTTCCATCAACAACATGTTGCTTAGAGGCTGTTCCATTCGCAACACCGAGTGGGTCTTGGGTATCGTCGTTTTCACAGGAGAAGAGACCAAGATCATGCTCAACTCTGGTATCACCCCTACAAAGCGCGCTCAAATCTCGAAGGACTTGAACTGGAACGTCATCTACAACTTCATCATCCTGTTCTTCATGTGTCTTATCTCGGCTCTAGTACAAGGCACTACCTGGGGCAAAGGTGATGAATCGCTTGACTTTTTCGAGTTCGGCTCTTACGGCGGTACGCCAGGTCTTAACGGATTCATCACATTCTGGGCCGCTATCATCCTCTTCCAGAACTTGGTACCCATCTCGCTCTACATCACCTTGGAAATCATCCGCACTGCTCAGGCTTTCTTTATTTACAGCGATGCTTTTATGTACTATGCACCGGTCGATTATCCATGCACCCCAAAGTCGTGGAACATCTCCGATGACCTTGGTCAGATTGAATATATTTTCTCTGATAAGACTGGCACACTAACTCAGAACGTCATGGAGTTCAAGAAAGTCACGATCAATGGCGTGCCTTACGGAGAAGCATACACCGAAGCTCTGGCCGGAATGCAGAAACGACAAGGAATTGATACCGAAGCCGAAGGAGCAAAAGCCCGTGTACAAATAGCTCGCGGCAAAGTCAAGATGCTCGAGGATTTACGCAAGTTGCATGACAACCCATACCTTCTGGACGAGAACGTTACATTCGTTGCACCCGATTATGTTTCGGATTTGACCGGAGCTTCTGGACCTCAACAGAAAGCGGCCAATGAATATTTCATGCTGGTGCTTGCGCTCTGTCATACTGTAATCACTGAGCGTACCCCTGGTGATCCGCCAAAACTCGAGTTCAAAGCTCAATCACCCGATGAGGCTGCGCTCGTCGCAACGGCCAGGGACTGTGGCTTTACAGTCCTAGGTCGTTCAAACGATGGAATCATCGTCAACGTTCTTGGTGAAGAGCGTGAGTACACCGTTCTCAACATCTTGGAGTTCAACTCATCCAGAAAGCGCATGAGTGCCATTGTGCGCATGCCCAACGGAAAGATCGTTCTATTCTGCAAGGGTGCCGACAGTACCATCTATTCGAGATTGAAGAAGGGTGAGCAGCAAGAATTGAGAAAAACCACTGCTGATCATCTTGAGATGTTTGCTCGAGAGGGCCTGCGTACCCTATGTATTGCTCAAAGAGAACTCAATGAGGAGGAGTACCAGACTTGGAACAAACAGCACGATATTGCTGCGGCGGCTATTCAAAACCGTGAGGAGAAGCTCGAAGAGGTTTCAGATGCAATCGAACGCGATCTCACTCTTCTCGGAGGAACTGCTATTGAGGACAGACTCCAAGACGGCGTGCCTGACGCAATCCAGCTCCTTGCTCAGGCAGGTATAAAGCTATGGGTTTTGACTGGAGACAAGGTTGAGACGGCCATCAATATCGGATTCTCCTGCAACCTGCTGGGCAACGACATGGACCTTATCGTCTTGAACATTCAAGATGAGAATCTAGACAGTGCAGAAGCAGAACTCGACAAGAACTTGGCTATCTTTGGCAAAACCGGATCTGACGAGGAACTCAAAGCTGCAAAGAAGAACCACGAACCGCCAGCACCGACCCACGCTGTGGTCATCGATGGCGAGACTTTGAAACTCATGCTGAACGATAGACTCAGACAGAAGTTCCTGCTTTTGTGCAAGGAGTGCAAGTCGGTTCTCTGTTGCCGTGTCAGTCCCAGTCAGAAGGCTGCCGTTGTTGGCATGGTCAAGAACGGGCTCGATGTCATGACTTTGGCCATCGGTGACGGTGCCAACGACGTTGCTATGATCCAAAAAGCTCACGTTGGTGTCGGTATTGCTGGTGAGGAAGGCAGACAAGCAGTCATGTCTTCTGACTATGCAATTGGTCAATTCAGATTCCTTACAAGACTTGTGTTGGTTCATGGACGTTGGTCATATCGTCGACTTGCGGAAACCATTGCAAATTTCTTCTATAAGGTATGTTTTTGCATCTCGTCATTACATTGACATCGCTGACATCTTCTANAGAACATCATCTGGACATTCGCTCTCTTCTGGTACCAAATCTTCGCTAACTTCGATTGTTCATACATCTTCGACTACTCTTACATTCTACTTTACAACTTGGCATTCACCTCTCTGCCGGTTATCTTGATGGGAATCTTGGATCAGGATGTCGATGACAAAGTGTCCCTTGCGGTGCCCCAGCTTTATAGGCGTGGCATTGAGAGGAAAGAATGGACACAGATCAAATTCTGGTATGATAAAATGGCTTCAAATCCGAGACTTGAGCTGACCAGATGACAGGNNACATACATGATTGATGGGTTCTACCAGTCACTCATTTGCTNNTTTTTCCTTCCATATCTTCTCTTCCGTCCGGCCAACTTTAACACCGAGTCAGGTCAGAACGTCAACGATTACCAACGCATTGGTGTATACATTGCCAATTCCATTGTCGTGGTGGCCAACGTTTATATTCTGATGAACGCCTATCGCTGGGACTGGTTTTTCACACTCATCACAACAATCTCTATCCTGCTCATCTGGACCTGGACTGGAATTTACTCCTCATTCACGGTTGGCTTCACGTTCTACAAGGCTGGTGCCGAGGCCTACGGGTCATTGAGCTTTTGGGCGCTGACGATGATGGTGATCATCATTGCTTTGCTGCCTCGCTTTACCGCAAAGTCCTTCCAGAAGATCTTTATGCCCCGCGATATCGACGTTATCCGCGAGCAGGTCAGACAAGGCAAATTCGACTATCTCAAGAATGTGGACCCGCAAAACTCGGAGGGCGTTAGTCCACCCCCTCCAGAGAAAATGTCAGATTCCACCTCAAGTTCGGAGATAAGCAAGCCATCAGGGGCGCAGAGACTTGCTCACAAGTTGTCCCATAACAGAGTCCCCACCGAAGACGAACGACCAATCTATCCTCCCTCAATAGCAGCGACGGCAACGACTCGCAATGCCAGATCACACAACGGCAGCGATGGTACCGATTACACTGGACATCGATCTTCCATCGACCGGACGTTCCCTGCGGTCGGGCAAGTAACGTCTCGTCCGTCCGAAGACTTTGGAAATAGTCCGATAGACTTTTACCGACCTCCGGTCGTTGCTGGAGGCTTCGAGTCGCCCGCACCACGACCAAGCTACGATCGACCAAGGCCTTCTTTCGATCGACTGAGGGCCAGCATGGACTTTGAAAGAACCCGGCCATCGTTTGAGGGCTCGCGAGATTTCACCAGTGCGGCATATCTGTCGCGGGTAGAAAGCAGTCACACGCCTGCCGGTACACCTGCTGCGGTGGACCGGAAAGACATTGGCTATGCCATGTAAGAAGGAGCTTGATACGAGAGTCGTGTGTACAAAAGGCTAGGAGCGAAGGCGTTGTGTCTCGGTTGTCTTGATTAATGTCTGTTTCACATGGCGTACCGCTTGGTCATGGTTTTTGATGATTTTGATTTTTTGCATAGATTTGATTCAAGATAGCTGCTGTCATTCTTTCAGACAAAGCACTTGCCTTGGCCTTTTGATAGGTTTTGAATATCATCGCGAGTTTATCGTTCTGTCTAATACCTGTCGCAAAGTGATTCTTGAGTTGCATGTCTTGGCGTGAAGTGTTTTGATGCGCAAACAGCCCACTCGGCAAGACAAGAAGCAACGTGACACCAGAGCATGCCACACCACAAACTCCATAATACTTTAGTTTTTCCCCTTCTCCAGCAGCGCAAGACCGCGGTAAACAATCAGCAGTGTGTCACACTGCGAACACATCTGTTTGACAAACAGCATCGGCATCATGGCCACCAACGGCGGCGACAGCGGCCCTGGACCGATCAGTGAGATGCTAGGGATGTTGGCCTACGGATTCGCCCAAGCGCAGCCACTACTTCCCCTCTACACTCATCTGGTTCTCTCGGCACTGTTCCCTATCGTTACGGGTGCTTACTCTTCACTTTCACGACCTTCAACAGCAGCAAAGCCCATCAAGGATTCAAAGATCGAGCATCAAGCAGATGAACAAGACGACCAAGATGAAGACGAGGATAGCATCCAGAAGATGGAGGGATTGAGCCCCAGTGATGCCGTCATCTTCCCTCTTCTTGCTGGATGCACGTTGGGCGGCCTTTACCTACTCATCACGTACATGGGTGCTTCACTGCTGAACAAGGTCCTGCGTTGGTACTTTTCGGCAATGGCCATATTCAGTGTCGCCAAAATCATCAACGATGGACTTGGTGTGGCCGAGTCCCTCTGGTTCCCTCACTACTACACTGAAGGAGGGGTCTTGTGGAAGGTTAGCCAGCCCGAAAGAAAGGCGATTCACTCGGCCATCTGCACGAGACCATCTCCCCTACCAGGAGTGTTAGGTCGCATCATTCTTCCTCAAAGCGTTCACGAAGGTTTCTGGACATTGCGCGGTCTTCTTAGACGCAAGTACCGTTTGCAATTCCATCTGTCGAGCTTGGTCAAATTCAAGGTTACCCTTACCCTACGCACAATCCTTTCGACTGTCCTTGCACTCGCAACCATCTTCTACTCCAACTTTGTGTCAGATGCATGGTGGCTCACCAATCTGCAAGGATTCGCCTTCTCTTACAGTGCGCTCCAGCTCATGTCTCCCACCACCTTTGGAACTGGCTCCCTCATACTGAGCGCCTTGTTCTTCTACGACATCTACTTTGTATTTTACACTCCTCTGATGGTTACTGTAGCTACCAAGCTCGATGTGCCCATCAAGCTACTTTTCCCTAGGCCCCTCGAGGATGGACAAATCGCCGCTGACAGGAAATTGGCTATGCTCGGTCTGGGAGACATTGTGATTCCCGGTATGATGATCGGACTCGCTTTGAGATTTGATCTGCATATGTACTACTTCAAGAGACAGACGAAGCGCGTTAGGTCTGCCGCTGCCACTTCCGATGACAAGAAGGAAGAGAGCACAAGCAAGGTCCAGGAAGACGTTCAAAAGGAAGTCTATCGCCCCGTCACCGGACACTGGGGCAACAAGTTCTGGACCACGTCCTGGATCGGCCGCTCCTTACTCCCCAAGTACGACCCCACCAAGAAGCTTACTCGCAATCCCATCCCTACATTCTCGAAGCCATACTTCTATGCTTCGATCGTCGGCTACGTTCTTGGAATGTGTGTGACGCTGGGCATCATGCAGGTCTACAGACACGCTCAACCTGCCCTCCTCTACCTGGTCCCTGGTGTTTTGGGCAGCTTGTGGTTGACCGCTCTGGTTAGAGGAGAAATCAAGCAAATGTGGGACTTTACAGAAGCAAGCGACGAAGAAGATGAANAAGGAGCAGGACAAGAAGAAAGAAAAGACCAACAAGGACGACGATGGAGACAAGAAGGAGTCCACTTCCTGGTGGGGCAAGAGTTTCTTCNNTCGGCTGAAAAGACAGAGCGCAACGCGAAGAGACTCGAGAAGAAGATTGCGAAGAGCGTTGGTGATGATGAAAAGAGCGATACCGAAGGCGAAGGCAAGAGCAGTGGCAGAAGGACCAACACAGAGGAAAAGGACGACAACAGGACCTTCTTCCACTTCTCCTTTACGCCCGCTGTTCCAAAGACCTCATCACTACCCAACGATGCGAAGAAGCGCTCGTCTTCTGTTGACTCTGGCGGCGCTACTCTGGTCGGCGATTCTCAGATGACTGAGGCAAATGGACAAGGTCCTAAATGGAGCGGTGCAGGTCCACAAGAGATCCAAGAGGAGCGGGCCGGCAAAAGAAGACGTATCTGATCGTCTTGTAGAAGGAGCTTGGGAGGCTGCCCAGCAGCGTAACACCGATCAGCAGGTAGACACAAAAGTAGTCAGTGAAAATGAAGAATATCATGACAACCTCAACAATACTATTCGTTGCATCAAGAGCCGTGATTGGGAAGGCACGGAAGGCAGCTTAGTCGATGGAGCTAGATCCTCTGTCTGGTTGTTTTTCCCTTCTCGCAGTCACAAAATCTCTCGTCGACTCTTGATGTGAATACAATTCATGACTTCTAGCTACCTTACACTCAGGCACGGCATTGAAGTGAGAAGCATTGGGAGACGTCACAGATTGGTGTATAGCAATACTTTTTCATAGCATAGTCTCATAGGTATCGTATCCGTCGTGAGGTAACGCAGCGTATGCGTCAGCAAGGTCGCAGGCACATGCGCGCAGCTGATTCAGGTATCGTGACAGCTACTTGTCATTAGCCATGAGACTCAGGAACACGCCCCAGCCAACACCAATGACGCCACCGAACAGCGTACGGTGTTCAAAAGGAACAAGGGTGAAGCTTATGATGGAAACAAGGGGCCAGAGCTTCTGACCGGCGAACAGAAGGGGGAAGAAGTCCNNTGCATGCGTGTCAGTGAGACAAGCCAATGGTCAGAGAGATAGGACTAGACATACAGTCTGCAGTGCGGAGAGCGCATGTTCGACAGACTGGCCCTTCAGGAAAGCAATGCCGACGATGAACAAGGCATTATTGACAGCGGCTCCGAAGGTCTGGTCCAGAGCGAATTTGATGGCGGTGTTTTTGATGCTCAGAGCCTTGGGGTTTGCAGAAGCAGGAGGCTGAGCAAAGGTGGCATCGATCTTCTTCTCGACAGCTTGACCATCGGGGGTGCTGAAGGTCTGTGAGCGAGTAGGGAGTTTGACCACGGGNGACTGGTTGATGCCGGCGCGAGCCTCGAGCTCCTTTGCCTTTGCCTTGACTGTGTCGAAGCCCTCGCTAGCACGGCGTCTGGCGTTCTTCACAGCATCACTGTCTGCCAGAGCAGTGGTGGCTGCCGAAGCCTTCTGCAGAACCGGGCTTGCCGTCTCTTCGATGCGCTGCAGGGTTGGGGCGGCGGCGTCGAGGGCGCTCTTGACTTGAGGCTGTTGAGCGATGCTTGCTACAGTTCCGGCGTCGTCGGGCGAAGTGTAACCGGGGAAGGTGGATTCCATCCAGGACTGCCACAGGTAGTTGGGCGGGCATGAGAGGAGCGAGAATGCTACGAAGGTGACCAGCGGGCCAGTGTCGAGGCTGTAGCCATGNCTGCCCCTCAATGTCAGTCGAGTCCTATAAGGATCATGTCCCAATGCACTTACGCCTTTGCGATGACAGGAGATGAGCTGAGCGAGGATGTTTGAGATGGCGCTCAGAACTGCTGCTTGGATGGTTGCTTTCACGATCGGCTCCATCTCGACGCGCCTGGGATGACGAAATGCGGTTAAATGCTGGCGTGTCTTTGTTACTTAGGCGAGGTACAGCAACAATGCAGGCCGAGATGATGAATAGTGGGATGCAGTAGTCTAAGACTGCGAGGACCGAACACTTCGACCTCACCTTTGGCAAACACGATGGCGTTCGAGCGAATTCCAATGAAAAAGGAAGGTGCTCCTTTCGTCATTCCCCTTTGCGTGGGTGAAGCTGTCCGAGCCACCAACCACCCAAAACTCTGACATCGACACCTTGCTTAACAACACATCGGTCAACAACGTCTCGGTCACATTCTCAATTGCCAGTTCTCCACACGGATGCTTGTGAAAATGCACAGTAGATTATCAATTCAGAGACGAGTCCAGGGAGAGCCGGTCATCGCACGACTCTCAATGAACCCTGCTTTGTATCTAACAGTACTTTGTATCTCATCACTACAAAAATAAACCCCTCAGCATTTGAGAGCGTATTACTAGAATGTTCTTGGACTTGCTAAGCAAATTAGCTGGAAGCCGCATCAGTGCATTACCACTGCGACGTGGTCGTCCATGTANCCTAACACATATCATCAGCATACTTTCACATACCACAAGGATAAAGCCAATACTTACTTGTTGATGTCCCCTAGGAAGCAGGCTGCGATGATGGACACGGCTCCGAAAGCGATCGACACGTAGTATACATACTTGTATGCTTCTGCGTATGCCAATCGGCCGGCAATCACAACCATCTCGTATGCTCCAGGAACACCCTTGATGCCTGGGAGTGTTTCCAGTTCCGTCAGCAGACTTGCGCCTGTAAGTTCGATTGCCGCTTTGATGACGGCTGGGCTTGTGATGTTCAACTTGAAGATCATCGTTCCGCCGATGTAGTGCGTGGCCGATGGCACAAACCGCGAGATAAATGTGTTATAATATACCGTATATCCGATAGATCCACCGATGACACGGATGGCCAGAGTCAATGCTGCTACGGTAGCAATGAGGTCGTCTGGGCAGATGATGNNGCTTCATAGGATTTTAGCATTCGTCAAAGCTTGGCCATCCGACCCATGTTCGAACTTACTAGTGATGATTGAAGCAGGTACAACGATGCCACCAATACCGAGACCTGCGACCACAAGGATTCCCCAGAGTTGACCTAGATTGTCCACACGAGCGATCGCAAGCGCTCCGCAGCCAGCTGTCATGAGGACCGAAGAAACAATCATCAAGACCTTGTTGTGTCCACGGAATACCGAGAGAAGCCAGAGAACGATGCAAGCGCCTGCCAGGATGGAGAAACCAACCGGAAGTCCTCGAATACCTACACCTACTGGATCATGACCATAGACATTGCTNATTAGATGATTAGCATCGACTCTGCATGCATAAAATGAGCGTATTTACATGGCTTCTGTAGGCCAGAACATAAGCAAACTGAAGAAGTTTGCCCCCGAGATGAAGGTGATGAGCAATGTGAGAGCTAAGATTCGGGGTTCTTGACGAAGACGCTTGGGGAACATCGGGTATTTGGCACCGTAAGCTTCCCAGACGCCGAAGGCGATGAGGAGTACGATTCCTAGGATCAGGGGAGCCAGAACGTGAGCACTGCTCCATGGGTATTGGTATCCGCCCCATTCNTTCAGTACGTTAGCTTGGTCTAGCAAAAGTTCGAGATCAGACAACTCACGCAACCCAGCCATGAACAGGATCATACCGCTAACACTTAGAAGGCCGCCAACGTAGTCAACTTGCTTGAGGACCTCTGCCTTTGAGAGGCCCTGAGAGTTGACTCTGGGAGGTGGGAAATAGAAGACGGCCGTCAGAACNAACTGTTAAACTGTCAGTCATCATTTCTTGACGGCAGGTGTGCATTGTATCTCACGTCCAATGAATGCCCAGATGCCGCAGAGTGCACCCACCCAACGCCACGAGGAGTGGGCAGCTATCAGCTGTGCCCAAAGTACACTGGGACAGAAGGGCAAAATGCTGAAAATGAGTATCGCCACATACTTGCCCCTCTTTGCAGTAGGAGCAAGCTCACTTGTGGCAGCCAGGGCAGTGAGCTCGTTGATACCAGCACCAATACCTGCGAAAACCATGCCGCCGATGAAGACATTCATGGTGTGAGCAGTGGAGCAGATGATCATGCCAAGCACTATGAAGGCTGCGCCGACGATGGCGACGTATCTTCGACCGAAGATGTCGCTAAGCGAGCCGACGAAGGGACAGACTGCCGCCAGGGACAACAGATTTGCTAAGACGAGCCAGATCCAACGATCGGCGCCTCCAATATCTCCATAGATGTATGGAGGGATCNNTAACGATTAGCAAAGCACTATTAACGAGAGCCCTGGTTGACTCACTCCTCCAAATAGGTAGACTGGAATTTGCGATCCAGTCCAGAGGAATGCCATGGCGACGAGACTCATCAACCGGTTGAACGACATAGGAGGCTCGGTATAATGGTCNTGGAAAATTCAGCCGTGTCCTGTTCTCCGAGACCAAGGATACATACCCTGATCATCATTATCGGTACGAAGACCGTCTTTCCCAAGGTAGCCAGCATGACCGTGCTCGGAATCTCTTGTCTGGATCTGCTCGATGTGTTGGGCGACTCCTTTGTCTCCAGGAAGAGAGTCGGATCCAGTGGAGTACCTTCCAGCCTCGGTATGGCCAGCCATGATGCTAAGGGAGAGGATGTGTACAATTGAAATGGCTCAGGAGTCTAGGCGATGTAGTACTGAAGGGGTGGTGAGTCGATGTTTCTGAGAGAAGCACCTGCCTTCTTATGTTTAAAGAGTCAACGCCCAAGTCTGGCTTTGCGGCTACTGCGAGGGCACAGCACGAGACCAAAATTGAACATGTATGACCAGAAAACATTGACGAGCATGCGGGGATGTGTGTGCTGATTGGTAGATCAATAGCAATATTGTCAAGTGTGACTGGGATGGAGCCGTTGCTACCAGTGTCGAAGACTGGAGCCGAGGCTCCGGCGAGCCAAGTGGAATATATCGTTCGATAGTAAAAGCTTATTCAATAGAAGATTTGGTGGATTCCGCGCCACCCAATGTCCTCCAAAGCAGCAAATGTTCGCGGTTGGAAATAAACCCAGGATATTTGAGCCTTGCAAGTCCACTATTCCACGTCCTTTGGGGTAGAACTTTTCAGATACAACTATTTGGATTTTTGAAGAGACACATCACTCAGCTGTGCAGCTCGATTTGGGAACGCAAAGCGAAGCCCATTGATCGAGTAGAGGTATGAGTATGGACAGCAGAGCGGCATGTGAACGACGTACTTACACTAGGTTTCCCCGCAAACTCAAAATAGAGTTTGTGGGGGACATCGCAGGTGCCTCGGCCCTGATACCAGACACGCCCTACCTTCTTTGCTTCCTGTATGATACAGACTGTTGCGATAGCACAATACTTTACAAAGAGAAACAACATTCGATGTGCGTTCTGACTCTACTGTGTTTCCTTGGATCTCATCTCTTGTACAGACCCAATTGTGTATTGCCACAGGCTGTTACAATATCACAATGCATCACCGTAGGAGATGAATCGATTGTGAGATTGTAACAGCCTATGGCATACGGGAAGGCCGTGTGTAGATATCATGAATTGAAAATGGCTCGAGAAGCACGTCTGAGTATCTGGAGACTGGAAGCACACACCTGAGTCATTCCGCTATAACATCTCTGTGTAAGTGATTGGTATTCTAAGCACACTGTAAGATATTCCGGAGTGAACCTAAGCCCCTGGAAGAATCGATCAGAAGTACATCGCACTCGCCTTACCTTTCAGCAAAAGTCAAAGAAAAATAGTTGCCTCGGAGAATCTCGACGACATGCAGTACTCGTTGGCGGTGTGCATTGTGCGGACGCCAAGAACGATGAATAGCTGAATCTAATGACTCCAGACACTACAAACCTTGGTAGATAGTACTGTGTCTGTTGGCGTGGTCGAACGTTTGTCGGATAATAATGCGTACCAATCCATGTGTGGTTAGAATAAGGTAACGTTAGCATTTGACGACCTCCAAGAGGGCTTGGCAAAAATAGCAACTGACGTTTGTTTCGGCATCCAGAGAACGACTTCACCTCGCACACGTCCTTGACCTTAATCCAACTTACACCCGCATCTTTCATGATGGGTGAAGGCAAACAGCTCTCAGCGTTGCTGCTTATCGCTGATGGCTCCGAGGAGATTGAGTCGGTCACCCCCCTTGAGTGAGTTATTCTATCTTGATATGGAGGCTGAGTAAGGTGCCTCGGCTGACTTGATTGGAGTGTTCTGGTACGCGCCGGATTTACAACAGTCACGTCTGTGGGTGTCAACCTTAAGAATCCTCTTTATGCCCAGTAAGTGAACCTTCCGTAGTCATTCTGTCGATCTATCATCCGCTTTGGTTCGCGTACATCTGGAAGGCAAAGAGCTCTCGTAAAGTTGAATAATTACAAAGCTTGCAATCCAACGACCAGGGACGGCTCACCCCAAGCCCGCCCAGAGTTCGAGAGACAAACACACTCGTGGAAAGAAGGCCTTCCTTCGACGATATCTCTGCACTTGACAAGGAATATAGACAACTCGGAATTGGCAATGCAGCAGACCGAGCTGATGTTGGCTTAGTCTGCTGTAGAACTTGAGAAGCTGTACACGGGCTTTGCGGTACAACTGTTCAGAATATACCACAGAGGCCGTGCTTACCGATGTTCTGCATGAGAGGGCCATGTCACTCTGGGCGGCCTTGAGAAACTGCCATTCATTGCTTCGTCACCCAATCGGCCTTCTTCGCTTCGGAAACTAACATGTGTTGCAGATGCTCCCGCGGAGTCAAAATCATTCCAGACATCCCCTCACCACATGAGATGCCTGACCGTCTAGTCGATGCAGCAGACATCCTGATTCTCCCAGGAGGCGCACCCGGAGCTAAGACCTTCTGTCAGAGCGAGGACGTCTTGCGATTGATTCGCGAGTTCCGAAACGAAGGGAAATGGGTCGCGGCAATCTGTGCTGGAACCACCGCGCTTGTTGAGAGTGTCAAGTCACCCCGTGCAGAAGGCGAGGCTGCTAAGAAGTGCAAGGTCACATCGCACCCGTCCGTGAAACAGGAGATTGTGGATGCTGGCTGGACCTATGCGGACGATAGCGAAAGAGTCGTAGTTGACGGCAAGATCATTACAAGCCGTGGTCCAGGCACTGCCATGTTATTCTCGCTTACCATTGTCGAGAAGTTGGCTGGAAAGGCGAAGAGGGATGAGATTCAAGGACCGATGATCTGCGCCGAGACTCTGTGAGCAAGGCAACGGACCCTCCTACGATGGCATATAGTGTCATGATAGTCTATAAGAACGCGCGGCTGCTCGTCAGACAAGGGTGTGGCCAGTGTGATACTGAACATAATGTTCTCTGCGCGCATATCGCTCTGTTGTGGAAGATGTCGTGCATTCCGATAGCTACACGATGACGATCTACATCTACACACGGTAAGGGTGAGGATAATCTGGAGTCAGCAGCGTGAATGTAGAGGCACGGAGTTTCATCAAGATTGACTCCTGGATTCGATGAGTCTACGCCCGCTTTCAAGTCGTCCACATGTAGCAAGAATGAACCGTAGAATGAACAGAAACATGGAGTCATTTAATTTTCGAAATGCATTTCAGAGGCCTATCATGAACGCATTGTGGGTGCGCCTCCAGACGTGTGCGGGGGCGGCTTTTTTGATAATTTCCCTAGGGCATGAGAATTGCGAAAAAGTCGGTATAAGTAACGAAGATGCATTTTCCCATGCCGTGCCTCAGCCTGCGCCTAAACGACAATCAAACCACATCAACCGCAAGAGTCCAGCTGTTTAGCGGGACTTGGCGGCGACCTTGACGGGTGCGCCCTTGGCGCCCTGCTTGCTGGCAATCTTGCCGGCCTGGCCCTTGCGGCAGAGGCGGCGTTCTTTGCCTTGTTGGCCTTCTTCTCGGACTCGGACTCGGACTTCTTGGCCTTGCCCTCCTTGATGGCGGCGGCACGGGCGGCGGCACGGGCCTCGGGGCGCTGCGAACGACGCTCCTTGATCACATCGAGCGAGGCACCAACGATGGCACGCTGGTTCTTGACGGTGCGGCGAGTGCGCTTCTTGGCGACCTCNCTGTACAACGAAAGTCCATCAGTCACTGTTCTTGATCTTGTTCTGTGTGTGTTTGCGCAATCCGAGCAGCGGCGGCGGTGGTGGAATCGGGTTCATGGCGATCGGTAGAGTGCGCGCAGGCTTGCTGGATGGCGGACAGGGCGGTGGGCGAATGGGCGACTGACCTCTGAGATACCCTTCTTGTGCTGTCTGCGGTAAAGGACGGTCCAGGAGATCTTGCGGGGGTTCTTGCGCTGGAGGAAGAGCGACTCGGACTTGCCGTTCTGGAAACGGAAGATCTTGCTGTCACCACGAACGTAGAGCTTGCCNCTGTTGCACGTAACCCAATCAGCCTCGCATTCTTGTCCAAGCTCTTCTTTTGCTCTTCATGGTCGTCGTCGTCGGCGGGGAGGGGCAGCAATTCGCACCTTGCCAGGGTAGATCTTCTGGCCGGAGAAACTGTCCTCGTAGACTCTCATTTTGGCGGTTGTGTCGTTGGGTGGATTCTTGTCGTCTCGTCGTTTAACGCGGCGATGTTGCAAAGCTGCGTTTGAAAATGGCGAGTGCGTTGTGGACTAGCCGAGGATTTTCCACAGCCTTGGCGTCGTGGGCCTTCCGCTTCCGCTCGAACTTCGTCCTTGCGCTCCCCAGACTGCGTTCCTCGGTCATTCCTACCATACATTTGGAGGCAAGAGTGGATAATTAAGCAACGACTCACGAATACTCTTTTGTTACTCAAGCATTTCTCTCTCAACAACCCACTGGCATCCTTGAGAGCACATGGGTCAAACAATGCATTAACCAATCCGAAAAGTGTATACATATATCGACCAACCACCATATCTCATCTTCTTACCATGCATCCAACTCCCCTCACTTTCCCCTCGTGTTGAGATATACATCCAGCGCGCTCGATCCGTTGCTGGTAGAGCTGACTCTGCTGCGCACACTTCCTCGGGCGACCAACGTCTCGCTCGTCGCAGCTTCCNNCTGACATCCGTGACCGGGTGCGTGCGATGCCTGGCAAGGGCAACCGTTGAGCATACCTCCTGTCTTCAGCACCGCTGAAAGCGCGGCTTCCAACAGCTTGTTCCTACGCTCAAGTGCGTCCATCCTTGCTTCCATCGTTACAGGACTACTTTCACCTGGCTGTAATTGGAATCTGGCTGTCTTCGCACTCGAGGGTGGCGACGGGAATACCATACTGTGTCCGTTCTCATCAAGTGGCGGTGCAGGCAAGCCTTTAGTTGAGCTCGCTCTTGCTAACCCTGCATCTGCCCTATCGTCTGGCCTCGAGATGCCATCGGGTTTTGCGCGTGGAGTGGGTGGCAGTCCTTTCTTAGGAGGCGGTGATGGCAGTTCTGGCGTGGTCGACTGTCGACTCTTCTTCGATGGACTGCCTGCTCGCGAAGGTGTCGAAACCACACTCTTTGATCCTCGACCGCGCTTGCTTGTCTTGATCCGTGGCACCGGGCTGTTTCTGCCTCTTGCGCTCGGTACTGTGCGTACATGGCTGATCCTGGGCGAAGGCGAGGCAGTGGTAGCGATGACTCGATAGTTTTCTGAGATATTGCCTATGCTGGTTGTACGCTTGATGGAAAGCGGACTGGTACAATAGCCATCCGGTCTCGGGTCGCGCTCGAGCGAGTGTTGTGAATGCGTACCGCCAAAGTCAAGTGGCCGTGGCCCTTCGGGTCTAGCTCTACGGAGTCGGCGACGTGACGTGTTTTGCTGTGATGCTTTGACCATAGCGTCGATAAGCTCAAGCGACTTTGAAGAACTTCCCTTCGACTGATTTGTGTTTGTGCAAAAGACATCATTGCTTGTTCCACTGCTGCCTGGTCGAAGGAAGGAAGGTAAGTCGTCGTCCCTCTGCTCTCGAGCAGCGTATATCACAGCCGCCTCTTTGGTCACCCGGATTGCTTGCTCTTCGTTCACTGGCTGCTTGGCCTTCGGGTACGTATCAGGACTGCTTTCCGCAGTCGACTTGCCTAACATCTCGCCCAGGGATTCAGATGGTATCGACAATCTCAATGGGCTGCGGGGAGGCGGGGGTCCAGGGCTGTTGGAGACAGATCTTGCACCGTCCTGGGACAGATGCGACAAACGAAGACCAGTCACGTCACTGGAGGTTCTTTGAAGCACTAACAGATTTCCGTTCGATCGTCTAGGATTTGGTTGCGCGAGCGCCGCCGTTTTGATTGGGTCGGCCATCGGTGAGCTGACTTTATTCTCTGGCAGAGCTGGAGGCAGCATGCTTGGTACTGGCCCAGGAGTTACTGGATGGCTTCGAAGAGGTGCTGTTCTCCCGCGTATCACTCGAACGTGTCTGTCGGCTCCCGAGGCCACAGTGCGAGCTTTTGTACCAAGGAACAGGGGACGCACCGGGACTGCTTTGCGATTGAGGACTCGAATAGTCTCCTCATGTGGGAGCGTCTGCGATACACGCTTGATTGGCCAGCCTCTGAGTGCTTCTGGTCCTTCATGCACTTGCGTAGTATTGTCGGGTGTAGGACCCTCGAAGCCCAGAACCCAATCTTGAAGACCGTCTCTACTGAGCTGATCTGTGACCAAGACAGAGACTCTGGATTCGGCTATCGCCAGACTAGCGATGTCTTAATTACTTTCTGATGTGTTGTGCGTGCTAAACATACCTTTTNNTGATGGGGTATCGCTCTTCTCTTTTTGATTGGCTGCTTCGATCTCGAAATACCTTTTGCCTNNGCAACGTTGATAAGCTCAAGTCACAGCATCTCCCTAGGTCCTTGACTCACCAGTCTTGGATACCTTGGGAACCACAACATCTGGTAGTCTTTGCCTCGATGGCAACAAAGTTTTCTTGGACGTCTGAGAGGCATCGTGTGCAGGCTGAGCCTCAAACTCGGGAGCTTCTTTTTCCTCAGAGATGACTTCATTGAGCCTGNNGACACGATCAGTTTCTGTATTGTCCATGCGTTCTCGCTTCACGAACCTCATATGGGCAGCCGTCGTTGAATCAGAAGGGCGTCTGCTGCTGGTTTTGAAGATGCGCATGGCCGATGAAATTCGTTTGGATCTGGCTTCCTTCACCGGAGGATCCTTGACAGGTCCAGTAGTCTTGAGAAAGTAAGCCATCTGGTAAGATGGATTCGATGGAGGCAGAACGAGAAGGTTGGTTTGCGTCATCATCTTGTCAACAAAGGGATTCCTGCTGTCTTCGCCAGGATCAACCTCAGAGGATGTCGGACGAGTTTCTTCCTGCGACTTTACGTCTGCCCGAGAGCTAACATAGCTGACGCTATCCCCCGCGCTGCTCCTCTCGCTCGCAGGTACATCAGGGTTTGCGGATTTGGCTGAGGAAGCTGGCAGCATGACAGGGACCGCCATACCGGTTGGCCCGAACATTGCTGAAGACTGATGTAACTTGCCGACCTTTTGAGACTCGAACGCTCTGGGCGTGTGGTTGGCAAACGGAGGTACAGGTCTGCGTCGTGAAATGGCGGAAAGGTGCATCTAAGATGGAAATGGCTGGGTTGGGAGAAGAGCTCTGAGACTATCCACACCATACACACAGGTAACACAGACCAGAGGTATACTGGAGTAGCAACGACGCAACAATTACATTCGAAAGCGAAAGTGCCATGCAGTGGGTCAAGCCGACAAGGTAAATAACAACAATCGCAGTTCACATGCAGTCGTGCAAGGGAAAAGCACTAGGTCCTTACAGCAACGATGTGCGACGATCTATGCATGGAGTCGGGGCTCCTTCCAAGAGACAGGTCAATGGTTGTTGCTTTGAGCGCAATTCGCCTCTGAACTGGCGCGGCGCTTGTCATGCAAGGATTCGCTTTGGGATTGGTCGTGACAGCAATCTCGACACCTCGAAGCCGCCTCAAATGTTGTACCAAGAGTCTTGATGTTTAACGTGCAATGCATATCGTCTTACCAAAGCAATAGCCTGTATGTGCTCGAAGTTCATTGGAGAAAGCAGTAGAGCAAATATCCATATTGACGACGCTGATGCCAGACGCCGTTGACGCCCTGACAGATGTGGCTGGGCACACTCGTGATGCTCATGATGCTCGGGTTTCACTGGCGTGCATATGCATGTAAGATGCCGCTACAATGAACGCAAGGATTGCAGGGACAGGCTCGGGAGTGTCCCATGGTATTACAACAGGAGCAGGCCATCGAATAGTAAGGCACACGGCTTTTGGTGCCTCGAACAAAGGTCACGGTCAAGTGTCACACGTGGAAGCAAGGGTGGAGCCTGAGGTGGAGCCAATACAAAATCTGCTCACTTACCTTTCTCCAAGCCTTGTAAGTCATATCCTTTGTGATGCAAAAAGTACGTGTTGAAAAGAATAACGCCACGCTAGCCTTGTCATGCCCAAAAATGCTCCGTGTCGTCAGACCACTCAACCCTTCCTCGGCTTTCTGCTGGGCTGAGGTAGGAAAGGGTCCGCGGGTTTCTTCCTCTTGCGAATGATCTGAGGGGCGGTCGTAGTTGGTAGTAGATATGTTTTTGGCTTGGCAGCCGGCGGTCCTGATGCAACAGATGCCGAAGCAGAAACAGGTCCACTGTTTACTGTTGGCGTGGAAGCGCTGCTTCGAACGGAGTCTGCATCAGCCATCTCTACATCCTCGTCGCCCTTTTTTGTGCGCACGCTGGCAAGCTTATCCTCCAACTTGACGCGAACGCCTTCCATGGCTTGAACATCGTCTTCCTTTTTGACCTTCTGACCATCGACATCCTTCCTGGTTCTGGTACCATTGCCCTGCACTTTGTTGACAGTAGCTCCGATGTTTCCATTCTGCTTGACGACTTCGTTGAAGCTTGAGACAGACGCCTTGGAGTGCTTGGTCAGAGAATGTGTCTTGGCGGGGAAACTTGAAGAGTGTGCTCCGAGCATCCCTTTAAGGTTGCCTGTTATGTAGCTATTGCGAGCCCGAGCATCGTCCAGGAGCGTCTTCCAGACCACACCCCTCATCAAACTGTCTGAGTTACCAAGAATCCATAGACTGGATTTTGCACGAGTTATACCAACGTTCAAGCGACGTACGTCAGCGAGGAATCCAACGCTACCTGTGGCTGATGCACGAACGCAAGAGAAGATGATGATCTCGCTCTCACGACCCTGGAAAGCGTCTGTGGTATTGAACTCGATGCTTTCCGTAATCTCTGAACCATAATGAGCAGAGAATCGTTGCTTCAGTTCTCTTAGCTGAGACTTGTAAGGCGTGATAATTCCAATCTTGTTCTTGAAATCGTAGTCGCGATAGTCACTGATGAGCCTCTCGTAAAGAAGCATGGCAATCTCGATTTCCGCAAGATTGATAAGAGAGTGTCCTTTAGGTGCGGCTTGGTGCTGACCTTGAACGTCGAAGAACCGGTATGGCGCAAGTAAGTCGCTGGCGTGCCAAGTCTGTTTCCGAAGGCCTGCCATGTTATCGCCGTCCAACAGACGTCCTTCATAGAAAGCTGCGCTAGGAAAGGCACTGATGTCGGGGTGCATGCGGTATTGAGTGTCCAGTAGGTGCACCGCTTCTGGGTGGTTATTCTGCATTCGGACGAACAGACTTTGCTCATATTTGTTGGCAGAAGCGGCTTTGGAGAAGACCGTGGGAGGCAATTGTCTGGGATCTCCGACGAGAATACACTTGGCACATCCGTACTTCAAAGGGATCAGAGCGCTCATCTCAACGCATTGAGCGGCTTCGTCAACTACGACAGTCTCGAACTCAATGTTCAAACTCTGGAACATGTCATGGCCACTACCACTGAGGGTGGCGCAAATGATGTGAGCATCATCCAGAATAGACTGTTGTACTCTTTTACGGTTCAGTTCTGCCGCTCGACCAGCCGAGTTTTCGTTGTCTTTGGCGTTGTCGATCTGAGTTCCCAATTTGGTCTTGCGGTTTCGAAGAGCATTGAACTGATCTTGGAGTTGTGAGAGCTCTTTGCCCTTGACCTCGCCGCTATCCAGTTTTGAACGAGTCAATCGAACTTGTTCAGACACATTCTGATGCTCTTTCATAAGTTGCTGAGTCTGTTCCCTTGCCTGCTTATCATTGTTGGTAGAACCTAAGCGTTTATTGACGAGTTCTTCCATCGTCACATCGACAACAGAGCTGTTGACAGCATCGCTGCGACCGACACGGACGACGTTCACCTTTCGATGGACACCTTTGAGCGTCTTGATTCCTTCCTTGAATCTCATCACGAGCTCGTCCACAGCCGCGTTACTGGGCGCGCAAACCAGGAGTTTCTTTGAAACAGTCGTGTTTGTAGGGAAAGTACCACCTCCTCTTGGAACCTCGATCTTGCTGCCCAGCTGCTTGTCGGAAAGGCTGTCGCTGAGCAAGGCGCCCACAATAGCGACAATGGTTTTGGTCTTGCCAGAGCCTGGTGGACCCTGAATCAGAGTGAAGGCATCGTTCTGAACAGCAGACTGAACGGCCTTGGCTTGTGCTTTGTTGAGTGTGTAATTGCTGACGATGGGTGCCAACTGCTTGTCAGTGTAGTCCAGTAAGGGCGACGGTCTAGCTTTAGTGATTTCATCACACAAGTCATAGTATTGCAGACCAAGCAAGGCGCCGTACTCGCGTTCCAAGGGCGTTATCGACTGGACCTTGTTACCGTGTATAACTTGGCCAGGCAACAGATGAGGCATCATGCTGTTGTTGCTTCCCGGCATCACACGATACGTGACCTCGATGTGTTGCTTCTGGCGGCGCGTGCGGTACACTTGGGCGAAACAATGATCTGCATCGGCACTCGCAGTGGGGTTATTGGACATGGAGAACAGTATGATATCGCTTTCGGAAATCTGTATCTCTTTGTTCTCGGCGTGAGTGACAGAGCTGCTGATTTCGGTGAAAGCGTCAACACTGGATCTGTTTACAATCTTGATCTCGTAAGGCTTGAAAGAACCTTCTTCCCTCGACTTCACAAAGCCTTGCCAAGCTTCGAGAACAAGCAATGGACGGAATGTCTCCTGGTAATCAGCAACATGGCGGAAGGAATTAGCAACTTTNTGGAATTGCCAGTCTTTCGAGTTCGGTGGGTAGTCGCCTTCGTAGAAGAAGTCCCAGCCCAGAATTGTCTTGTGTAGAGGCGCGAGGTCTGGAGCAAGTCGAGCGCGCATGTCCTTGGCAGAACGGACACGTCTCTCGATTCTGACAGGTTGGTTACGCTGTTCGCGTTTCAAGCCAATGGCACCAGCAGCGTCGCTCTTGACAGTATTAGTTCGTTTCTTGCTGGGTTTGACACCGAACAGTTCAGCATCCAACTGGTCGTCTTCATCCTCGCTGCTCTCATCTGAGGAAACCATAACACCCTGACCCTTGGTTGAATGGTCTTTGCCTTCAAGGCCGATGCCTTGTAGACCTGAGCCTCCCTCTCGCTTAGCAGCAGCGATAGCTGCAAGATCTCTCTTGCGTTTGGCTTCCTGTTCTTGCTGGCGTTTGAGTCTGAAATTGTTTGGGTCTTGTTGTGCGATTGGAGTTCTGGTCGGCAGTACAGACTTCTTAGCGAAGTCACCGCGTGCTTTGAGCATCTCGGCAGTTGGCGAAGCGCTCGAAATGGCCCTCTTGAGAGCAGACTCGTCAGCGGCAGCTCTCCAAGTTTCCATGTCCAACGTTCTCTTTGGTTTGCTTGCTGACACCATATCGGCGGTACCTGATCCAGACGTTACCCAGGATGCAAGCGAGCCTTGCCTCTGAGGTTTGGAGATCTCGGCTACACCCTGCTCTTGAATTTCGCTCCCTACTCCGATATGTGCTTCAAGGGCTCGACGCAACTCGGCTTTTTGAGACATGCTGAGTTTAGTCTTGACGGTACCATTCAACACATCGTCAACAAAGATTGTAGAGTCCTCAGGCAGTCGCAGGTCGACCGATTCCAGACGCTTCATTATCTCGCAGGTAATGCTCACGGCCTTGCTAACCAGATACTCGTCTCTTAAGCGTAGCCACTTTGTGACATGGCCCGAGGCATCTCTAGGCATCTGAAGCAGTCCTTGTTCTACCTCCTGAGAAGTCTTGTGATCGCCAGAGGCAACGTTTGCATCGCGCAACGCCCCTGCGATAACGCTGTATTGGTTGAAAGCGTAGTCTGCAAAATCCATAGCGTCTCGGCAGAATTCTATCATCATGGCCTTGTCATGCCCAGCAAGACTCCATTGCTCCGTGTATCTGAACATACACCCTATGACGCTCCACAAAGCTTGCCATGTGTTCTCGGTGGCCTGGACTTCTTCTGCGCCGAGCTTACGGGACCGCAAGATACCATCTTGAGTACTGCAGAGACAGTCAAGAACGTCTCTTCCTAGTTTGAGAAGAGTTCTGCATGGCGAGAACATGTGGCTGCGAGCCACACCACGAAGAGTCGAGGCGACGGATTGGAGCGCCACCACGAAGTGGTTTTCCATGAGGTATCTCACAGCTTCTCTGCGCGAGTCCTGGGAGGCCATGCTCTTGATAACAGTTGCCGCAGACTGTTGAATGTCAGCATGACCTGAAAACACCGCATAGAAGAGACTTTGAGATGCACCAGGGCTGATCATCAAACCCTGGAGCTCCTTCGGTTCGAAGTCTTGTAACCTCTCAAAAAGCTCGGTGACATAGGTTGAAGCGCGCTGGTATCCGTTGTTCCAGCTCTCAGCATGCTTTGGAGCGCTAGCAGACTCTTTGGGGGCCAGCGGCTCCAGAAGCATAAGACGGCTCGCACCGATCAATATGGCTGATGCAAGGGAGATATCGCCCGGCTTGATACTTCTCACTGCAGCCTTCCAGATGGCCAGTGACGAGACGTTGAGGTCGAACCCAAGAGATTTCTGTTGCAAAATTGCGTCGCGTATCGATGCTAAGGAATGGCAGTCGAGAGAAAGAGCATTGCGAACAACATCGAGACCAAGCTCAGTCTCACGCGAGTGCGCCGGAGAATCTTTGAAGCTGTGAAGGTTTTCCAAGATCGTCAAGACATGCACACGAACGAGCTCAAGCAAGTCTGCCACAGTGGCACTACCTGCGCTGGTTCGGTTCATGATCTCCATCGTAGTGTTCATCACCTCCAAACCTTTGTGCCAACAAACAGTCTGCGCGTATCGCGAGTACTTGTCTGATTGTAGTCTTGTCATGAGTTGCTGTAGCACGGCACGACATGCGGGAGCCAGGTTTGCAGGCTTGATGGACTGCACAAAAGGGTCAACCCATTCCAGGAGGGCTTCAAGCTGTAACGGCTTGTCTTCCTCGGTAGTCATCATCGGCCTGTCGATGGAAGGGCTGTTAAGGATCTGTTCCACGACAGCCTGTGGAGGGACGGCAGCCAGTGCCTCCCAGACGTCCGCTGGTGATTTCCTCAGGAGAGCACTGAAACTGCCGACAATGTTTCCATATCCATCGAATGAGAGTTGAAAATGGTCGAGGGCCAGCTTGTAGATGTCCATGTCCAGGGCTCGAAGACGATGTGTGATGAGGCTCTTGTCGAGTTTCTCAATGATGACTCTGGCGCCTTCCCAAAAGATAGGCAAGAATTCGCGATCGATGTTGACAGGAATGACACGACCCATAGCAGCATTCAGAGTATCGCGGACCGTCCAGTCAAACTCGATGCCAGTAATGGGACGCTTGAACTTTGTCCAGCCTCTGAGAGCCCAGGCAGACCTCTCCTTGTTTTGACTGAACAAAAAAGAAGTCAGGGCTGGTGTATATTCAGGTAATGTGATCTTCTTTCTTGTTTGGACTAGACGGAAGGGTTTGTCGAAGTGTTGTTGGAGGAGAGATTCGTTCTGTAGAAATGCTGTGCAATGCATTGACTCGAAAAGGGCATACATCTCCTCCTGGGGCAGACTGGCGATGGAGCGTTCTTGGGGAGCGAGATCGAGAAGGGTGTGGGTGGCGCTGTCTAGGCCGGCGGCAATGCGTTCGGTATTCATCTGATCAAATACTTGCATGAAGGAAGCGACCACGTCGGCATCGTACTGCTTTTCTAGGTCGTGCTTCAATTCCTGCCTTCCGCGATGGTACTCACGGACACAGATAGTGCAGCGTTGGAGCTGAAGTTTGAGCAAGCTCTTGAGAGCAGACCCCAGTTGTAGTGCGGCTTCTCCATCGAAAGCAAGGATCTGGCAGGCCTGCAGGACTTTCTTGGTCAACTGCCGCGCCTCGTCGACCTTTGCTTGTCTGACCGTCTTTTGTGCCTCTGTTTCCTGGGAAGTTGCATTGGGGTTGTCTTCGTCGAAGTATACGGAGGCGTCGTCGTCGGATGTGCGCGGACAGAACCAGTGCTGATTACTGGGGAGAGCTTTGAGTTCCCTGGACAGTCAAGTCAGCAGGCGATCGCGGCGCAGAGCAACAGGGCAGAAGGGTGTCTGTCTTACTCAATTTCCGCCACAACGTCGGCCATTGCAAAGTTCACAGGACGTCGTCCTGACTGCGCATTTGACGTTTATGGATCCTTGAGTCTAGGTCCGGTCAAGATCTCATGACCACGCGATCGAATGTTTTGGTATCGGTTGGGTTTGCTATTCGACCAAGGGTGCCAGCAGTGAAGAAGAGCGACGGTCAAAGTATTGATGGTGTCGGCCGAGAGACTGCGGTTACTGGAGAGTGTTGTTCCAAGAGTTGTGGTGACGACAAGTGTGTCGTCAAAAGTTGTAGGCGGAGCGTCAACAATCACTTTGGTTGCTCGGGGGTCTTTGCTGCCACGGCGGTGATGGAAGAAGAAACACGAAGAGCGCGTCTAGACGTGCGTTCGTCGTGTTTGGCACTAATAGAGTGTCCGCTTTGAGCAGAACTGCATGGCACGGCTTTGGTCTGTTGATGACTCGACTCTCTCACTTTGATCATGGTTCGATGAGTGATCAATTATTTCGATGCAAGGAGAGTGTACATATGGATGTCGCATGGAAGCTTCTTGCATGTCTGGTAGATACAGAAACGGCAGGCTGGAATGGTCGACGCTGCTCTCGCTGGACCTGCTTGCAAACATCTAAACTTCATGTATTCATACGGTGGTCGACCACAGGAGTTCTGGGCTAGGAAACTGGGTGTTGTGTTGATATATCTATGAGCACGAGATAGCTCTGAGCAGAATGCTCAGGACGCGCAAACTTGTCTGTCCTTGTTGAAGGTCTGACAGAGCGATGCCTGAAGAACGGTCCGAGACACATGCAAGTGCACTCGTGTTGTTGTTTGGACAGACCACGACTGTGGTGTGGCAGTATGTACCAATTTCCGTTTAAGGGTTGCGAATTGCGCCTCGAGTGTTGCACTGAGGGGTTTACCGCAGATAGGTTTTGAACAGAGGACAGAATGACGTTCTCAGGCGGCCCTGACAGCGACCAACTTGTGGCTTCGGAAGCGACAACAAGAACAAACTAGAAGATACTGTCAAGGTGAAGTGAAGACGGAGCCCTCGAGGTGTTCGCATGAGACGGTCTTTTTACTCCGGTTTAGGAGGAATGAGGATGTGACAAGAGCTCGGGCCAGTCCGCCAAGCATCTGCTCCTTCCACATATAACCTAGAGTATTCCCAATTCCACCTTTCTCTGTCGAGGTACGACTCTAGTAATCCGTGATTCCATCACATTGCCCTCTTGAGAAACCCCGCATATTTCGCAATATTAGACTCAGACCCCGACAGTCCCAAAGACACCCACCATGGCAGATCAAATCACTGATCCTCAGGACGGCAACTCGCCCTCTGCCCACGACGACAGCATTGCGCCCGAACAGAGAGGCATCAAGAGACAGCGCACCTCCAACGCCGCGCCCGCCGACGACGATGACGACGACGACGACAAGCCTGGCCGCGAGAGAAGAAAGATCGAAATCAAATTCATCCAGGACAAGTCGCGTCGTCACATCACCTTCTCCAAGAGAAAGGCCGGCATCATGAAGAAGGTCAGTCGGCTCCTAGCCCTCACGCGCGACGCGACGTGTCGCACACCTCTTTAGCCCAACTCGGCCTTTACTGACACGCTGCACCCAGNNGCGTACGAATTGTCCGTCCTCACTGGCACACAAGTCCTTCTGCTCGTCGTGTCCGAGACTGGTCTCGTCTACACCTTCACCACCCCCAAGCTCCAGCCGCTGGTGACCAAGGCCGAGGGCAAGAACTTGATCCAGGTACATCCTTGTTTACCACGCCCTGTTTGTCCGCGTCATTACTAACGCCGTCGCCAGGCATGTCTCAATGCACCCGAACCTGCCGACTCGAACGGCGTCGACGGCGAATCGACTGTCGAGTCCCCCGAGGACACACACGCCAATGTCCCTGCTCCAGCCGCCGGCATGCAACCTCGCGCTGCTGGCATGCCCNCCAACCAATACGCCATGACTCCCGACCAGCAGCAGGCCCTGCACTACCAAGCATATCTTCAACAACAGCAGACCGGCGCCTATCCCATGTCTGGTGCACCTATCCCTGGTCGTCACCCCGGACACCAATAGAGGACACGTTGAAGAGACTACAGACGAACCGTCAGCTCTCTTATCATTGCTCCGACATAATGACACGTGCGACGCGGAAACCGAAGAGTGATTTTATTGGTGCCATGGATTGATGGAACGAATTGCCATGCTCGGAGAGCTGGCTGGGCGAGGCGAATTGCGGCGTAGCATCGGGATGGTTTCTCTTAATTTCTGTTTTATCCTCTTTCCTTTTTCCTTCGCTTCATGCCTTGTCGCAAGGCTCCATCTTAGTCTTTGCAAGAAAAAAGGCACCGAAGGCGTCTCTTTTCACTTAACACGGCTGACCCTTGTTTTTCTTTGCTTTTCATCTACCAAAATCAAGAGACAGGTCGGGTCGGCCTTGCAGCCAGTTTGTGGGTTCTTGTATCATAGTCAAAATCAAGATCGAAGACTTATACTTACTGTGGACTGCTTTCATCCTCAAGTGTATCGTGGAAGATGCAAGAGATCAACAATCTTGCCAAATATACCACACGAATCCCCAGTCTTGTCTTTTACATTGGCTCTCACATCTTTCTTGGATGGCAACTTCTTCGAACTGTTGGCAATCTGGCCTACAGAAGCCATGTAAATACGCTCATTTTATGCATGCAGAGTCGATGCTAATCATCTAATAGCAATGTCTATGGTCATGATCCAGTAGGTGTAGGTATCCGAGGACTTCCGGTCGGTTTCTCCATCCTGGCAGGCGCTTGCATCGTCGTCTAGCTTCTCCCAGTAGTTCTACCTACAAGAACAGTCTTTCCATCCTCTCTTTAGAAGGAGCTTGGTCTGGACATGTTTGTATGTTCCTATAGCTACACAAGTTGGATATTTCAGCACAAAGGGAGAATAGTCAAAGAATCAGAAAAACACAGTAACATTGCAGCATACGTCAATTCCTTCGTAAAGAACAGTTTGAGATCAGCTATGTAGCATGCGGACCACGATCACTTTCTTCTTCCCGCTCCTGACCTCGCCATCGCGTACGCCACCAGTCGACAAGCTGCTCTGATATGCTTNNTTCGTGTCTGTACGCCGCTACGTCAAGTCGTAGCGGCTCGGAACGACTTCTGAAATGCGCGTGGTTCGGAGGGTCCGTGATAGACCTTGACATCTTGGGAGGCGCCGGCCGTCGGCTGTCGAGCAATGGGGCAACCTCTGGGTTTGAGCCTAGAGACTCACGGCGAGGTACAGTACCGTAATAACGCTCCTCATCTCCCAGCTCGTCCCAGATGTCTTCTACTTCACGAGCGTTGCTGCCACGTCTGCGTTTCTTGCCAATCATGAGAGCAGAGTCTCGTAACGTGTGTCTGCGCATTAAGGGCGCGGTCTCCGAAGAGCGCCTGCTGCCCGCTTCGTGTTCGTGGTCATCGACGAAGCCCATGCCAGGTGCCAAAGCAGAATGGGGAATCTCGCCTCCTGCGGGTACGGCCGCGGCGTCTTCTTCGCTGAGACGCCAGCTGAGCGCCAGCACACCTGCCAACAAGACAACTGTGCCCAAAGCTATGAGGCCAGCATAGAGTGGCGACAGTTGATCAGCCTGACGGAAGTAGATGAGACCGTCAAGAATTGCTATAATGTTGTAGACGCAAAAGACGAAAGGATAGAGGATACTTGTGGTGACCAGCTTCAGACCAAGATGGAGGTAATACAGCTGGGTGAGGGCGAAGAGGAGAAAGAGCAGTAACAGTAGCCAAGACTGGTAACGATCGAACTGGTTTTTGTGATCGACAATGGTACGCACGAGCAGTTCCACGGCGCTTTTGGCCAAGAGCAAGGCATGGGCTGATAGAACGCCAGACACGAGACCATAAGCCATGCCACGCAGTAGCCTGAAGCGCGGTCTCTGTATTTGCTGGGCAGTCAAGAAGAAGGCAGTAGTGGAATCGACAAGCAAGATGGCGACAACCAGAAATAGAGTCAGGGTCATCCAGACAACAAAGTTTGGGAAGACGAGCAGCCTCAGGAGTTGGTCTAGCGAATGTGAGGGTTCTGGGAGAGCAGAGAAGCGAGAGATCAGAACGGCGCCAGCAGCGACAAGAAGGGTGCCCAGAGCAGTACGACGGGTGAAGGGTTCATGGAGGAGCAGGGTGGCCATGAGGGCGTTGAAGACGAGGCCCGAGGCTTGTAGTGTACTGAGCAGAGGTAGTGGTAGAGTGGTGATTTGGATCGAGGAGCCGACAATGTTGCTGAGCAGGAAGAGCAGCATGCCGAGTTGCCATCGTCGTCGGCGGTACGGGGCGCGGCGGGGAAGGTGTTGGTCCTTCTCGTCCTCTAGCATGTGCGACTTGCGCTGCAAGGTGAGGCCGACGGATTGGACGCATGTGGAGATGAGGCCGACGACGATTCCCAGCTAGATTGTCGGGTCAGACGAGCGGTAAGGTTGGCAGGTATAGGGACGCGACTTACGCCAAGAGTGGCACCAGGCGACAGCGAGGCCATAGTTGTGGGGACAGAGAGGTATGGGTGTTGGAGGGAGAGACGGCGGGTGCTGGGATTATCAAGATGGTCGCGGCGACATGTTGGGGCGAGGGAGAGTGCAGCAGGGGGGCGTGGTCGAGGGGCTCGGTGTCGTGGTCTGGCGGGTATTAGTGGTAGCGGTGGTAGAGTGATGCGGCTGTTTGGCTTTGGGCTTGGACGTGATTGCGGAGAGACTTCAACGTCACTCCAAGACGCTCCAGACAGCCAATTCCCATCAACTCCCTCTCCCTCAGGCCCTTACACACCACCCACATAGCCACCGCCGCCATGTCGCAAATCCACGCCATGTCCGACGACCAGGTATCCCCTTCCGTCTAACTGTCAAGCTGCGACGCCCTTCTGATGAGCTCGTCGCCTACAGGTCGCCTCGGAGCTGCGCAAGATGACTGCCTTCATCCGTCAAGAAGCCCTGGAAAAGGCCCGCGAGATCCACCTCAAGGCCGACGAGGAGTTTGCCATTGAAAAGTCCCAGCTCGTGCGCAACGAGACCCAGTCCATCGACTCCCAGTACGACAAGAAGTTCAAGCAAGCCGCCATGTCCCAACAAATCACAAAGTCCACCCTCTCCAACAAGACCAGACTGCGCCTCTTGAGCGCTCGCCAGNAGTTGCTCGACGACCTGTTCGAGCAGGCCAACAACAAGCTCGCCGACATCACCACCGACGACGCCAAGTACCAGGACATTCTCAAGAACCTCATTCTCGAGGGTCTCTACGCCTTGAACGAAGCAAAGATTTCCGTCCGCTGCAGGTCAAAGGATGATGATGTTGTTCGCAAGGCTGCCGACGCTGCCCAGGCAGAGTACAAGGAGAAGATGAACGGCCGCGAGACTGAAATCAAGATTGACGACAAGGACAAGCTGCCTGAAGAAACGTCTGTTCACTCACATGCCTACAAAATCCCTATCCACTAACCCACTCGCAGATCCGGCGGTGTCACCATCATCAACTCGACCGGCAGAATCGACATCAACAACACCTTCGAGGAGCGTCTTCGTCTGCTCCAATCCGAGGCCCTCCCCAGTGTGCGAGCCACTCTTTTCGGCGAGAACAAGAACAGAAAGTTCAGGGATTAAATCCTAACCTCTTGCTCCCCACCTAATCTCTGTCCCACGTCCTCTTTTGCATACCTAGGTATCCGGAGCCAGCGCCATCTGTAGATATCGCTTTTCTTTGCTTTCTGTCTTGTACGCAATATACCTCATTACATCCACCCGTGCTGTCTCCTGTTTCTCGCCATCAACGCTTGAGCCAACAATCTCAGCTAGGCAGCATCGCTGCTGATCTCGACCCCATTTCCCATAGCCGTGTCCTGCTCACGTCTTGCGACAAAGTTTCTAATCATGTCGCTTGTGCCCTCAGCCGCTCCGAATATTCCTTTTTTGGGCTTCGGCCTGGTCCTTGCTGCGAACTCGAGTCTGTACGACAGCTTCTCGATCGCCGTCTTGCACTCGGTTCTTCGCATGTGCGCCGCTCCAGAGTCCCGAATGTTGAACGCTATCGACCGTAACTCTTCCACTAATCCATCTATGCCCGAGTTGAAGTTGCTTTCTTCCGCCGACACTGGTGACCTTACTACCGTCGTGTCTGTGTTGATTGTGTTATCGGTCTTGGATGTCGCTTCTTCACCACGAAATTCGAATTTGGAGAATCCAAGTCCAATAGCTACGTTCAGTGTATCGAACCGAGCTGCCAATTTCTGGAAGTCGGTATTGTCTCTAATCCTAAACGTTCTATTCTCTTGAAGACATAGCGTCAACGTCTTCATGGTCGCCAGGTCGTCGAGGTCGTCATCGAGATACGTGTTGGACTTGAGGAATGATGCCAATCCCAGACGCCGCTTGAAACCATGCGATGCGCTCGTCGACGAGGAGAGGGACCCAATCAGATGTTGTATCAGGATAGGGTTTGGGATGTGTGCGCGAATGCGCTGTCCAATGTGTTCGACCTTGGAGNNTAGAGATGAGTACGAGCCTGAGAATGAACTTGTAGCCGGGTGTAGACATACCGTTGTCATTTGAATAGAAGGCGTGAGATCAGCTTCGAGCAAGTTTGCAATGCAACTTTGAAGTGCTAGTTGGGTCTCTGCCTTCTGTTCTAGTTGCGGGTCCACAAGTAAGAGCATCAAAGGTGTGAGCCAGCTCCTCCGTTCAGCAATAGGCAGTCTTTGNTAGTTGGTCAGCCAATGGTGGTACAGAAATGGTACAGAAAAGCAATGGTGAGCTTACCTGTTCGCAAGTTTCATCAAGAGCACACACGCCCAATCGAGGCTCAGAGGCATGTCCTCTACGTAAGGTCTTTGATGAGCAGGAGGAGGCCTTGATGACATGTCGGAAAACAGATCTGGCTCGAGATCCTCTCTGCCTGCTCGCAGAAGAAACTGTCGACGTAGGTGGTCGGTCGTAAAGGAAGTGCTAGAAAACGAGTATTCTAACGCACTCACATAGGCACTAGCCAGGCCGTCCTCGAGGTCTTGGAGTAGTTCGGACAGCATCCACTGGACAAGCTCGTCAGGCAGGGCAGATACGCGAGCCATATCTGCCACGAATCCACTTGTGAATGATTGTTCCCTCATACTTTGATCCTGGAGCAAGCTTGTCCAATCCTGTGTAAAGAGAGTTGTGTCGGGAAACGGCTTGGACAGGTGTGTTCTAGGGTCGGCATGTCTGAAGAAAGGATACTGAACATGCTTTTCCAGCAGATCGTTGCGTTCGATCGCGCGCACGACACGCTCCCTTGTCTCATCATCGCCGTCATCTGCCTGCAGATGCGCGGCGAACTCCTCGGCATTCATGTCAGACGTCTGTCTAAGCTCCTGTTCTTGACGTGCTGTCAAATCCATTTCCTGTCTATATTCGTCCTCGTACTCTTGGATCTTTTGGATAGATTTGGCATCCCTGTTGTGAGAGGCGACCAGGGAAGCCATGCTGAACTTGTACTTCTTTCGAGAAGGTTGGGCCAACTTGGACTTGGAGATCGATGGCCTGTCACGACGAGTGGAGCTCCTCAGCTCACGCGCAGAGTTGGAAGGACGTTGTGGGGTCTCTGAAGATGTAGCAGGCGGGGTCATCTTCAGGCGCTTTCGTCGGATCAATTCGTCGATGTCATCCAAGGGATCTGAATCAGCATCAATGCTGTCGGAGTCCGAGTTTGTCACAGCCAACATGCCGTCTCGAATGATGCGTTTACTAGAGGATTGCGAGCTGATCGGAAGGCTTGATAGAGACGAAGAAGACACGGAGGGATCCATGGTTGGCTGCTTTTTGGGGACGGTCGGCGGAGGTGAGGGAGGGCTAGGGCTAGACTCGGGCGACGTGAGAGGGCTTAGCTCTCGTGGGATGCGTGAGGTGGGTGCATGGTACACAGGCGGACTTGAAGGTATTGGCGTAGGGATGGGATCGTCTATTTTTGTCTCCTTGGAAGGCAAGACCTGAATCTTTCGAAGATTGGAAGAAGCGGATCTGGTGGGTGGCATGGAGAAACGGGACTTTGCACTTTGCTGTTGCTCCTGTTGTTGCCGCACCTTGGTGGCTACGGCAGGCGCGTTTTGAGGCTCCGACGCGCTCCTTCCTTCTCCAGCAATTATGCGCTTGACTTTTGGCTGGGCGAATGGTTTGAAAAAGTCGGTAATGGTACGCTCCGCCTTGGGGGCCATTGGTTAAGGATACTGCGAGTCGGCCGCACCGGGCTATGATATGATGATCGAATAAGAAAGTTGAGGCTACAGTCGAGAGCCGCGTCGCGACTGCCAAATTGAAATGTGACGCGTGCCGAGCCGATACGCGGGTACGGTGCCAGTACAGAACGTCTGTCAGATCAAACTGAGGTCTGCAATAGATAGTACTCAACTATTATCGCACGAAGAGGTCTGCAGAGCTGTCAGAGAACATGTCGTCTGTACAGAGCCTCAGATAAAGAGCTAGAACTGGTATAGCCGATCAGATATCAGTTGAGGTTACGGAGTTGGTGCTAGATAAGAAAGCTTGACCGTTTTCTTCCAAGTTGGTGCTTCCATAGATCAATCAATTCACTCGCAACAAGAGATCAATTTTCTCGTCAACACACACATCGACAATTGAACACGAACAACTGCATCGAGAAATCGCGATCCTATGGAATATGGACGCAACCAACCGCAAGTCTGGCCGTAGAAGACAGCCTAGTAAGAAGTACACTGTCGACGCTTTTGAAGGGCTTGATATAGGCGATGGGGTCCCTCTACCACTTGAGGCGCTTGACGACGAAGAAGACGATGACTTTCATGTGGACCCCAACGTATCCCCTGAACCACCGGATGACGACCTTTCAGTCGACGGTGCTGCCGAAGAAGACGAAGAGGAATATCAATCCCGTCACGACCTCGTTTCTGACGAAGAATCTATTGTTGGTGGCTCAGAGGTTGATGCTCCAACTATCACTCGTGGCTTCAAAAAGGTCAAGTTCGACGAGATTGCAAAGATGAAGGGCGATCCTAGGTATAATCCTCGTGGATTGCTCGAACCTGCTGCCCGTGGCTCAAAAGAGCTCCAGAGATTGTTCTTCTTTGGCCCGGCTAAAGACGACCAGATGCCCGCACTCAAATCTCACTACAGATGGGGTGCCGAACTCACCATCCCGAGTCATGAAGCAAATGCCGGTGGTTTTGGTGGCTTCAAGATGAGCTACTACCATGGAGACGCAGCCGTGAAAGCTGAGTCGGAAGAGGGCTGGCATTGGTATGAGAAGGAAGGCGGCAAGGAGCGTTTCAACTCATATCAGCAGTCCACTCCTCTGTCTCCTCAGAAGGCTCGAGTCTACATATCGCCCGCTGCACTCCAGACTTGCGAATTACTCATGGGTCCGTACAAACGCCAATCCCTTTTCAAAATCAAACTGCACACAAGTCTGAACCTGAACGATCCATGGGTGCCACAGACATCTTCCGTTGATGCTCCAGCACCAGTTCAAGACGCAAAATCGCAAAGGAACGGATGGATGCTCAACTTAGGCGAAAAGATCCAACACCTAGAATGGGCACCGAATCTTCAAGGTTCCAGGCAATTTCTGGCTGTCACAACCTCGCCCTTGATAGGCTCCGATCCAGAAGAACAGAAATTCAGCGCACCATATGCACCGGCCTTTGCTCCACGCCCGCCATCAAAATCATCCATACAAATCTGGGAATTCAGCGCCACCCCTGGAGGACGTGTTGACACTACATGTGCTCCTGTGCTTCGGAAAGTCATCTGCTCCGAATGGGGAGATGTCAAGACGTTCAAATGGAGCTCCATGCCTCGGATCCCCTCGGACGAAAGGTCAACGGAACGGCTGAGTCTAGGCCTGCTGGCTGGGATCTGGGCAGATGGTGCTTTGAGGGTACTCGACGTCTTCGTCCAAGCAAAAGACGTCAAAGAACCCCAGTACGAGCTGGTCAAATCCGCAGCATTCACTGCTCAACCCCCTAACACAATATGCACATGCTTGACGTGGCTAAGCTCGACCAGCATAATTGCTGGCTGTGCCAATGGATGTGTCGGTATTTGGAATCTCCCATCATCGCTCCAGACTGCATCATCCGAGAACCAGCGCAACTCGAACGCGGAACCTGTCGTCTTCACCCCAATCTCACCGACCTACATACTCAATGTGACGACATGCTACCCTTCAAGACCCAACATCATGATCTCGTCGTCCATGTCAGGCCACATTCAGATGACGGACCTGATGGAGATGACCTCCAAGGCGACTTTGACTCCCGCAGCGACAGTCAGAGCTAGTCGATCTCGTGTTGGAAGGTCTGTCCTCGTATGGCATGAATTTGCCCAGGTCATCCTTACGGTCGATGACAACTTTACACTCATCGCCTTCCCGATCCGACGATTTTTCCGTCAGATTTCATTCACGCGCTATAAAAGCTCAGTAGCGTGTCTTGCTCATAGTCCGGTTCATCCATTCGTGATGGCAGGATGTGTCGGCGGTGAGGCTATTAGCAACAATCCTCTACGCCGCGCCTATGAGAACAAAGTTCCCATCTGGAACCAGACCTGGTTCACGCACGAATGGAGACAACACAGTATCGAAAAGCATACAAAGTCTGGCGATTCCGACGGCGATGAACTCATGGCAAACGCGTCAGATGAGCGTGAGGATCAAGACACAAGCACAAAGGACAGTGCAGACACCACGCCGCAAGAAATCAGTCGAGTGCTGGAAGGTTTCAAGTGCAAAGAAATCAAACTCTTCAATACCGAAGATGCATTTACTCACCGCGAGAACGGAGCCGTGTACTCGACCGTGTACGATCTAAAGACATCAATTAAATCAATATCTTGGAACCCAAATCTGCATGTTGGTGGGTGGATTGCTGCAGGTATAGCGAATGGTCTCGTCAGGGTAGAGGACGTTGCATCGTAATGATAGTGCAGGTGAAACGCGTGTTGGTTTCCTTCGAACATATCCTTGTACCCTGATCCTCTCGGTCTTTATCCTTACTTTTACACTAACATAAAAAACTTGTCGCTGTCCGGAGACTACCATACTCGTAGTCCATCTGAGAGAAGTCGAACCGAACCAGGTCGTCGAACCAGAATTTTTCAAGCACGTGATGACTGACTGGGTGACTAACGGAGCTAGCCCGTTTGAGCGCCATCTCTCGAGCGAACGCTGCATGGTCACATATACGCTAGATCGTCTGTCGAATTTCTGGGAGCTCTTGACCAACCTGAATTGTTGGATCAACGACCTGTCCTACATTCAAACTGTCCTATGCTCTGTCGTGAGGACAACAAGTAGTACTTTCATCCTAGATTGATCGAGTCTGTCCCATCAGTTGGTTCAATAGATAACAATTCGCGGTTTTTGTTGTCGGCTCTGGATCTTTCTCATCCCCCTTGACTCATTGTGATGCCTGGAACGATCCCTGATTTCCGTTTGACAGGGGGGCAATGAATGTCATCCGAAGGAACCTGGTTGTGATGAGACACGCCAATTGGCGTACGAATTCTAATTTACTGTACGAGATCAGCATGGTTGACTTTGACCCTTGTCTTACAGACGGAGGGAAGCCGCTCGCTGAGAACGAGACAGGCGCCCTCCACGTGCGCGTGGATCGACTCAGCGTACCCTCAATGCAGAGCTGCCTGATGGGAGTTTCGTAATATTGTAGGCATATTGATTAAGGAATTTGGTACACTACCGGGCAGCTACAGTCATCCGGTGAGGACAATAGATAGGTGCCTAAGACGTGAGTGCTACGATCAGCAGGTTTAAATCTTATGTTTGACGAAATTGGACCGTCTCAGGATAATGGCGGCTCAGTGATGTCAACAGTCGAGGTATGGGAACAACGGCACACCCACCTATCGGGCGTGGAAGTGATCAATAATGTCAGGCTCAAATCAGGCCTTTTTGGTACGCAACCCGTTGTGGTTGGGAACTGCTAAAAACAAGACGGCTGTCCTGGACGGGGGAGCTCTGATAGAATACAACTGTGTCTGTAGTCCAGAAGCAGTGCTGTGGTTCGAACGCTGATTGCGGTTGTAATGCTGATATGCATACGCTCTCGAACAAAACCTCGACGGTCATGATTACCTTGTAGCGTGCTGCAGTTTCGAGCTTCACACGCGTCTTGTCCAAGTGGGAAGCAGCGTTGCTTATGTTGGACTTATCGCGATTTGGTGAATGCAGATACGCTGCTGAAGCTTGGCCAGTCTGGTCGTTCATGAATTCCAGACATGCCGACATGCCGTGAGCTTGTATGTTTAGGAGGGCTCTTGACAGTCCTACACAGACATGGCTTCTTAGTCGGCTGCTTCCCTTCTTGCGGCCATCCTCTGGTCAACTCTCAACTCTCTAGGGCCAAGTCGTGTTGTAATAGATGATGAGAACCGGACTGGATTTCAAAACTTTAGATATAGCGTCAGATGTCCACAATTGGCAGGAAGAAGCACCTGGCAATCTCTTGGGCACAACCAAGTCTCCAGTATGCGAAGATGAGGTAACGAGGGAAAGCCTGTTTGTTTAGCCGCTGATCAGCCATCACTGTTGACCATGACGCAAGCACGTTTGCTGACTTCCTACTCACGCGCTTACTGTTCAGTCAATTGGTACTTATCTCTTCTATCCCGAACACGTTCTGTCGCGAACGCCTTCTATCACAAGTACCACGAACATCCCGAATATCCCGGACACCTTCCATCACGCACGCCTCAAACATCAGCCAGCCTATACGTCGGACAGCCAACATGATTTCGCAAATCCTTTTGATCATCATCACCATCTTCCTGCCTCCTGTCGGTGTTTTCATGATCGCAGGCTGCGGCGCAGATTTGCTCATCAATATCGCTTTGACCGTCCTTGGTTACTTCCCCGGCCATATTCACGCCTTCTACCTCGAATACGGTACGTAAAAGCAAAGGCATGCTCAAACATAAGAAACATGCTAATTTTACCTTCGCCTTAAGNTCTACTACCACAGACAAGAACAGGCCAACGTGGGCCTCTACGACAACACCGCAGCGCCTGGTGTCTACAGCGATAACGTTCAGACTGGTGGCCGCGGCTACGGCACCATGCCTCCTCCCGCAACTGGCCCTCAAGTGAACTAGAAGCAGCTGTTCTCGAAGATGGTCCCGAGAGAGTGAGTGCCCGTGTGGTGGACGTATATAGCTTTGAAGTCTGGGACCCCATATCATGCATAATGAAACTCCTTCGCCTTTCACTTATGATGAATATTGTCATGTCGCATCTACAAGAGTATACGGTACCGTCGAAAAGTGAAGCTCTGTTCACAGAAAGACACCATCCAGGTGAATATCAATGGACAAGCCTCTAGCGCCCAAACTAAATGTACATTCCGGTGGTCTACAATATTGCCCTGTGTTGCTAAGAGAGACTTTACAACACATAAAAGCATGTATTCAGCATTAGGAGAATCTTGTCCATCATGCCAATGGTTCAGAATCGAGATGGCAGCTAGATCACAAGAGTTGGACCAAGTGTGGAAACAGAGCCAGGGTCACCACACCAGCAGGGTGACATTGGAGATTGTAGATTTTAGATTCATGAACTTGAGAGGCTCTACCCTAAACGCCATATTATTTTCCCCCCCCCCATCCGCCGGATTGTTCGTGAAGATCTATTGTTGCTTGGCCTGCTCGGCAGCATTGCGGTCGTGCTCATCAATGTCCNNCTGTCAAAAGAGTGGTTAGCTATGCGATCAAGACGAAAGCAAAAAGCAAGAGACGTACTGAGCTTCCCAAGGATAGCAGATCCAGTAGTCGGGAAGGGTGACGGCAGCGACGTAGTGGTCGGGCTTGACCATGTCCTCGGGGAGAGTGCCNCTCTTGGTCTTGTCCTTGTTGTGCAGGACAAAGATGGAGAAGGTCGTCTTCTCGGCGGTGCGGCCGAGCTTCTCGGTAGCAATGTCGACGTCCTTTTGCAGCTCGCGCACGGCGTACTCGAGGGTTGTGCGTGTGTCGTCGACCTCGTCAACGATGAGGATGTTCTTGCCAATCAGGTTGGCCATCTCGAGCGAGGACAGGTCCAGCCATTGTGTGCGGGTGACCTTTGTGCCGGGGATCTCCTCGGGCGTCTCTGTGCCCAGCGTCTCGTACAGGGAGAGACCGATGGCCTGGATGGGGATGTTGGGGCTGCCGGGCTTCTTGAGGAACGAACGCAGGATACGGGCAGGCACGTAGCCACCGCCACCGATGGCGATGATGAGGTTGGGCTTGCAGTCGTTCAGGATGCGCTCAGCCGACTTCTGGCAGAGCTTGTGTACNCTGGCTGCCTGTCAGTCAAGCGTCCAGCTCTCTCGGCGTGACTCGACCTCTCATACATCGTTGTACGTGACGTAGACTTTTTGCACCATCTTGGCCGTGGATTGAGCGAATGCGATTAGGATGCAAGGAAAAGTAGGAATATGCGACCACCAACAAGGTACGAGGATGCGTCGGTTGCTCGAACAATAATTTTTATTTTTCCGCGCCCAAGTCCAATGCTGCCCGCCGAGGCCAGACCCGCACACTTCAGAGACTCGGCGGCCGGTCCCGCACGCCATCCGCAAACTGACTCGGTCCTATTTCCTCCCTGCCTTTCTCGTTTAGGCCCGCTTTCTTCCATATACAGTGAATGGGACATGTTCAATTTCTATACCATATCTGTTCTCGCACGCTATGCACCAACTGGTGGATTGCTCCAAGTCAGGACTCTATCCTAGTCTCTTGCGCTTCCTGTCTTCAGGCCCGTCTTCTCCATCGCGCTCATGATTCGACTCTGCTGTAGGATTGAGCAGGGAGTGCACGTTGCTAGCCATGCTACTTCGACGGGTTCCTGGTGCCGAAGCCTCAACACCCTTGAACGAGAATTTCGGCCCAGGGAGCTGCCACCCTGCCTCGCTACTGTTGTTGGCATACGATGGAGGTCCCGAGTCAGGCGGTGTAGTCTGACGAGAGCCGAGCCTCGATGTCGCGCGTGGCAATTCGTACTGCGCCAGCGTATCCCTGATTTGCTGCCCTTCGTTGTTGCTTTGGCGGAACGGAGATGTAGGCCATTGTGCAGAATTCTGTCCTCCTGTGGTAAAAGGCGAACCTCCATGTGGGGGTGGCGGTGGAGGAGGAATCGCATGAGGTGGACCGTTCCACCCTTGTAGTCTAATGTCGGCAGAGGTATGGCGCCGGGAGAGGTTCATGGGTGGTGATGCCGGGCGATGTTGCAAGGCTGCCTGGGCTGGGGGCGCCGGTGCTGGCGGAGGTGGAAGCGTGGTGTAGGTTGGCGGCGGCGGCGGTGGAGGTGCAGGTTGTCTGGACGAAGGCGATGGTGGGCCAGAGGGACCACTGAGGGAACCAAATCTATGAGGCGATGCTGTCATGTGCGGAGGCATGGGTGTCCTGAAGGAAGAAGCGCGAGAAGTCGGTTGCAACGAAGGTCTGCGTGAAGCATCCATGGCTTGCTGACGGGGCGATACAGGACCGCCATGGTCGTACGAAGGTGCAGTCATGTACGGCGGGCGGGTTGGCTGCAAATTCTCATGCGGCACTTCGTGTGATCTCAGGATGTCCGCATTTCTGTTGATCTCGGCGCGCAATGCCGATACGTCTCTGTGAACCGGGTTCTCTGGATCGGGTGCCATTCCAAGGAGTTGCGAAGACAGCTCTCCACTCCACNNTAGCTTCGCGTTAGCGGTTGATACACATGTAGCTTACTCAAAACTCACGTAATGACATCTTGCCAATCCCTCGGACAACATCTGGCATTTGGCGCTGAGATTGGCGTATGCATCTTCTGACCTTGCCAATCTTGCATATACGTCCTGGAGATTGAATTCAAGCATACTTAGTCGAGCCTCGACGGGATCCGGCATTGGGGCCTCCATGGGTGCGCCTGGCGGAGGAGGAGGCGGCGGCTGAAGCGTCATCTTGGGTGTCGCGTTCGAGAAGGAATCACGATGTATGAGCGTGTGCCGGGAAGCACGGCGTTTGATGTCTCTCAGTCCGTTCAGGTCGCCTCTTCTAAAATTGTTGGCACCATGTTTGAATTCCCACAGAGGTGAATCGGGAGATCCTGTATGAAACACGTCGCTGACTATTGGTATGGGCATTAGCTTGTGCTAGTCGATTCGAACTGGAGTCATTACCTTTNNGTGAAAGCCGTACATGTTCAATTGACGGACGAAAGATGAAATGTTTGTGTGCTTGAAGTATGATNNCTAGTCGACAGTTAATTTGTTGTCGAGCTTGATCTTGCACGAAACTGTCGCTTACGCTAGGACTTTGGAGAATTCAGTCGAAGGTGACATGACAAAGCTCTCGTTGGTGCTGGACCATGAGATCAAATGTTGTATACTCTGGTCTTCGAGCATGCTGCACGTAGATTAGCCACGATCGGCCTACAAGGGCAAGACAGAGCACTACCTGTATAGTTTGTGGATGAAAGCTGCACTGATGGCTTTGGGCTGCTGTGCCGCTGCAGCAGCCCCCACTGCGTGTTGACCAATGGCTCCATTCCGCAGGCTGGACTGACTGTCTTGATCGATCGCGTTTCCAGACTGCATGTTCTGTTTGTCGCCTCTGGGACTGGTGTTCTGAGAATCCCGGGCCGCGTTGTCGGAGCTCGTATCCATTGGGTCAGGAGAAGCGTCGGAATCGGGAGCACTGGTTGTGAGGACGGGGATCGGCCTGGCCGAGGACTGAGTCGAGTAACTGGAGCTGAAGTGGATATGGCGAGCGGGCTGCTCAACAGTCGTCATGTCAAGATGCGCGGCAGCAGGGAGCTGTTGGCTTGTCGTGCGCAACTCGTGTGGCCGGTCGCAATTGGCTCAGCGTCAAGGGGACAATATATGCGTCGGTCCAGGATGAGTCGTGACTCGTGGTCTCTGTCCGTCTCTTTGATGCAGCAATGGGGAGCGGCGTCGGAATCGAAGGTGTCGGGTGTTGCGACAATGCACGCGGCGAAAGGCAAGGGGACCTGTGCAGGGAGGTCTGAGGTGATGAGAGACCAAGGGCAGAGAAGATGGCAACGTCGAAACGTTTTCCGACGGTTCCTCGGCGAGCCGACTTCTGTTCTAGAACAATGGTCGAAGTCGAGAGGGCGGGCGTGGGGTTCAGATGGTGCAAGACGGTAGTTCCTCTCTAGCTCGGATTCGTCTCACAATAGATCGATGCGAAGGTCAAAGGTTCGATGGCGGCAAACGCAAAAGCTTCACGAAGCGATCGAATTGCTTTAGGTTACGCGTCCGAGTACGGGCTCGAGGTACTCCGAGTCTCCTGCCTGTATCCGGATGACGAGCAAGAGAGTGGATGCGCACCTGCCAGCGGGATGCGACGTACTGAGCGGTCTTGTCGGCTAAGCTGCTATGACAACCTCGGCAGAGAAGAGGAAAAAGAGGGAAAGGAAGAGAGAAGGAGGAATGGATTAGAAAGGAAAAACTGCAGACTCGAACAGACCAAAGCGATGAATGGTTAGCTGCTATTCAAAAGCTCGTCTCGGGTCCGGTCCCCCTGTGGCTTCCCGCCGCAGCCTACAGCATGGTTAAAACCTGTGCACGATCCACCTGCAGATCGTGGAAATAATAGTCCCACCGTCTTGACCAGAGCCACAAAGCCCAACACGCCGCCCGTCGGATACGCCCTTCTTCCCGCCAGATGCCCACAATCACCACAGCTGGAATCTGTCCGTTCAGCTGCCAACCTTGTCGCGCACACCACTCGGCTTCGTTGAACGAACCATGGCGCATGAAACAACCCGAGTCATTCCCCAGACAAATCCTATACGACATGAATTGGGCAGTGGGGTAATGCTTCTCGGCGTAATACGGCAAGTGCAACTTGATATAATCCAGGGGAATTACTATTCAACGCATCGGCTTTTGGACTCCCGGTTGATTGAGACAGCTACGCTTGTAATAATGCCGACGGCAGCAGAAGTCCGTATGTGCTATGAGGTACTCGGCACCGCCGTTCACGCTTCTCCCTCCGCTGCCTTCGATTTCATCTCTCGGAAGGTCATCAGAAACTTGTCAACGAGATTGGGCGACAAATGGACCCTTACGTTTGGTAAGTATCGTTGACTGCTTGGTGCATACTAGATGAAATCCACAAGCCTAGGTCGATCATGATTTCGTGTCGACACAATTGGTTTACGATGATCAAAGTGTTTATTTTGATAAGCTGGACCATAATCAGAGGAAGCGAGAGACGTCTCGTTCTCAACTTGTTAGACTTGTTTGACCCACTGACGCCTTGCCCTCCATCCAATGCACCCCTTCCTGAGTCTTGTTACATGCTGCAATCGTGTATACCTTGAGGTCCTTGTTCGTTGTAATCTGTTCTCGTCATGTATCCCTTGCTCAATCCTTGATCTACCATGAACAGCACCTTTGCAGCCACCTGCGCCCCGAGGAATACTGCTTCCTCGTAACCCGCGTCCTTCCATTCGGGAAAGTATTCTGGCATCTTGGCGAGTTTTACGCTTGTAGGTGATTGCGCGTGTGAGGTGTGCAAGCTATGCGGCATGTGTGCTCCTGGCATTCCACCGTTCATGGGATTCAGCTGGGGGTTTTGTGCCGTGGTCGCAGCATACAAGAGAGGGTTGACACCAGAGCTCAAGTGTGGGGGTATTGATGGTTGAGGTGTGTTGGCGCCAGTTGCCATTGGCGTCGAAAGGTTTGAAGGCAGTTCTGATGTGAAGATAGTGGCCGAAGATGGTGAGATCAGGTACTTGGTCTGCAGTGTGCCCAGGAGAGCTTCCTTGAAACCGCGGACCTTTGATCCATTGCCAACAATGATCAAAGAGTCCCACAGCTCACTTCTCTTGCCTACCTCCTCGACAGAGGAAACAGTGCGATAGATGACGTCGGCCAATCTATCGAGCACACCGCCACTAGCAGCTTGGAATCGTTCAATACCGACCTCGGCTTCTCGGCGGATTGCTCCACCGTGTGAACGTTGCTCATCCTGGGTACCATCAGTCGCGGGACGATCTGCGTCACCGGCCTCAGCGTCGTTCTTCTTTGCAGGACCAACGTCGACAGCAGCTTGCATGTCTGCGATCTGCTTGTCGCTGTAGTTTTGTTGCTTCATGGCATCACGCAAATTGTGATCCTCATAGATGAAGGTGTTCTTGACTCTTTTTGAGTTGGGAAGCCTAGCAGGCTTTGCGCCAGCCGGGCCAGCTTCAGCGCCCTTTTTCTTTGCGGCCAGCCTTTCAGCCTTCTCCTTCTCTTTCCGTTCCAGAAATTCACTCATGTTTCCGCCTGTGACGATGCTGGCTATGTCAAGCACACCCTCGTTGTCTTCGCCGTCTTTCTGTTCGCTGCCAACCTGAGTCCCGGGACCTGGACCCAGAGGGGTCTCACCAAGAGCGGCAGTAGTCGTTCGCTGGTCAGGACCTGAGCCTTCTGCGCCAGTACTGGCAGCTGCGGCAGGGTTAGAGGGCTGATCTGAGGGAGCCGCAGCGTTTTCGGTAGGTAGGTCGCCTTCGAGAACCTCGCAGATTGGGCTGTGCTTCAACTGCTCGCAGACCTCTTTGGAGAAGCCTCTGGAAGAAAGAAGTTGCAAGAGACGCTCGGTCAGGGCTTCTCCACCGCAGTCAGGTACGCTCAAGGCGCGACCAGTGTCGTGGACTAGGTAATCGTAGATGGCAGTAACGTCGGCCTTGTCGTAACCTACGTCGACAATGGTGGCAGTGGGTACACCATAGGCGTACAGTGTGGCTGAAGCAGCGTCCATCAAGCCAAAGGCGGGNGGCTTCAGCTTTTCAAAGACGAATTGAGCAATCTTCTCGTGTTCCTTGGGAGTCCATATCGGCTGGGCAACGAGAAGGATGGCGGTGTGGAACGGCGGGTTGATGTTGCGATAGACGTTGTCGATCAAGGCGAAGAAGCAATCCCAGTCGACAATTCGGCCCTGTTGGATGGGCCAGACGGCGCCTTGCTCGGACAGGACGTCCTCTTCATACTCGGGATCACTGTCGGCATCGGCAGGAGGGGCGTCTTTCCGGCGGACCTTGTTGGGCTCAAACTCGCCAGGCTTTTCGGCAGGAAACATGCATGAGCGCAGTCGGAAACGCGCCGGGGTCAGCGATTCGGGCAGGCCGAGCTGCGCAAGAGTTGTTCGCGAGCCGGGCGCGATGATCNNTGGCAGGCGCACGAGAGTGAGTGGGCGGACCGGTGTTGGACGGGCGCAGACGGCACTTACCAGGATCTGTTCATCTTTGAAGGGCGCCATCGATGCGGTCGGCGGGTGTTTTCAAGTTTGGGAAGCTGCCCGAGTTGGACGTGTTTGCTCGTGTCGCGTTCTGGAGACGGAGAGACGTCCGTGCGACTTGGACCCTTGCTCCTCCTGCTCGACTTCATCGTCATGTTTATGCAAGTCTGCGACCTCTTCTCCAGCTGTTCTTGCCGAGTCTTCTCTCTCTAATCCGTGACCCTCTTCGATTGTTATAGCTACCGCCATGTCAGACATCAATCTCCAGGAGGTGCACGACTACTTGGTCGACGTCGCCAAGCAAGCAGGCAAAGTCATCACTGCTGCACGTCCGTCGACGACAGCGGCCTGTGAGAAGAAGAATTCAGTTGATCTGGTCACAGAGACTGATCAGGCCACTGAGCGTCTCATCACTAGCCTGATTCACGAAAGATATCCCAATTTTGTGTGCGCTTCACCAACCTTGCCTTGACTTGATTTGTGCATGCGAGTAGTCTCTTACATTTTCCTTTCAGATNTCATGGGAGAGGAAACCTACCAACCTGGCGACATCCTGACGGATCGTCCAACCCTGATATGCGACCCCGTCGACGGAACCACCAATCTAGTGCACACGTATCCATATGTCAGCATCTCTCTGGGACTCGCTATTGACCGAAAGCCCGTCGTTGGCGTCGTATACAACCCTTTCACGAAAACCTTGTTCTCTGCTGTCAAAGGAATGGGCTCCTTCCTGTCTGATCCCTTCCATGATCATGTACAACTGCCCCTGAAAGAGCCAGAGGCCCTTGCTCTTGACAAAGCTCTCATAGCTGTGGAATGGGGAAGCGATCGAGCTGGCCACGACTACGACATCAAAGTCAAGACTTTCCGCAACCTCTGCGCCAGTTCAGAAGAAGGCGGTGCTATGGTGCATGGCATCCGCTCCTTCGGCTCGGCTGCCCTGAACCTGTGTGGCGTCGCTGCCGGCCATCTAGATGCCTACTGGGAAGCAGGTTGCTGGGCTTGGGATGTGTGCGCTGGTTGGGTGATTCTAGAAGAAGCCGGCGGGCAAGTCGTTGATGCAAACAGGGGCAACTGGCAACCGAGAGTCGACGAAAGACGATATCTGGCAGTGAGAAAAGGAGAGGGCCAAAACGCTTTCATCGAAGACCTCTGGAGTCATGTTGCTGGAAACCTGAAAGTAGGCATTTGAACTGGTTTTATCCTCAAGACTTGACCTACCCGAGTACTACTATTACGTCTTCTAACTGTAGTCGTGTATTTCCACAGCTAAAATATGACAGTCTCCAACGCAGGGAGACACGAGGCTCAATTACTCATATAGGAATTCTGTGTGCCACACTTCTCCAGTAATCGCATCGCTGGCCCAGTTGCGCAATAGACACTTCAGAAAACACTTCCTGCGAGACCAAAAACTGCTTTCCTGTGTGCAACTCTGGCACACCAGCTATAGTCTCGTTGGTCAGTTTGTGAGCGTTCGGATCTCCTGTCTCAAAGAACGAAGCAAACGCCCCGGCATAACCTTGGTATGTAAAAGCATCGGTTTGCTGAATCGAGTTGACTTGATTCCACNNTGCGTACTTCATTAGCAGTCGTTCCTCGATGGACAAGTGTCAACTCACATAGATAGTATCGCTGGCGTGTTTCGCAGGTGAGATGGTGTACTCGCCGAGGTATGATTTCTTACGAGCAGCGCTCGCCATCCAATACGCAGGACAAGCCAAAACAGTATCTCGAAATATAAGACCCGCCCGGATATAGGTAGTGTTATAGCTAGGCAGTCCTTCTGCCGATCCCTGTGCTGGATACAAGGATAGTACTCGTGATCTATCACGATCCGACAAGCCCGGCAGATACCCCTTCAACCATGCAGTAAGAGACATGACTGACGAGTTGAATGGTGGCGAGCCAGAGCTTACTGCGTGCTGGAAGCCAGGAGGGATAAAGTTCTCGCCTTCATGCAAATTGTACATGCCAAATCCATAATCAATGTCAACTTGACCCCTTGCCGTGGCAGAAGAGAGCGGTTGAGTCAGAAATGAACCGTCGATAACAGGTGACCAAGCATAAGATGAGGTGTTGTAGGTATGAGATCCGGAGATTATCAACGAAGCATTTCGAATAGTCTGCACGTCTGCCATTTTCAGACATTGCAATGAACCCGGTCCAGAGCAACCAGTCAGACTAGCAAGAGAGTCGTAAAGCGCCTGGGCTTGGAGTGCATTGTATTTGTAGGTCTTTGGCCAGAATGGAGAGGAGGCTAAAGCCTTTGAGAACAAGGATGGGCTGGTTCTTCCACTCTGCGCCATGACCTGAGCTACCACGCTCCCACCGCCAGCCGATTGTCCCCAAATTGACACGTTCTTGGGGTCTCCTCCAAAGCTTGAGATGTATCTGTTAGTCCATTTCAAGGCAGCGTGCTGGTCTAGAAGTCCTGGGTTGAGGTCAGAGAGTGGATCTGCGGCGATCTCTCTACCTGGGAGGAGACCGAAAGCATTAACTCTATAGTTGGTGTAGACAAAGATGAAGTCGTTGGAATCAGAAACGTTGAGCACCGGATACCCNTCGAGCGAAGTTAGCACATACTACATGGACCATCCCCTCTTGGCCTCAAACCATACAGTCTTACGTATACTAAGATATCCTCATCTCTCTTGCTACGTACCTGATGGTGGAATAGAAAAGTAGGCACTGCCTTGGATAAAACCTCCACCATAAAAGACCACAACTACAGGACGAAGCGGCTGTCCCTTGGTCCAAGGTTTCGAGTACAGTCCAAGATACAAGCAGTCTTCGGACCCATTGACTGTCCGCTGAGGGCACATGTCAAAGGGTTGTGTCGAGTTGAACGTACCATTGGTTATGGGGATAGGTGGTTGCGGTCCTCTGAAACGATTTTGCCCAGTGGGAGGAGCAGCGAATGGTATCTTCTGCCAGTAACTCAAATTATATCTTGCTGAATATGAACCTTGGAAGGTCCCATAGTCTAGCTCGGCCACCAAAGTGGGTGCACAAGTGCACAAGTCAACAAACAACACCAGGAAATAGAGACAGGTCTCTAATCGCAGTGCCATTGTGTCCTGCTAGATTCAAGGGAGGGCTTGCTCCGGCCGGATCTTGGGCTGAAGCACTGCATGATATACTTTCAGGTCTTCGGCGTTCGGGTGAATTGCTGTGTCAGCCCCTCTTTCCAGTTCATACTCTCCTTCGTCTGCTGAATGGAGTCTGTAGCCCCGACCCTTCTCCCACACTAGCATAGAAGAAAGTGCGGTGATTGTCTCCAGGAGCAGAAAGGCAGTCAAAGAGTGCCGATCAGATGTTGGCTCTCAGTGGACGACATCACTGTTTCTGATAGCACTGCGCATTCAGCAACGCACTACACACTCCAGCACTCGAAAAGGCTGTACTCGGTGATGTGTGATCTCCAGTGGCTAAGGCCGCAGGCGAAAGATGGGGTAGGATGGGGTAAGATCGAGGAAGGCTCGGCTGAACTGGAGCCGAATCTGGGCTGAGCTCTCCCTGACTGGTGGAATTTATGATCATCAGCTGGAGCAAGGTCTGTTCCTAGATGTAATCAATGCGGTTGCATATACGTCACTTAATGTGTATGTCATCGAGACGTAAGTCGTCGCTGCTATGTCTGTCGGGCCCATGTTGGGGTGACAATATTTTCGTCCCCACCAAACTCTATATCATTTCTACGAAAGCTTGACCCTTTTGGCTCCCTCAGCTTGAGAGTACTACTTCTTAAGCACTAATCTGACATAAGGGATCTCCACGTCTTCCTCCGTAGTGTCCTCTGCAGTGATCTCAAAGATGACATTCTTCTGGTGCTCGGGGATAGGCTTCTTGCTGATGGTCTCGACAAGTTCGCTCAGCCTGGAAACGACATGTTAGCAACAAAAATATCGACATGACAGTGAATACTAGACTTACTTGAGAGGTAGCCTGTCCTTGTTCTTGGCAGCAGGGTAGAAGCTAGCGTACAGTAAGCTGACTCCAGAACTGATCATGGTAATCTCCAGACCCTTGTCGGCAAAGTTCTTTAAGAACTGTTCCAAAGTAACGTCGTCGGTGTCGAAGCGATCCCAGAGCTTGTCAATAACAACCTCACCGTTCTTGCCTTGGTATTTGCCCTTGGGCGAAGCGATGGGCTCCGAGAAGCCGAAGAAGGGCAAGGCCAAGTTGATGAAGCCGTTCTTGTACTGCTCAATGTCGTCCTTGCCGTCGATGATCTTGAATAGTTCAAGGACCACAAGACCAGTCACCAAGGCGGTAGTGGTTGCGATGGCAGGAATAATCTTGCCTGCAATAAACTTGGTCTTGTGGCGATCGGCGTTCACAATCTTGTAGTTCTCAGCACGCAAGTTGCTGGCAGCGGTGATGAAATCAATGTGGAAGTTCGAGTCATCATCCTTCTCAAACTCAACAGGGGTCAACTTGAATCCGCCCAGAGTCTTCGGCGAAGGCAGCGACTTGGCAATGTTGTCGAGCTCGTCGTTGTCATCCATTGATGCCGAAGGACCGTTGGGGTCGGGCTCGTTCTCACTGGCCTGAATCTTGACACCGGGGTCAGGTTTGAAGTCCTCGATGATCATGTCATCGACGAGCTGGTCAATCTCAGCCTTGTCTTTGACACCCTTCTGGGAGATACCGTAGTTGAAGGCGTGAAGGTTGGCAGCGGAAAGGATGAAGGTGAAGTGAGTGTCGTTGCTGGGGTCATACTTCAACGGGTCGGGGGCACGCTTGGGACCCGACCAGAAAGGCTGACCACTTGATGTCTTTGCGTCCTTGGGGAAGTTGTACAAAAGCTGCTGAATAGCATTGTTGTACTGCTTCTCGAACTGGGATCTAGCCCACTTGACACAATCCTCATAAGTCTCAGGCTTATCGGTAACCAAGAATTCCTTCAAGGTCTCGAGAGTCTGCTTTTCGTTGCCAGACTGCTTGAGTGCAGCACCGAGGTAATCAGGCTGAGTAATGTATGCGTTGACAATCTCGGCGGGTCCAGCGAAGTATGTGTGGAATAGATCCTTGGCCCAAGCGATAGTGTGCTCGATGCGGTTGGGGAAACTGCGCAGAGTACACATAGGGAAAGATTGCTCAGGAGGATCTTGCGAGCTGGAGTAGGATTCGGTGATTCTAGGAAGAACGACCTGAGTATTGCCCTTGGTACCAAGAGTGCCACTATCCAAGAGAGGCTTTTGGAAGAAGACACATCTACGGTCGACGTAGGTACGAGCATCAACATTGTCAAGGGCGTTGGTCACACCATCGAGACCATTCCAGAAGTCCTCGTTGAACAGATGCTCAGTGTCCTGACCAACACGGTCCTTCATGGACTCAATCTTGCCCTGGAGGTCGGGGTTCATGGCCTGAACAGCTCTGGTAGCAGACTCGCTCTTGAGTTGACCAACATCCTTTGATCTGAAGAGGAATTGTCTGTTCAAGTTGCTGCGTTCAATTTGATCCATATCGGTAACGGTAATCTTTCCCTTGGGGCCAGTTGCAAGACCGACCATAGCCCAGTTCTTTAGCATCTCGCAGCCAATGGCTCCAGCACCGACCAGGAATTGTTGGTTGTTTGCAAGCTTTTCCTGGAACTCCTTACCGAAGACGGCGATCTGACCATCATAACGAGTACCAGTAGGCTTGCAAAGCTCTTCAGAACGCTTGACAGAGGTGGGAACGGCCTCCAGGGCATCAAAGTAGAGCCACTGGACGATGGGGTGGAACTTTCCAGAGACAGATTTGAGAACTTCTTGAGCAGCGAGACCACCGAAGAAAGCAGCCATAGGACTGAGGTCGCCCTGAGCCTGGTATGACAATTCGCGAATGACCTTCTCGTCCAGCTCAATCTTCTCGTCGCCAGAACCTGCCATCTCTTGTGCGAGCTTGAGGAGCTCGGCAGCATCCTGTTCGTTGTGGGGCTTAGGGAAGTGGCCGTGCTTGTCGTTGAAAGCGTGAAGAGCCTGGAAACCAACGTGGAGTTGAGCAGGACGGTCGAACTTGGCAAAGTCGGACATCATCAACTCGGGCTTCTTCAACTGCTGGCTTAGAGGCTCGAAATCCAGAAACTTGGGCATCTTGACCTGAGTGTAGAGACCTCCTCGCTTGTAGTCACCAAGGCCAGAAACATCTCCGATAGAGAAGGTGTAGGGGCCCTTGACAGTAATCTTGCGAGGGGCGGAGTCGTTGAGGGCGTCCATACCCTCGACCTCGGTGAAGGTAACAAAGTCGCCATCCTCCAGACCGTGTCTTGTTTCGTCTAGAGCCGAGACGATGCCGTCCGAATCGATGTCTGCAATGATGCCGCTGACAGGGTTCTCGCCGTTGTAGTCGCCGATCGTGAAGTTCTTGCCAAAGTCGGTAAAGATGGTACCGAACAGACCGAAGGTATCGGCAATGACCAGGTAGATGCCATTGTTGTGGCAATAGTCTGAGATAAGAAGCTGGTCCTTCAGAGGTGTATCGGTGAGGACAATGCACTGGAAGTCCTTGAGCTGGCTGAGGTCGTCGGTTATAGAGGTCGACTTGAGGAGGTTGACAGGAGTGTAGGGGTTGAGTTCGGAAACGCGAGGAACGGTGACTTGGGCACGCGGCTTGCCGACGTCGTTGGGGTGGAGGAAGAACTGTGACGACAGGTCTTGGATCTGAGCAGGCTTGGGGTCGTAGAGGGTCAAGCTCTTGACACCTGCGAGGGCAATGTTCTTTGCAATCTCAACACCGAGACCGCGCAGGCCGACAACTAGGATGTTGGATGAGCCCATGCGCTTCATGGCCTCATGGCCCAGGACGTAGAGCTGTCTGCTGTATAACGATTCGTCGATTTCTCCGTTTGCCTCCTTCAGCTGCTCGACCGCAGCGGCGGGACTGTCGACATCCATTTTGGTGTCCTGTATCTGCGTCAGCATGTCATCTCTCGCAGAGCAGCTGTGTAGTCGCTGTCGCTCACAGTCATAGCTTTCTTGGACGGACTGGCCTCGGCCTCGCCGGACAAGCGCCTTTACCCAGTTTGACTGTGGACGAAGGAATCTTGGAGGCGGAACTACCGTTCGGATGGAGAAGTGCGCGTAATAGAAAGGACGGTCGTTGGGCGAAGATCGATGATGAGAGAAGATGGAGCGATAGGCGGGCGGGATGTACAGTACAGGTGAAGGCGAGCGTTTGTTTGTCCGCTGTCTGAGTTGGCTGCGTGCCAAGTCCAGACGTCACATGCAACCATGCCCCGCCATTTGAAGTGACCTGCTTGCTGGGCTTTGTCTGCCCTCGAACTCTGTCGAAATCACCCGTGTGGTTAGCCAAGACATGTTCACCACAAAAACACAGACTGACGCAAAACAGAGTAGAAACATGTAGATTCTTTGGCATAGCGTGGTAGCAGGAGAGTCCCGCCGGGTATAGTGCCAAATAAAACAGAAAAACAGAACCGCTCAAAAGAACAGCAGCATTCCCCCATCATCCCTGAACAGCTTAGAAACAGTTCAACACTCCTTTCTTCTTCTTTTGTCCAGCATTCAGTTCTCGCATGCGTTCTTCAAGAGCCTGTCTCGCGCGCTCCGCACGATGTCTCATCTCCCTCTCTTCCTCTACTTGCTGCATGCTTGCCCTTGAATTCGTGCGCTCCTTGCGCAGACCCACGAGCTCATCCTCCAAGTTCGAACACTTCTTCCTCCACGACTCGAGGTCCTGTCGTGTCTTGTTTTGCGATGTCTCAAGATCGACAAGAGCTTCTTCGAGTGTAGCTGTGAGCTGCTTTTCGGCAAACAGGTGCTTCTCAATGGTACGAATGCGAGACTCCTGCTCCTCGATCACTTGTGCATAGCCGGGATCTGGCTGTACAGTCGAAGGTGCCGTTGATGGTGGTTGTGGAAAAGAGCTGTGGTGTGGTGTCCCGGGAGGAGACGAAGCCGTGAAGGTCGTGGTAGGTGCAGGGCTGGAATTGCGAGCATCGATACCCAAGCCCATAGGTACGCTGCTACTCTGGCTCAGGAAGGGGCTCAATCCGTTGAGTCCCGGAGTGGGGATAGGCGGCAGAGGGATCGCAGGCGGTGGAGAAGGAAGGCCTGAAGTCGCGTTTGTGGCATTGGACTTCGGACGGGTCATCAACGAATTCTGCGAACTCGTACGAGCAAGTGCAAAGGCCGCGGCTTCTGGCGACAGTGATTCGCGAGCATAATTCATCGAGTCACGCGAGGTAGAAGCCATCGATCGGCGTTGTAGTTCGGCGAGCTGAGACTCGAGTAAGGAGACCTTCAGTCTGGCATCCTCGAGATCTTTCTTCATCTCGTTCTTCGCACTCGTCGCTTCTTCGAGTTGTGTATGCCGCTCGCTCTGTATGGCAGACAGCCTGTTGCTAGTGTCTTGGTGCAGATCATATGTTGAGTTGAGCTGATCCTCCAACTCTTGCACCAAAGCAGCGCTCTTACGTTCGCTCTCTACCGCACGCTCCATGTTGGACGTTATATCCTGGTTGCTTTTCTTCAATTGCGCAATCTCCGCCTCAAGATCATCAACCTTTGTGGAGCGCATCTCAACGTCTTGCTCACTGGCTTTACCAGCGCTGAGATCTCTGTTCTGTCCAACAAAGTCGGTCAGATGAGAGTGGAATCGTCCAACGTCGGTTTCGTGGCCCAGAATGGCCGACGCTTCAGCAAGCAGCTCTTCCAGGTCAACTTGAGATCGCTTGAGGTCTTGCTGGACAGATTTGTGTTGTGCCTCCAAAGCCGCATGTTTCTCGGCAAAGTCGTTCTCAGCCATTGCCCTAGTAGTCTTGACGTTGTCGAGCTCTTCTGTATGTGACGCCTTGAGAGCTTCCAGATTCTGCTCATGTATTCCAATCGCAGACTTGTGAGCTTCAATTTGGCTTTCTAAATTAGACACCAGATTGCGGTGAGTCTGTAGCTCCTTCTCTGTAAGCTCTCTACCCTTGCTGTCTTCATCGACTTGTTGCCTGATGCTCGCGTAGGACTGCTCAAGCAGCGAGAGCTTTTGACTGTGTTCATGGCTAGCAGCTTGGTAGTCAATGATCTGCTTCTGTAACGAGTCGACAAGCTCTTGGTGTTGGGTCCGTTCCTGATCAAGCTTCGCAATCGCTGCATCGTATTCCGCGTCACGACTAGCGACCGACTTGTGTGCCTCAGAAAGAGAACCTTCAAGAGTTGCGATGGTAGCAAGCAGCTTGGTCTCAGACTCTCTCATTGCATCCGTCGTGTGAACATGTCTTGACTCCCAGCTGGACAATTGCTTCTGCAGATGAGCAACACGATCGTCGCTGTCGTTGTCGGATCGCTCACTACCTGCGGTTACATCTTTCTCGGAATCCTGCTGTAGTTGTGACCTGAGCTCATCGACCTGAGATTGAAGCTCTTTCTCTCGACTTTCGTGAGCCTCGCGGAGGAAAGTTACCTGCTGCTCACTTCTCGTGAGTTGATCGCGCATGTGTCCGACAACAGTGAAATCAACGGTATTAGCAGCCGAAACACTAGCTCTCTCTCGCGTGAGACCCGTGATTATCGCAGTCTTAGCGTCGAGATCCCTCCGAGCGGCCGTGACTTCTGCATCAAGTGCCTGCATCTTCTCGGTCCGGTCATGCAAGTCGCCCATGATGGTGTTGAGATGAATCTCAAAGTTCTGGCGGACATCAATGTTCGACTCGAAATTGTCAAGCGCGATATTGCGTAATGATGCGAACGAACGCATTGCTCGATCGTTATTGGTACTCGTGTTGGCCATGAGATCCTGACTAGGCTTGCGACGAATGATGGGTTTGACCAGTGAGGGAGATGATTGTCTGTTGGTTGCCAGTTGTGCTCGCTGTACATCACGCTTGAGGTCTTCGACCTGGCGCAAAGCATTCTTGTGCTCTTCAGATAGTCTCATGTAATTGTCCGAGATCTCCTTCAAGCTTGATTCCCGCTGGATGTGGAGCTGCCTCAGCATCTCCATCTCGTGGGCGAGTGCTCGTTCTTCTGTACGGAGAGGAGGCTCGTCCTCATCCACGATCGTACTTGCATCATCACCCTCAATATCTCTCACGGGTCTGCCTTGAGCCCCATTTATTTCGCCCGACTCCTCGTTCATTGTAGTGAAAGAGTGTCGCAATGACGACCCCGATGACAACTCCGCTGCCAAGGAACGCGAGGATGCGGCCGGTTGTCCATCTCCCTTCATGCCATTCACCCCCGCGCCCTCTAAAAAANNAGACTCTGGCTTGTCTAAATTTCTCGAATCTGGTCTGGTTTCCTCTTCTTGTGCTTCATGCATCTTGGCGAGTGCTTGCAGTGCAGTTTCGTACTTGCGTTGAAGATTGTCGTAATCGTTGATCGTTATTTCGTGCTCGCTGCGAAGGTCGAAAAGTTCTTGGGTCATGGTCTCGAGTTTGTCGGCCATGAATCTGGACTGGGCTATATGTTGCTCGTCTTTTCTCTCAGAACCCTGGCTCCGTTGAGTAGTAGGTCCATCATGTCCAGACATAGGCATTATTGAACCCTCGAGCTGCTCTGAAGCTTGCTCGCCAGCAGCAATAGTCCTGGCAGTAGTCCCTGACTCCTTGACATCGTCTGAGTGACCGTTCAGCTGCTGATGACGTCCGGTTTGTTCGCTATGGCGGATGTTGTCAAGCTCTGCGAGAAGGTTATCCAGTCTGCCGATACTTCTTTGGCGTTCGATAACGTTCTCCAGACGGTCGAGCTCGCGCTGCATAATCTCTCGATCCTGCNNTCTGCTTCTGCCAATTTCTCCTCGATTGTCGCAATATACTGCTCGGAATTGTTCTCGGTATCTTTCACTCGACTCAACTCCTTTCGCAGACTGGCAATGAGGGTGGAGCTCTTCTCTTCACTTGTAGTCGCACCCTCTATCTGGGTCTCCAGATCTCGCAAGTAGGCATCGTTGTTGGCTTCACGCTCACTGGCCTTCTGCAGTCTTACTTGTAGCTGGTGGGCTTGCGACTCCATGTAGGCTATCNCTAGCCTCACGCTCCATGAGTGAACTTTCGCTCGCGGAAAGCGTCGAGCGCGTATTGGATAAGGAAGCCTCTAGTGATTGGATCGTCTTCTCGTACTCCATGACAACCTGTTCGACAGCTTCGGCAAATGAGTTGGAGCGCTTGAGTCTCTCCATTGCCGACTCTCCTACAGCGTCTCTGAGGGTGGGAGTATCCTCGTGACTGTCTTCCTTGGCTTTGGAGATTTCTGATATGAGCTTTGCATGGCGTCCGCTGAGGGCATTATAACTCTCTTGCATGTCCATAAGCTGGTCCTGCAGCTCGCTTTCGCGACGCTCTTTGTGATCTCCAGCGGCCAGGATGCGTTGTTCGCCCTTTTCGTTGTTCTTGTTGACTTGCTCTCGAAGGAAAGCTACCTCGGCTTGCAAACGAGCAATGATAGAAGCTTTGTCGGCCTCCTCGGTCGTCTGTTGAATCTCAGGCTTGCTTTGAATGGCGCGAGCGCGCTGAGCATAGGTGACGGTGTTGAGCGTTTCGCTCAGATGAAACTCGGCGGGGTTAACGCAGGCGACCATGTATGTGATGGCGTTTCCGCCCAGAGAATCTTGTAAAATGCGAGTTAACCGAGAATCACGGTAGGATATGTAGCCACCATGCTTTGCAGTGGACAGCTGCGAAATGACCTTCCCTAAGCTAGCGAGACCGGCATTGATCGATATACCCTCTTTGGCTCTGTCGCCCTGAGCACCCGTGTTCTTCAAGCGTTCACTGCCTGCAAGGTCGACAAAATGGAGCTTGCTTTCGGTGGTTACAATAGCGTCGTTGGCGGTTGAACTGTCGACTTGAACAGAAGCACGCCTGTTGCCTGAAGGGCCTTTCTTTAGTGTGAGATTTAAGCTGAGAATGGCGTGGGAGCGTGAGGATTTGGCGTTGATAGCGGTCGAGTCGGTTTGGCGGATGTTGGAGCCAAAACTCAGAGCCTCCAGAAGATCGTCTGCCGAATTGATGGGCTTCTGGGTCAGACCAGTGAGCAGAATACGGCCCTTGGTGTCTTCGCGAATCGAAACCTGGGGACGGTCGGCTTCAGGCACAGTGCTGGGAACGAGCAAATCGCGGAGCTGTTCATTGTAGATTTCAGCGTAGGTGGCTGTCAAGACCCATGACTTGTCGCTGTTCGTTTGGCGGTGCAGATTCGAGAGGCTGGGTACGGCTGAGACGGAATAGCGCGCAGGCGAACGTAGGCCCGACTTGCTTGGGGTCAGAGGAGCTGACGAAGTGGAAGAAACATTGAGTTTTTCGAAAAGAGCAGCAGCGGCGCGAGGGACAATGCCTNNACATCCATGTCAGTCTCAGACCTGGGTGAGGATCGAGGAATGCGACTTACCAGCGTGGACAGGATCAAAGGCGCCTTCAGAGCCGGCAGTACCCATAGTATACGACTTTCCGGCGCCCGACTGGCCGTATGCAAGGATTGAAACATTGTAGCCCTGGACGAAAGAGTCGACGCTGTCGCTGACATAATCCCAGACGCCCTGCTGGGTTGTTTCCTCGCCGAACACGCGATCGAAGACGAACAGCTTCTTCCCCTGGGTCGATTGGATGGCGAGATTAGTGGCAGAGGAGACGTCGCAGGTCGAGGCGCGGAACCGCTGCGGGATCAGGTCGTAGCCCGGATCGGAGGGGCTCAGAGGAGGGCGGACTCGAACGGCTNNGTACAGCAGTCAGCGGAGAAGACGATAGGGGTCGACTGCTAGGTACTCACCCACTTTCACCGCAGTCTTGGAGTCTTCGTCGGAGGCGCGACTGCTTCCAGCCCGACCTCCAAGACTCAGGCGGCTTGAGCTCCTCGGAGTGCGCAGCGCGTTTGCTATCGAGGCGCGGTGCGGGTGGCCGCTCATGGGCGAGGTAGGCGGGGTGGACATCGAGTCCATGTTGTTTGGTGCCAGAGAGTTGGAGCACCTGTGGCACTGGCGGCCAGGTGGAGAGGGATTCGAGTGAGACTCAGGTTGCACGAGGATCACGAGAGGACTGAGAGTAAGTGCAATGTTCTTCGATGCTGCTCCCCGTCTTCAAACGCTCACTCTTGTCCAACGGTTAGAAAGCGCAAGGGCCACTCAATTCCACGCGCTGCTGTCGATCACTCACTGGCTCATTCATGCACTCAGACCCTGATCGTCTCTGGTCGTGACAACAAAGCGACAAAGTGAGCTGACTGTCTGCAAGGGCACAGCGAGGCAAGGTGGTTGAAGGGAGGAGTGTTGGAAATATTGATCCAGTCCAAAACTCGGTACCTGAGTAACGCCAAGGGCACTATTCTGCGGCACGTTAGACTCGCATGTAAAGCGGAGCATTTGCGCCGTGGTTTGACTTTCGGATCTATGCACCCACGAGCGGCCTGCTCTCCCACATCAAAGTATCTTGTACACCCACACACACCTTGAGTTAGTGCATTGCTCTTGTTTGCCAGTTTGTCCATTTCCTCTTTCCATGCAGCTGAGCCTAGCGCTCCCGCCTCAACACCCGAAACCCCTTGACATCCGGGTTCGCGGATCACTGTGCCTGCACTTGGGCCGCGCCGATAAGAGACCAGTGGGGTACCGACCCCGAGTATTCTTAACAAAACACATCAGAGGGTCATGAAGATCGACTATCGAAACCTTTGCCGATCCTAAGCCTTATGCGCCCGGGGAAGGAAACAGTACAGCAGCGGCGTGCATCACCGACACATTCGTTGATCAAGCGCATGCCACTGCACGAACCAAGAGGCAGTGTACAGACTTGTAGTGAACGACAACAGTGTTTGCGCTGGCGCAAGATCCAGCCAGCCTCTAGATGTTTCAGCCTCGACGGGGACCACGTCGTGGATATTTGACAAGCAAGATAGGGGAGATTGCTAGACGACTCGTGATAAGACGAACATGGAACACGTCAGATGCGACTCGATTGGCCATCGCACTTGCACAATTATCGAACCATCGGCCTGCCTACTTGGTCGGGGGAAACGACGAGGCTGCGTCAGACGGGTGTGCTCTCGACGGGGCAAACAAGCTTGCAGTAGAGAGTCGGGTATTCGCGAAAGTCCAAGCAAGATATAAGATCAAGATCCAGCGTGCTGTGTCAATGAAGTGCAGTGAGTGATTGTCAGGGGTGCACACGTAGTCACGGCCATCGGAGAGGTTTATCGCGCAGGAAATGGTAGATGGTGGATGGTGATGGGCGACTGACGCGAGGATTCAAGAAGACTTCGCTCTCAGCCAGACTGCCAACCCACGTTTTTGCAAAGCAACCTATCACCGTCAGACACCCGCACACACGCTACCTTGTCCGACGAGTACTGGCAACTCGCAACGCAGGTGCTTCCTTCAATCCGATAACGACATCAACGGCAACGCGGCAGCCGTCCGACCAATGTCTGGGGCCTCCTCATGCAGACGACTCGTACAAATCTGGCGCGCTCAACGACCGATCCTGTCCTTGCGCGCTCCAACACCACTCCTCCGTCGCAGCATGCCTTGTACTCGACCGCTGTCCCGCTGTCTGAGCGCGACAGCATCTTTGCCACGAGCTACCAGGGCGACACTCCCGTAACTTCTCCCCAGCAGCCACGCAAGGATCNNCCCCCCCAGGAGAGGGCTGGCTTGATATCGCAGGCTCTCCAACGCCGTCAATTGCAACAAGGCCCGCTGATCCAGGACGTTGCCCATCTCAACGACCACCTGCAACACGCCCGACACGCCCTGCCCACACCCATACACGACCAAGAACAAAACTTGGATCCCCGTCAGAGCTCGCTGGACCTCGACCTCGACCTCGACCACGACGCTGCCATGTCGGCTTCGTCGCTCTCGCCCATGCGGACCACCATGACCGACCTGTCCATGGTTTTCCACACGCTTCCGCACACCGACCTGAATCGTTTTCCTTACCCGCTCCTGTCCAAATCCAACCGACAATCGCTCTACGACCCCCGCCTCCCAGCAACCATCGAACGCCCCGTCACGCCCACTGGATCCGACAAGCCCAATCCACCCGAAGGCACACACGTCGAAGATCTGCAATCCAGTGCTCACCGTTCGTCCTACAGAGCCTGGCGTCAAGGCCAAGGCCGCATGGCTGGAAAATCTATCGCCGAATCGCAGGGCAGGAACCTCAATTCGGAAGAAAACGACGTCGATCGTAAGATTGATGCCAAAATGCTCAAGATAGACCAGGGCCTCAACGTCCGCAGCAGGAAGACCAGTCACTATCTCGGTTTGTTCAAGGATCATGACTCTGAACACGAAAAGCGCCGCGACAAGAAAGACAAGGAAAAGCACATTGAGGAGCCGCCGGAGAAGCACCACCAAGTGCCATCCACTATTAATGAACTTCACGACCACGACACCACCGGTACGCTCGTGCTGCCTTGCCCTGCTGCCCGATATACATCTGACCGTGGACCAGAAACGCCCCCCTCGATCATTGTTAACGACAACCTGCCCATAGAGTCAGCAGCCGACATCGGAAGTCAAGATACTGCCAGCACACCTGTACTCACACCAAGCACCTTCGAGGCAGAGGCTGAGCAGAAGCCGCTGACCACTGACAATGCCGAAGGTCGCGTTGCACATCAGATCCCGCCTAGCCTGCTTGAGGAAATTCGCAACCACCACATTATCCTAGGTCCCTCCAGCAGCAAAGCCCCGTCCGACTACACTCCTGTGTCTGAGTCGTTTGAANAAGGTCAGTCTACTAACATCTCCGCTTTGATTGGCCTCTTTCGGTGGCACAAGTCATAAACCCCCCGTAAGATGCTGTTTCAATGCTAACTCGTGTAGGAGCTCCCGCAAGAAGAGGCTTCTCATGTGTCGCTCTTGACACGGCAGGCACGACTGCTTCAGCAAGAAGTAGCAAAGCAAGTAGATGATGAAGAGTCAGATCAGGAACAGATTTCTTCTGCTCAGTACATTCCCCATCGTGGCAAGTCTACACGTACTGCTGCACTGCCCTTGTCTGCTTCTTCTACCCAAGATGAGGAAAAAGAGGTTGTAGCTTCGCCGCCTCTGCTTGAGCAGCGTGTTCATCCCCCTATAAAGGATTCTCTGGAGGCTGGCACCGATGGTCCGCAGAGTAACGTTGAGATTGCGTTGCTGTCAGAAGACGAGAGTCAAGTACTGCATGGTGAAATTCCACTCTCTGACAACCGTCATTCCAATGTGATTCCTGCCGTTCAACCCTCAGAATCCGATTATGACACCGAATCTTCGGCTTGCTCTCACGAGCAAGAGGACGAAGAAGACTTTACTCTAACTCCCACTAATAAGAGCACCCTGCACAAGCGTCCCTTACCACATCGACAACCTTCCGAAACTCAGACACAGCCTCCGCCCCTTGGTGCAGTTGAGTTGAAACCCTACAACCATCAAGTGGGAGGCCACAGCACTGTTTACAGTTTCTCTCGCCAGGCTGTTTGCAAGCAATTGAACAGTAAAGAAAACGAGTTTTACGAGACTGTCGAACAATACCATCCGGATCTACTTGACTTTCTCCCTAGGTACATTGGCGTCCTCAACGTCACTTACAAGAAACCAAACAAGAAGAAAAAGGACAACCTCGACAAATCGAAATCCCCTGACATACAGCCTCAGGAATTGCAGTCTCCCACAAAGGGTTCAACTATGCCCGAGGAGAAAAAAGAGGACGCACCTCGTATCGTCAGCCACTCCCAGTCGCAATCCAATGCCGTGCCGGAGGTCAGTCTGATCAACAACCAGCATATACTGCCAGATTTCTTGAAGCGCACTTTGCCTCAACGTCCCGCAACTGCCATACCTGCCCATATCAGCCAACCCAGCCGACAAACTCGTCCTCACTCTATCAGCGAGATGATGAGCGACCGACGCCCCTCCTTCTCCCCCGAGACGAGCTATAGTCACCACGATCGTCCACCTTTGCGTCAGCAGGCCAGTTGGGGCGCAACTAGTGTCAACCAAGATCTGAAGCTGCAGGTGTTCCGTGATGTGTTTTCGCCTCCTGTTATACATCGCCACGATCGACGGACCAGAAATCATCTCGGCCGAAACATCAGAAGAATCCAACAACGCGAGTCCATGCCTTCACTACCAGATGTTAACGTTGCGAGCAACCCCCAAGCCATGAGCTTACAAGAACGTCGCAATAGTGCCGATGTATCGGCCATGCAATCACCCTCTTCGCCTGCCGATGCCACACGCAGACTGGCGATTAAGAATCATCGAGAACTCAAATCGCCGCACAATAGCGTGCAGTCGCTTGAAAACTATATGATCAGCCCACGCAAAGAAGAGCCTATGAGCTGTGAAAGTAGAAGTATGGAGAATACAGAAGCAGACAATCCTCTGCTACAGGCCTTCAAGACGCCCAGACGTCGTCACTCTGGAAGTGGTCTGCGTAGGAAGAAGGCCGATATCGATGCGTCTCGTGGAGACCTTGAGTATCACGAGGACGAGGGATATCGCGGCGATGGCGAGGACGTCTTCGCAATGGATGACCTTGAGGGATCTCCGACCAAGGCAAGAGAGTCCACCGTTGTACCTGATGTTCTCCAAAGCGCTCCTGACTTCAAAGTCAACCCAACGTCCAGTGCTCCTGTTCTGGGTCAATCGATCAACTTGGGAGATTCACCACATAATCCTGACCAAGGCGTCGAAGATCCTGGACGTATCGCACACTTCATCCTGTTGGAAGATCTCACGGCTGGCATGGTACATCCATGCGTACTGGATCTCAAAATGGGCACCCGCCAGTATGGTATCTTTGCTAACGAGAAGAAACAAAAGTCCCAAGGGCGCAAATGCAAAATGACCACTTCGCGCGAGCTGGGCGTTCGTGTGTGTGGTATGCAAGTCTGGAATGTCAAGACTCAATCTAACATCTTCGAAGACAAGTACTTTGGCCGAGATCTTAAAGCAGGCAGTGAGTTCCAAGCCGCGCTGACACGCTTCTTCTTTGATGGAATCAGTCATGGTAGAGCACTCAAACATATTCCTGTTGTTCTTGAGAAGATCACTCAACTCGAGCGCATCGTTCGCAAGCTGCCTGGATACCGTCTGTATGCAAGCTCGCTACTCATGATCTATGATCGCGGCGACGTCGACGAACAGGGCAAGCCCCGCCAAGCCACATCGCATCGAAATGATAGTGAAAACGGAGCTGGATCGCCCAGTTCGAAGAGTCAGATCTTGCTCAAGATCGTCGACTTTGCCAACTGCGTAACAGCCGAAGATATCGAGACCAAAGCTTCTGCCACTTGTCCGCCCCACAATCCTGACGGTGTAGATAGAGGATATCTACGTGGACTGCGCTCACTGCGACTGTACTTCCAGCGTATCTATGAAGAGTTGAGTGCCGAGAGGGGTGGCTATGTTGAGAGAGGCGAAGGCGAGGGCATGGCTACTCAATCCAACGGTGGTGCCGGGATCGGCGGAGGCGCTGGCCTGGATGCACATAGCAGCTGGGCCTGGAGCGATGCGTTGGTTGAGGAGGATCCAGGTGAGGTCAGTGTATGATCTCCTGCACCTTGGTGGTTCAATTACCTTTGTCTGCTTGTACATGGATGAGGAAACTTGCCAGGCATACCTACAGGATGGCGCACGTCTCCTCCTGATACACAGTGGTGGGCATTCTTTATCTTTCTCCTCGTTCTTAGCATGGCGTTCGGTTGTGTTTTTCTGCAGCTTTTGATATCTAGTAATCAATCAACATGACATTGTTTATACACAACAGACTTGCTTGAGCCCCTTCAGAATACATGTGATCAATCCCGATTTCTGTATTTGACTCCACTGCCCTGCCTTTTTCTTCCCGTGTGTTAGAAGACATTTGCAGCATTGGCTGTAGAAGTACACAATACTTTTTGCAACGATACGTTACTTAATTAGCACCTTAAAGCTATTTCACTCATCACACATCAGATTCGATGCACAGCTGTGCAATTTTGCAGCATACTATAGCACCATCTGCTGACCGGGAAGAAGGGGGTATCTATCGAAGTTGATCACATGCTCTCTCTATGATTTACCACATGCTTTCTTTGTGTTCAAGAGCACTAATCATTATGATCTACTCTCGTGTCTTTTGAGCGGTCGTCTTATTGTATCACGCCAACTTTCCCGGCACGAATGGCAAACCGGCACTCAAGCCTCCATCAACAGCCCAAGCTTGTCCATTGACATAACTGCTTTCATTGGTAGCCAAGAACAATGCCACTCTTGCAACCTCATCTGCTACCGCACCTCTCATCAAGGGATTCAACTGACCAATCTTACCTTCACTACCTCTCGCCCTTGCTGCTTTGTACATTTGTGCGGTCATGCCGGTCTCGATGATACCTGGACAGATGGCGTTGCAACGGATGCTGGTGCCGGCGAGCTGGTAGGCCGATGTCTGTGTTATACTGATGACTGCGGCTTTGGAGGCAGAGTAATCCGTAGGCCCGGCATTGGAGCGTAGACCGGCTACCGAAGCCGTGTTGATGATGGAACCACTGGGGTTGGGTTTGTTTTGCATCATTGCATTAGCGGCATGCTTCGTCGCTAGGAAGACACTGNNGTATGGAACGGTCAATCGAAAGGTCTTGAGACTAGAGGAGTGGGAACAAGATAGCAGTACTGACCTCAATGCATTCACCTTCATGGTTCTCATAAACTCTTCCTCGGACTTGCCTTCCTTCTTGCCGACTTCGTAGACTCTTTCCATGGTACCTCCAATACCTGCATTTGCAAAGAAGACATCTAGTCTTCCCCACTTGTCCACAGCCAACTTGACCACTGCCTTGACATCCTCCTCATTCCCAGCATCCACCTTCTGTACGACCACCTGTGTTCCCGGATACAGCTTCTCAATATCTTGTTTCCAATTGTCCAAGTTGGAAGTGTCAAAGTCGGATAGAATTAATGCCTTTGCGCCCGCTGAAGCGAACTCGTAGGCTGAAGCTCTGCCGATACCCAGAGCACTGTTGCAGCCGGTTATGATGCAGACTTTGTCCTTGAGACGGGGCGAGCTAGGAGGAGCAGCGATGGTAGGCACGCCTGGGAAGGAAGAGCCTCCGCCGATGGTTTGTGGGGTCGGCGGTGGTGAGAGAGCGAGTGATTTCTTGGGTGCGGCTGTCATGGCGTGATAAGGTGTGGTGTCTTAGGATATGGCAGTACGATTGTTGCGAGAAGGAAGCTTCTTGATCTTAGAAGTTATACAAACAATCGAGCACAGTAATTATCCCCGCATAAGATGACCACCGAGGTGCTTGCTCTACAAAAAGATGCCTCGGCTCCCCGCGTCGAGGTCGCGGAGGAGTGTAGAGCAGGGTGAGGGACATGACTTGAAAAATTTCAGCTATCTAGTCTTTGTGATTGTTCGATGAAGCCTTTCTGGAAATGAGAAGTATTCAATATACTGTTCATCGTTCTAATCAAGTTGCTAAGAACCATGAAGACATAGAGTGACTGTCAAACTCGGAACTAATTGAACAATCAGACTAAACCATCCTTTTCGATCTCACGCTTCCACCCCTTCGTTAATATCTCAGTCCAAAGCTACAGAAGAAGTGGGCATGGCACTGGTCGTGTAAACAAATGTGGCACAGCCAGCCGGACAGGCGGTAGGACACACTGCAAGTTCGGTCTCTGTGATAGGAACACCACATACAGGCACCGTTGTTGTTGTCTCAATCACACATAGCGGTCTAATACAGTCCGAAGTATCGAATGTACATGCCGGATTAGAAGCAGTAGTCGTAACCGTATACGGAGCACATTCTCCATTTGCAGTCGACGAAGGCGCATCAGTAGAGGTAACAACGATCGGACCGCCTGGATTGATGGTGGTGTTTGGCTCACTAGTTGTTGCGGGATCAGAAGGGCTTATGGTTGGTTGAACCACAATAGGGTCCTCTTGCTCAGTAACGGTTTCGGTGGAGCAAGGAGCGCAGGAGCGGGGACATGCTGTGCGGGTCTTTGTGCTGCAGTAGGAGGTTGGGATGATGGTTGTGGTTGTCACAGTGCAGGTGGGCTGAAGGCAGTTTAGAGCCAGGCAGCCGGATGGCGTGGTGTAGGTGATTGATATGGGGCAGAGCGAGCAGGCTGCAGCATTAGCAGTGCTGTTTGTGCTGTTAGTGTATGGCCGATGATGTAGTTTGGTGGTCGGTGGTACATACCTAGTAAGTAGAGCCAGCAGAGCAATTGGAATAAGCAGGTGAGCCATTGTAACTGGCGAAGTCAATGTATGTTCAGGATGGATGTAAAGATGCTTTGGGCTGTAAAATTGAGTCAAGCTTGCGAATTGATGAGTTGAGTGGATGCAGAAGACTCAACAAGAGAATGATCGAGTTCTTATATATCCCCAAAGAACATGGGTGAGCATTCAGAAATAAAACACCCAAGAACCGTTTTCGTGAAAGCTATGCAATTCTTACTAGTAAGGAAGGAACGATGGAAGGGGGATCGCCTCGTATCGATAGTAACTATCACATACCTTGGGTTAGACCACCTCGAGAGACATGCAAGGTCGAGTTATGTAGTACAGTGGGGAAGGCGCAGCGAGAGACACCGAGACGTTGTGCGCAATAGACGAGTTTCTCCTGAAACAACCGTCGCGAGTCAAAGGTACACCCATTAATGATCATGATGTGGTTAGTTTATGCATCGATAGTTTTGGCTGATCTTTTCTGTACAAGGTTGTATCTTTCGTACGAGAGAGAGGCTGATCTTCGCGCAAGAACATGTTGGCTTCTTGGTGCTTGACTGAAGCCTTTGCCTTATCCAAACCTCATTCCTGATAGTATACAAGAAACCAACCACCACTAAACGCCATGCATATGCGCCTGACCAGACTCAGGGCAGTGTAAGAGCAAACGAGGATGTTAAATACAGCAAGAAAATGGTCGAAAAGGGACGGTTGGTGGGGTGCTGTAGAATGGAATGCTGGGAGCAAGCCATGGCGCCAAGCTCTCGCTGCAGCACGAACGATGAGACACTTGAGAAGTCAGGCCTCATGACTTTCAGACGATCATCCCTGCAGCAGTCCAGGAACAGTAGAGGTGAAAGCGTGTGATGTAATGTCGTAAATTGTAGGATTTCTTAGGCAGCCTTGGGCTTCTTGGTGCCATACTTTGATCGCGAGGTGATTCTGTTACCAACACCACCCTGGGAATAATCAGCGTGACTGTCACGAAGAAAGTAGAAGAGAAGACATACCAGATCCAAAGCACCTCTGACAAGATGGTACTTGACACCAGGACAATCCTGCGAACGACCACCACGGACCAAGACAACAGAATGTTGCTGGACATTGTGACCTNNGCGGATGCTCACGTTAGCCATGATCTCCTGCATCTCCAATGCTTCATTTCCCACGCCCAATTCATTCTTTCGTCCTCTTGTTTCTTAGAATTCAGCAGAGTATAACGCACCTTCACCAGGGATATAAGCGGTAACGACTCTACCGTTACTTAATCTGACTCTTGCAACCTTGCGCTCTCCAGAGTTGGGCTTCTTGGGCTTGGTGATACCCACACGCACGCACACACCCTTCATCTCAGGTCTATCCTTCAATTGCGGCGAGGTAGGTTTGCGTGCTCTCTGGGCGACACGGCAGCCGCGCATGACTTGGTTGTATGTAGCCGAAAATGGTGACGACGTGCTGAAGGCGCGTGGTGAAGGGGCGATCGGTGTGCGAAGAGTGGTGCTGAGGGCCGAGAAGTTGGGGCGCGCCGTGGCAGGTAGCCTGAACAGGCGAGTAAACAGGTTGAGGGCCATGAGGAGCTTATGGCGACGTGTGTGAGTGCGGTATGGCTGGATTCCCGGTCGCAGATGTCGATTATTCGACCTGCCATGACTTCGCCGCGGGAAAGCCAAGAAGGCCTTGGCACACCATTTTTTCTTTTTTCTTCCAGCAGAACAAAGTGTTCCAAGGTGGATGTCATGAGAAGAAACAGGAGGCGTCTGTTTTCACTTGGAATTAATTGAATACGGTAGTGTAAGAATGCTTCAAACTCGTATTGATATGATCTATACATTGGGATTTATCAGAAACAGTGGCCCACCTGATCTAGCTCCTGATTGTCCCTCTATCTTTTTCTCCCCTGTATGCCCTTTTCTAAACCAATCTAATTCAGTCTAAAAGGTATCTAGAGAACTGCTACATCCGATTTAGGCGGTGGGTTTGACACCAGCCTGGCCCTTCTCATAGGCCTCGACACCTTGCTTGGCAGCCTCCTGGACGGAGACCTTGCCCTCNACTAAACATATAGCGGTCAGATGACGATCAATTGGAGGGGAAATGTCTGATACTTACACGACTTCCTGAACCTTGGCCTTGATCTGGCTCCAGTCCTTAAAGACGGTGAAGGGGATCTCGTCTCTGACACAGAATTGGATGAGATCTNNAAGTTCACCATTAGCTTTTCAGACCTATGGAGGCAACAAAATCCAGGACTCACCGTGTCCAGACTTGGCAAAGAGAAGGTCAGTCTCCTTAGCAGCGCTCAAATCCGACACCCCGTCACCAGCGTAGAACAGAGTAGGACGCTGGTCAGCAGGGAGCTGAGCGTAAGGACGGATGGTCAAGCTCTTGTCGTGACCAAAGTGAGAGTCGTCGTGGTAGACAAGTTCCCAGCCACCTTCCTCGTTGACCTGCTTGCCAGGTCTTGCTTGGATGTTGTTGCAGATGACATCAATGTACTTTGCGTTCTCTCCAACAAGCTTCTCGAGGATGGCGCGGATGATGGGCTCCATGCCAGATGACAGAACAACTGTGGGGATGTTGTTCTTGATGGCCCACTGCAGATAGTCGTTGAAACCAGGGTCGAGCTTGACATTTTCTGAGACGTACTTGATGCACTCGTCGTAAGGCATCTTGACACTGTCCATCATGCGCTTGAAGGAGTCTCTGNNTGTCGTGGCTTAGTCCAAGGTCGAGTTCGGGAATTGAGATTATAGGTACCTGAAGCTCTCGGTACCGTTCAGGACGTTCATGTTACCCTCACGTCTCTTCTCGTAGCCGAAGCCAACGTTGTCAGTCTGATTGAGTGGTTAGATTAATGATCTTGGTAATCATCGGACCCGAAATGATCTTTCAAGTCTGCTGGTCTAATTACCATAAAGTCATTGCCTGCAAAACCATTAGCATCTTGTGATCAGTCGAAGAGTTCAAGTGTATTTTCTTGCAAAGGATGTCATGGATATAGCAGTGGTGAAAATAGTGGTAGGTATAGAAAGGATCGGCAGAAGACTTCTTATGTTCTCTTATGAACCGAATCCAAGGATATGGACAGTATAATGTAGAGAATCATAGAAACTGCAGCAGAAGGCGACGTTACAAGAGACAAATACTCACTATCAAAGAGGGTGATGGTTCCATCAAAGTCGGTGAAAAAGATGAACTTGGGGTTCGTCTTCATAGCAGGGAGTGATTGAGCCATGATGTGTAGTTTGTGGCAGGCAAAATGTTTAGATCAAGAAATAGAATTGCAACAGATTCAAGTCGAGGATCAAAAGTGATATGCAGGGTCAAAGGAGAGACTTGGATGACTGAGATGCGTTGAGAGCGGCCAAAAAGTTCGGTGAACCAAGCAATCGAAGCACATGGCAAGAAAGGCAACGCACCTGCCGCATACGTCAAGGGTAAACAGAAGGGCAAGATTCGGCGCCGATCCGCATCCATGAGCGGCTCCACCGAAAAGCGTCCGCTATGCACCCGAGACGTGAGAGTTTCCCCTCCATTCATACAAGCACCACCAAGGCCACTTGAAACAGTTGAAATTTCTCTGCGAGGATGAGGTAGAAAGAGAAGGATCCAAAGGAAATGAGCACACCAACACGGCCGTATGCATTGCTACGCAACATTGCCGCCTCAGCGAGATCGAGCTCCGTCATAATTCGCCCAATCGCACCGCTTTGTCGACTCTCTTCTACGAGACCATACTCTCGGTCCAAACCTCAATGGACCGGCGACAGGAAATGGAGCTCTTCGGCCTGGAGAGCTGCCTCTACACCAGGTCGCAATGATCCCCAAGCCAAGGACGACAAGACGAAAGCTGCCGAGCCTCAAAGGACGGATGAGAGGTTCTACATGCCACCGCCGCCTGAACATCTACAGCAAAGAATCGATGCAGCTATTCTCGATGCCGCANGAGCTTCCCGGCCCGTGCCTCCACGCGAAACAGCGCCGGAGCCGGAGCCGAAGCCTGTACCTGCCGTAGAAGAACAGCTTGCTGAACCAGCTTCTGCAACCTCCACGCCAGAAACATTGGAAGATACTTCAAAGGAGACTTTTGTGGAAGAAGAACCTCCAAAGACAGAAGCGGAAGTAGTAGCTGAGAAGGTCGCAAAAGAGGAGGCAGTCACTGAAGAGGCATTGCCCTCTAAACACCAAGAGCAGAGATGGCAGCTATCGAAACGGGTACAAGAACGCATGGATGAGCTGCTAGCAAAGGCTGCAGTCGTCAGTCACAAAGTCAACAACTACACCGGCACCGATTACTCTGGCATTGAACGCCTACGTCGCGACATCATCGACCAAGGTATTTCTAATTGGATACGCCTTCTATGGTCTACGTGATCTAACTTCGAAACAGAACAACTAGTCAAGGACGCCCATGCCGAAGTCAATGCCGCAAAGGTGGCCTACACGACATCCTACAGTCAACAAGCCGCCTCGCAANAAGAAGTTGTCGGCCTTCTCGAACGCAAACACTCATGGTCAGCCGCTGATCTCGAACGCTACATGTCCCTCATCCGCTCCGAACACTTGAATGAACAGGCTGTGCAGGCCGCCAAAGAGCACCTTGCAAACGCCGAACGCGATCTCGAGGACGCTAGAGGAAAGCTGGAGAAAAAGGAACGCAAGCAATACCACGAAGAGCAGATCTGGAGTGATACGATCCGTCGCAACAGCACCTGGGTAACATTCGGTCTTATGGGTCTGAATATCTTCTTGTTATTGGCCAATCTGATCATCTTCGAACCCTGGAGAAGGCGAAGAATCGTGAGAGAGATCAAGACTGCTCTGGACGAGAAGACGACGATCGCGCCATCCTTGGCTCCTGCTGTCGAGGCTGAATTCGACAAGGTTGTCGAGCCCATCGCCCAGCCTCTTGAGAAGCTCGAGAAGCAAGTTGTTGATACGGTCGAGGCAGTTGCTGCAGAAGTCATGCCGGAGACGGTGACTGAAGTAGCGCCTGATGTGCAACCCGAAGCCATGGCCGACAGCGAAGTAGCAACTGGGGAGATACCGCTAGCAGCTGGAGAGTTGTTGCCCGAAGAAGCTGTTGAAGTTGGTGATCCGATTGCAGAGATCAACAAAACTGCAGAGACAGCAGTCGAAGAGCCGATAGAACGACCAGAACCCGAGAACTGGGAAGAGAGATTCGCTCTCTGGAAGCAAGTTCTAGCTGCCAAGCTAGCACTCTATAGAGCCAGACTGCAAGACCTCTTCTCCGACCGTCAAGTCACAGTCAAGAGAATTGACGTGACGACGATAGCCCTCGAGNGTGCTGCAGCCGGTGTAATAGTAGTCGGACTCCTGTGGGCGCTGCTCAACGCCCGATCATGACGATGAAGTCTTTTGTAATGTAGATAAAGCATAACTTGTATATCAAGCATCCTGTATTATTATCGCTCATTGGAACTCGCCAAACTCGCCATCGTCGAAGCCTAGGTCTTGGGCTGAAGGCTGGTTGTGATTCTGCTGGGATTGATATTGCGACTGTTGCCTTGCGGGAGAAGGACTCTTGGACGCGGCCTTGACGTGAGCAGCTGACGGTGGAGGAGCAAGGGAAGCAAGTGCAAAGTCGTCTCCAGAAGCGGGCGGAGGCGGAGGGCGGATGGAAAAGAGAGCGCTGCCATTGTCGTTGGATGGAGCACTTGATAGCTGTTGCCTTCTGCCACGGCTTCCAATCTCAACGTGGATGCTCTCCCCGGCCTTCAGACTGAAATCTTTCTTGGGCTCTTCTACTGTTTTTCTGCTCATGTGTTGGGGTTGTGCCTGACCGGGAGCGACGTTCTGATGCATGCCGAGCAGTTTTCTAGCTTCGGACAGTGTGATGCTGAAGTCGAAGGCGTCAGGTCTCTCCTCGAAGCCCATGCCCAGGGTTGCCTTCATACCGCCTTCGCCGACGACGCGGACAGCGAAAAAGCGACTGCTGTCGTTGGCCTGCTCGACTACAGCAGGCGACGTGTAAGGGGCAGCGGCGAACAGGTCACCAGTCTTGGGGTCCTCGAGCACGATGTCGGTCTTGATCTGGTTTGATAGCGATGTCTCGATGATGCGCAGGCGAGCGGTGAAAATCATCTGAGCAGTTGGGCGTGGAGGAGCGGTCCATGAGCCAGCGGAGAAGCCCTTGTTGGAGGTGAGAGGGGGGATTTGGTAGACATGGACGCGTGGACAGATGAACAGGACTCGCTGGATGGCAGAGTCGGCCAAGGGACGGCCGGTGGCTGGGTCGAGGGTAGTCATTGTTTCGGACGAGGGTTGGGTGGCACAGCAATAGAGAGAGACAGACGCTTGGAATCCGCTGAGGGGCAGTCAGACAGGGACGGAGCTGCCATGTGCATTCACCCGCCTTGGCGGATGCTGAGCAAGGCATGACCCAGCATGCAATCACAGTTGCGCCCCGATCAGGAGTACTACTTGGTGACATGGTGGGACACGATAGGCCAGAGAAGTTCGAGTCTGACATGTCCTCGCTCTACCAAGATCAAGAAGACAAAGACCAGCAAAATGATGCAGGAAGACGACAAACGACGACCGGTCTTGAACTCCGAGCCGATGCAGACTAATGACTCGCTAGCCGAAGCTTCTTTGTTCGAACAGAAAGAGTCACTGCCCAAAGTCCAAGTCCAAGTCCAAGTTCAAGTTCAAGCCGGATATCAGAAACCACCAGTCGCCATACAGATCCAACCTCCCACGCCTGTTGTCCCTCCGCATCCTCCGCATCCTCCGCATCCTCCGCCTCCCTCTCGCCCTTCGGTCCTTCGTCTCTCGCTGCTCGACAGCTACTATCTCGACAAGATGGTTACCGCCCACCAGCAGCAAAATTTCGATGTCGTCGACACATACAAGCGTCTGCTGGCCGACGACCCAGAGTTGACTATGCCCGTCGCTGCCATCGAGGCTCTGGTCCTTGCCCTCGCTCACACTCCTGCGACTACCGTCTCGGAAACTCTGGACCTGCTATCTACTCTCACAGCCGAATTGAAGGCTCGCATTCCCAACCCCATTTCTCTCTCGGCTGGCACCGACTTGTTCCAACGCTACATCATCACCACTCTGCAAAAACCCACTGCTGGCCGTAACAGCGACTTTGACACCATCCGCACCCATCTGGTACAAAACGGTCGCTTGTTTGTCGAGCGCGCAAAGGAGGCTCGTGACAAAATTGCTGGTTTTGGTAGACATTTCGTTCGTGACGGCAACACCGTCTTGACCAATGGAGGCTCGCGCGTCGTCGGTGCTCTCTTGCGCTCGGCTGCAGAGACAAGTGCTGGTTTCGGTGCTCAAGGCAGCATTCGTTTCCGCGTCATCTATGTCGTTTCCGACTCGTCGGATGCAGAGAGCAGTGACAATATCGCCCAGCTGCGCAAGCTCGGTATTCCTGTCGCCACCATTCCTCCTACCGCCATCGCATACAGCTTGAACCAGGTTTCGCAATGTTTCGTCGGTGCTGAAGGTGTTGTCGAGAACGGAGGTATCATCAGCAGGTTGGGCACCTATCAGATTGCCATGCTGGCCAAGGCCGCCAATAAACCTTTTTACGTCGTCTCGGAGAGCCACAAGTTTGTTAGACTATATCCGCTAGGACAAACGGATCTGGGTATCGATCAGAACATTGTCGAGTTCAAGACTACCGGGGACGCTGCCAGCACTAGCGGAAGCGTCTCTGCAAAGGATGAGGGTGTTGCTGACATGGACACCCAATCTGACGCCGGTATCTCGGACAGCGTAGCCAACACCGATGCTGTTGACTTTACAGTATGTCATCTTATATCTGTTCTAGATGACTATAGCTAACGTGCTTCGAACAGCNCCCCTAACCTCATTTCTGGCATCATCACCGAGTCTGGTGTCTTGCTACCGTCTGCAGTCAGCGAGGAGCTCATCAAGATTTGGTTCTAGGCGCCCGGACTTGTCGAAGCTCGTCTTGTGAGCTTGATTGAACATAGGCACATGCGGAAGGGTAGTGCAAGTGTCTACACAGACATTTCCCCCTGATCGTCATCATCATCCACATGGCAGATAAAAGCACGCTCAGTCCCTCAGGTAAAAACCTCGCCGCGCCAAGATTACGAGAGTCATGATGACCATGAGATTTATGAACCTAAGAAGGAGGAGAGATCATGGCAGACTTGAGGAGGCAACGGAGGAGCTTGAGGAGCAAATCATCACGAATGTGTTTGTGGGAATTCGAGGAATGATAAAAGCAAGTGAGCTTTGTTCGTGGTAGGAGGCCAGAAGACATGTGAGAGTATCATCCTCGCAAGGCTCTTTTCTGTCATCAAATTCAAACGACTCTTTCTAGAGAAACATCATTCCCATATGCTAGAACAGGTCTGCAATGAAGAGGACCAAAACCGCTATTTCAATGATTTTTTCTGGTTAATATTCTGTTACGAAGGAGTAGCTATAAAGTCTTTGGCACACCCTTCTCGTACATAAAAGACATGCATGACCCTAACCCCACCATCAACCTCTTCTCCCTCACTGGCCTAACGTGTTGTTATGAGCTATAACAATGCACGGTTCCTTTGTAAACAGAGGTGTCACCATAGAGATACCTGTGAACAGGCCAGTTCTTTCCACTTATCAACCCCTTGCTAGGAATCAAGCAAAAGAACGGCCAAGAGCGACCTAACAGCCTATGAGGAGTTGGTTCAAAAGACCAAATCTTTACGCCAGATTGAAGTATAGATGATCAGTAGACTCGAGGCTTGGACCTTAACAATGGTGTTGAATTTAACAAGATGCGAATCGAGGTTGTCATTGGTTTTGTGGCTGGCTTTCAATTGCTCCTTCCCAACTTCAACATAGCAACGCGATTTATACTGGTGTTAGAGAGAGTCAACTACGATTTATGGGAGTCAACCCGTGAGGTGCGCGTTATGCAAGGTGTACGACACCCCAGATTATACTTCTTCTGATCTTTGGTATGTCTAGGCTTTAAGCAATGGTATTACGATCTTTGTGGACAACTGCTTGTGGGCAGATGGCTGCACGAGAAAAAGGTCTCAAAGTATGGACTCTCGATGGATTGATAGGACACTAAACAGAGGCTTGAAGATTTGGATTAGTGCACACTTTGCACACGCCTTAGCTTTATATAGCCTAGAGGTTGGTGGCTGCAATGATGAATTGGCACCACACTTAGACAGCGCAAAATGTTGGTCTCGTCCTTGTTTCCCTTACTTGTGAAGTTAGTAGTACTGGCGATGCGCTTCTCTGCAGAAGAAGACGCGGGTCTGTTGATGAGATGCCGATGGCTTCGACTTCAACCGATAGAACTCTTCAGACGACCGAACGCATCTCGGGCGCACGATCTCTGAAATATAGCATTTGCACAGTTTCAGATGCAGCCACATGTGGTTAACCGTGCCTGATGCTGAATATAAGGATCATGTCGCAAGGTAAGAAGTGGTCTCCCATACGGTCACGGGCGCAAGCCTTGTCGATTTCGTCTGCTTCACTGCATGGCTTCTGCTGTCATGGTTTGTAGTGGTACGAGGAGCGTCTGCAATCCTTCGACGAGATAGACGAGTTATGAGGTCACTGCATGTCAGCAAGCCATTGAGGCCGAGATAGTGCCAGGGAAGAAGCGACTGAGGGTGAAGAGATGGAGTAACACAAACACAGTGCCGGGGACGACCGGGGGTGAAGGTGGGGAGTTCTGGGGCTCGGTCTCGATGCACAGCAAAAAGCAGCGACCGTGCGAAACGGCATTAGATCAGGTAATTGGAATAGGCCCGAGACAGAATTGTTCGGATGTGTTGAATCATGATGCACGTGGATGCACTTCGCCGTAATTCTGACAAGCTTCGATAGAGAGGCAAGCTACAGACGTGTCAGATGCGGATGCCGTAGCCTTGTGGAGATGTAGAAGGGATCATCGAGAAGAAATGATCGAGTTAGGCAAACGAAGTACGAAGAGCGCCAGCAGGCTCCGGAGGAGGTCGCGGGTGGCTGACAAGGTATCACGTGCGTGGAGCAAGCCGACATCACGCCTTCCTAGTGGGTCACAGGACGCTAAGATGGCTCTAGGACCAACGCCACCTAGATGCTCGCTAAACACCGAGAGGCAGCCTCGGACTCGGAGGTGCTTGGGTTTGATCAACAAGTCGGAGATGAACAAAGGGTCGACACAAAGTATATCTCTGGGTAATTGGGAGTGTTCAGGGACTGCGGGAAGGACGATGAACTCGAGGGGACGTCGCAAATTGAAGGTTCGGGCAGCTGAAATGGTGCATGCATGGTTAAAGGCGGCCGAGGTGTGGAGAAGAGCTTGGCGGTTTCCCGGGGAGTGTGCATGAATCCCGCAAATGATCCCCAAGTTGTGCCCGCATTTCCACTTCCAAAGTTCGAGAGGCTTTCGAAACGCTCCTTCCTACTTACCCTAGTTTGCCCCTCGTCTTGTATGAGAGCGACTCCACCCAACTCGACCTGAACGGCGGCGGACGCGACCATCCAGGACTCCACGAAATGCTGTCAGCCGGCGGCATGCACTACCCTCAAGGCTTTGGCCGCATGTCGAGTGCCAACATGGTGACACACCACGACCACCACCAAGCTCCCATGTCCGGATTGGATGCCCTGGCCCAGGGCTCGCAGTATGCATTGCAGCAACTCCACGACTCGCACCTGAACCCAGGTCCGCAAGAGCACGATGCCTTTAGCCAGAACCAGAGCGGCCAGGAGCAGAGTGCGAGCAACAAGGCCAGCAGCAATGGGGCCCCGGTGCGACGAAGAATCAGCCGGGCGTGCGACCAATGCAACCAGCTGCGGACCAAGTGCGATGGCAAGACTCCTTGCGCGCACTGCGTGGGTATGTTGACCAGCCGGACTCGACCACGCTCAGCCGAGACCAAGCCCGGGCTAACGCGTCATGATATACAGNAATTCGGTCTTACGTGCGAGTACAATCGCGAGCGCAAGAAGCGCGGCAAGGCTTCGCGCAAAGACATTGCCGCTCAGTCTCAGAATCCCGCGACGGCCACTTCAGACAATGGCGGTAACGACAGCCCCAAGTCGAGCAACGAGCAATCCGCTCCCCCGGAAAACGCCACCGAAATGGCCCAGAACTCGCTCAAGCGCCGAAGGTCCAGCAACCACCATATTCCTCCACCTCCACAGAGGAGGGCCTCGATGACTGTGCCCAATCCACAGGCCTTGGGCCCACCCCTGCCTCCACCTCCACCACTGGCTCAAGCACAACAACCACCGCCTCAGCCGCAGCCCCAGCACCATCTACCACCGCTGAACCTGAACAAAGATGCTGTTCCGGGTGCTCCAAACGATCGCTATTCCAACGTACGCGCTTCAGTTGACGGCCAGGCCCAACCCGCTATCCTGCCTACTCCTCGCGCAAATCACTCGGCAATGCCCGACCGGGCCGCCGTCGGCGTCACGAATTACACGGGTTCGATGGATGACTACCACCGTAGTGTCCTGCAGCAACCTCCATCTGCCGTAGCTCATCACTCCATGATGTCAGCCGGTGCTGCTCCCCTCTCAGCTCCGCTTGCCTATCCAAATGGCATGACTTTTAATCCCGAGAGTCCCTATGCTGTACCAAGCCCTCAAAGTCAGAACAACAATTTCAACACAAACTTCCGCATGGGCGAGTCACCCATCTCTGCTCACGGCTTGATGGGCACCTCACCACATGCGGGCTCTCCTGGATGGTTACAGCTACCCTCTCCTTCTGCCGCTCTATACACGAATTTCCAGCAACCCAACAACCAGACCTTGCGCTACCCAGTACTGAAGCCTATCCTCTCCAGAATCTCGGCCATCATACCCATCAGTCTTGCTTGCGACCTTCTGGAAATCTACTTTTCAAGCTCATACAGCAAGTTCATTCAACCTGCCTCTCCTTACGTTCTGGGCATCATTTTCCGCAAGAACTCCTTCCTACGCCAGAACAACCCCCGAACATGCAGTCCTGCTCTGCTCGCGAGTATGCTTTGGGTTGGTGCTCAGACCAGTGAATCTGCCTTCTTGACCTCCCCTCCGTCAGCACGCGGCAAAGTCTGTCAGAAACTTTTGGAGCTCACCGTCAGTCTCTTGCGACCCCTAATTCACACACCCACCGAAGGCTCCACCCAGGCAGCTAACCCGGTTGTGAACGGCGTTGCACTGGGAGGCTTTGGTGTGGCATTGCATACTGCAAGGCACGACAGCGAAGGTGGCTCTACAGGTGCTGCAGGTGCTCTGGATGACGTTGCGACCTACATCAACCTGGCCACTGTCGTTTCAGCTAGCGAGTACAAAGCTGCGAGTTTGCGCTGGTGGAACGCAGCTTGGTCTCTGGCTAGAGAGCTCAAACTGGGCAGAGAACTTCCACCTAACCCAGAATCGTCAATGCAACAGGACGAAAGTGCCATCGCAGAAGGAAACGCAGAGAACGACATGGGCATCAACGGCCAGCAGGGTTTCAATTCGCGGCGATTTAGCGGCATGCCTGCATCCATGTCACAACCGGGCTCGGTGACCGAAGAAGAAAGAGAAGAGAGGAGGAGAGCCTGGTGGCTGCTATACATTGTCGACAGGCACCTTGCACTTTGCTACAACAGGCCGCTTTTCCTTTTGGATGCTGAGTGCGAAGGCTTGTTGCAGCCCGAGGACGAATCCGTTTACCAGGCAGGCGAATACTACACGACCGAAAATATGCCTGAGACATACTACCGACGGAGAGGTCCGCCGCTGGAATGTACCGGACATAGCATCTTTGGTTACTTCCTGCCATTGATGACCATCTTGGGTGAGATCGTGGACCTAAATCATACTCGCAACCATCCTCGATTCGGTATGCGCTTCAGAAATGGCACAGACTTGGACGATATGGCACAAGAGATCAGTCTCCAATTGGATTCATACGGTCGCAGCTTGGAAGCGTTCGAAGTACGATTCATTCCTACTGATGGAACCAACCCTGACGGTACGCATGTCGACAACGCCAGCCCATCAAACCAATCTACCAGTAGCAACCGCATTACCGAGACCATCCTTCTTACCAAGACGATCGTGGCTTATGGAACACATCTGATGCACACGTTGCATATTCTTCTGAATGGCAAATGGGACCCCATATCTCTCCTAGATGACAACGACTTATGGATTTCCTCACAATCATTCGTCTCAGCTACAGGGCATGCTGTCTCGGCTGCTGATGCTATCAGTGGTATCCTGGACTATGACCCAGATCTCAGTTTCATGCCTTTCTTCTTCGGCATTTATCTTCTTCAAGGTAGCTTCTTGCTACTGTTGATTGCGGATAAGCTGCAGGGAGAGGCAAGTGCGAGTGTCGTCAAAGCATGCGAGCAGATTGTCCGAGCTCATGAGGTCTGTGTCGTGACTCTGAACACAGAATATCAGGTTTGTTTCACCGCCATCCATATTTCTGAATCTCAACTAACATCTTGCANNCAGAGAAACTTCCGAAAGGTCATGCGCAGCGCTCTGAGTCAAGTCCGCGGACGCAGTCTCGAAGACTTTGGTGAACAGCAGCAACGCCGCAGGGAGGTGCTTGCTTTATACAGGTGGACAGGAGATGGGTCTGGTTTGGCGTTGTAGATCAACGTCGATCTCAATGGTGAAAAAAGTGATTAGAAGAACAACAACGAAGTCATGTGGTATTGGGTCTGTGGCTGCTTATGGAGCCTTTTGCGTTTTTCCTTTGCTCTCTTTTCTCAGATACCCTATTCTGTTTCTAGCATTTGCGGTACACAGAACATGTCGCATGCGAACACGTGCTTTGCAGATTCATCCATGACCTGCTCTCCGCAAACTGTAGCTACAAAAATATACAACACTCTTCACAAAGAAAGTGATATCGATGAAGAGAGGTAGGCTATCAACATAGCGAGGCATCTGACTCCGAGAGCATTTTATCACTTTATCATTACCTACTCCATATCAGTGCAGGAGAGGGCTTGATCGTGATGTCTCCGCGTCAACTATAAGAGCTTACAACCATTGAAACGGTCACGCATGCTTTGCTTTGTCGATGAACCAAACCTTCTTCGCCAATTTGGTAGGCTCCTGGTGTATCTTGTAGGACTGACATACAACTTAGAGGCCCTAGAAGTGTATCTAGGGGTTTTGATGTATCTGGTGCAGAAATTTCGGTCATCAAGGCCAATATTTTGTAAGCCAAGCACAACCTTCCTTGACCCAGTCTGCATCCATAGTCACTGCACCATCGAATCCATGCTCGCCAGGTTGCATCGTGTACCTCAGCGGCGTGTCGGGATGGATTTGCTTGATATTGTCAATAAAGTTGTTCGAGGCCTCAATAGGGACCTTTTATCTTGTCAGCGACCGAGCTCATCTCGTTCAAGTCTCCCTCGGTAGACTTACCAACGAATCCTCTTTGCCATGAATGATCCAACATGCAGGGACACTCTTGGCCGTTTCAAGATTGTCAATAGCATGCACACCTTCGCCATCGCCCAGGAACTCCAGATATCGCCCAGCCTGCACAGTAGCGCAGATGAACAGCCACAACTCCCATGGATGTGTCTCTGTCCTCACCGCTCCTTTCTTCATGTCTCTGAGATAATCCTCGACTTCGGACTCTGGTTGCTGAGGCGCCCCAGCCATGTGCTTTTCCCCTTTTTGCGTAAAGTGGGCAATTTTGTTGTCCAGCATGCCGTATTGCGATATCACTGCTTTGATGCCGGCATCAGGGAAAAGCAGTGCTGATTGAATGGCTAGGTATCCGCCTGCCGATTCTCCAGCTACCAGTACATTTCCTACATCCACCTCTACACCTTTTGCCATTCTGTCCACTTCTGCCGACAATGAGGTTTGGATCCAAGACCAAAAGTCTGCAATGTCATCGAGGACTTGTCTTCCGTTTGCTTCGGGCAAGAGTCGATAGTTTGGTGTGACGAGGATGGCGTTTTTTTGAGCTGCTAGTTGAATTGTCCATGTTGCATGCCACTCCTCATAGAGCTTAGATCCGCATATTAAGAAACCGCCGTGAAAGTGGACGAGCAGGGGATGCTTTCCTGGTTGAATGTTCTTCGGGACAAGGACGGTGGTGGAGATTTCGTGGTTGTTGACGGTTTTGTAGACGAAGTCTTTTTGGGTGAAGTTGGTGTACTTGGAAGTAGCCATGTTGGTCACCTTTTGGATCTCTGAGGGTTTCTGGATCTGTTTGAGATGGTGTTGTAAGACAGAGTCGATGCGTGGGCCTATGAGATGTCATATAGATTCGGATATAATGGTAGCTCCGAGATATTATCCCCGACTCGACTTCTCGAACGTCACTTCCTCGACATGGATGTGTTAAAAACACGACCCGCTGGCAATCCCCTGCAAGGAAAGGAAGAGGTGGATCAGTTTGGATGTGAGGGAGAACGATGAGCGAAGGGAATTAGCCAACGAGAAAGCAGCGAACGAAACGAACAACACTAATCGGCAACAGCAAAGAGGAAAGAGTAACAAAAAGAAACTCACAACAAGCAAAGCAACCAGAACGAGAAAGATCAAAGGACAGTAAAAACAAATTGAAATAACTTCTCTATATACAAGAAATAATATTAAATATATACATAAAAACGTAGACGACGTAAACGCATAACACGTAAAACACACGCAGAGCAATCCAGGCTCGAATACGTGATTAAACGGGAACGACGAGGCGAACAGAGTGATATACTGAACGCAAATGCATGTCGAGCCCCGATTCAAAGGGTGAGGTATAGTATCATTGTATACAAAAAGCACAAAAAGAGAAAAATCCACCCCGAACCGCTTCCGATATAGTCTAGCAAGAAAACGCCCATTCCCAATTTTTTGAATCTTTGGTTCCGAAACGCGTTCCTGGTTTTTATGATGCCATGACCAAGGCCAAAAGAGCCATACGGACGAACATGCCATACTTCATCTGTNNAACAGTTGTCAGTAAACAAATCAGAAGACCGAAAGGTGTGGAACTTACCTGTCTGAAGTAAGCAGCCCTGGGGTCGTTGTCAACCTCGGGGCTGAGCTCCAAGTTGCGAGGAAGAGGGTGCATGACAATCATGTTCTTCTTTGCGTGCTTGAGGGTAGCGGCGCTGACAACAAGACCATCCTTGACCTGCTCGTATAGAGACAGGTCCTCGAAGCGCTCCTTCTGCACACGGGTGCAATAGATGACGTCGGATTGGGCAACGATCTCAGACGTCAGCTCGTGAGATTCGGCGCCGAGTTGACCGCGGCCTTGGAGGGCGCTGCGCACCTTCTCGGGGAGGCCGATCTGCTTGGGTGCCACGAGGTTGATCGTGCAGTTGTAGTGCTTGAGCACCTCGCAAAGAGAGTGCACGGTGCGGCCGTACTTGAGATCACCGACGAAGGTGATGGTAAGACCATTGGCGGTACCAAGCTCCTCACGAATGGTGAAAAGATCCAAGAAAGCCTGGGTAGGGTGCTCGCGGGAGCCGTTACCAGCGTTGATAATGGGGTGGTCGGCAGCTTCAGCAGCAACGTCGGCGCTGTCATCCTCGGGGTGGCGGAGGACAATAGCGTCACCGTACTGGTCAAGAGTGCGAATGGTGTCCGACAGAGTCTCGCCCTTCTTAGTGCTCGAGTGGGACTCGTTGATCATAATGCACTGACCACCAAGACGCTTCATGGCAGCGTCGAAGGAAGATGAAGTGCGAGTAGAAGGCTCGTAAAACATCAAGCAGAGAAGCTTGTTCTTGAGGATATCAAGAACACCGTCGCGCTCAACACCCAGACGCATCTCCGAAGCGACAGTCATGAGAAGATGCAACTCCTTTCTCGTGAACTGGTTGACCGAGGTGATGTCTCTGCCCTTGAAAGGAGAGTTGTGAAGGAGTTCTTGAAGAGAGGGAGTCTGCTTGGCAACAGGCTCTTCCAGAGAGGTCGAGGGAAGCTCGGCAAAGGTCTGGTAGTCGATACTGCTGATAGCCATGTCGTAGTCACGAGCAATAGCCTCAATCAGAATCTTGGCGTTCTTGACGTTAGTCACCAGAGGGGTCTGGTAGTCAACAGCCATTCTGCGAGTACGGTAACCCTTAGACATGTAGTTGGCAGGACGACGGAAGCGGTTGCTTGATGGCAAGTTGATATACAAGTCGATCAAGTTGTTGGCAAGAGCGTGAGTCAACGAGTACTCGGTTCTCTGTTCGTCATCCTGTAGAGCCTCCAAGAACTTGCAAGGAACTCCATGCTCCTCAAGGAAGTCAGCGGTACCAGCAGTTGCGTACAGGCTGTAGCCGAGCTTGTGGAGCTTCTCGATGGAAGGCAACAACTCTTGCTTGTCCTTGTAAGCACCGATAGACAGAAGAATGTTCTTCTTGGGGAGGCGGAAGCCGGTCGCGACGAGTGCCTTCATGTAAGCCTCGTACTTGGTACGACCGAAACATGCGACCTCACCAGTGGAAGCCATCTCTACACCAGTAACGGGGTCGGCTCCAGAAAGACGCGAGAACGAGAACTGAGGAACCTTGACACCGATGTAATCCTTAGGCATGGTGACAGGGGGNTATTCCTGGAGGGGAAGACCAGTCATAGCCTTGGTGGCCAATTCGATCAAGTCGACACCAGTGACCTTCGAGACGAAGGGGAAGGATCTTGAAGCTCTGACGTTGCACTCAATGACCTTGATATCGTTGTCCTTGGCGATAAACTGAATGTTGTAAGGACCAGTGATGTTGAGGGCCTCACCAATCTTCTTGGTAGCCTCTTCAATTCGTCTGACGGTCTCGGCGTCCAAGTCCTGAGGGGGCTGGATCAGGGTGGCGTCACCCGAGTGAACACCGGCGTTCTCGACGTGTTCAGAGATGAAGTGGCCGATCATGGTACCATTGCGGGCAACAGCATCCATCTCAATCTCCTTGGCACCCTCGATGTACTTGGTGATGACAACAGGGTGGTCCTTGGAAACCTCAGCAGCCTGGTTGAGGTAATTGGCAAGATCGTGCTCTGAGTAGACCGTGTTCATGGCGGCTCCTGAAAGAACGTAGGAAGGACGGACGAGTACAGGGTAAGACACGGCATCACAGAACTTCTTAGCCTCATCGATGCTGGTCAGCTCTTTCCATTGAGGCTGGTCGACGCCGATTCTGTCAAGCATACGCGAGAACTTGTATCTGTTCTCGGCAGAGTCGATCATCTCAGGGGAGGTACCAAGGATCTTGACGTTGAGACGGTGAAGAGGCAGAGAGATGTTGTTGGGAGTCTGACCGCCCATGGAGAGAATGACGCCGCTGGAGTTCTCGAGCTGATAGATATCGAGGACGGTCTCCAGGGTGATGTTCTCGAAGTACAGGCGATCGGCCTCGTCGTAATCGGTGGAGACGGTCTGTAGAAATTTTGAGGTTAGCATATCAAGCTTTTGACCTTATCACGCATTTATTTCACGTACCTCTGGGTTATANCTGTAACACACGTTTACGTTAGTAAAAGATATCTAGAAAGCAATCGAGACTGCGAGTAGACTTACGTTGACCATCACAGTTTTGTACGAATGCTCTCTGAGAGTACGCACGGTGCGGACCGAGCACCAGTCGAATTCGACGGAGGAGCCAACTAAACGGACATGTCAGCTCTCACTTGATGGTAAATGCCAAATGTTCTTACTTCTGTAGACTCCGCTTCCCAACACCATTACGCCATTGTCGTTGAACTCAACGTCCGACTCAATGCCGTTGTAGGTAGTGTAGAGGTAATTNCTGTGAGAGATGAGTCAGCAATCATTCATCCAGGGGGAGGAAGCTGAGGGACCCACAGTGAATGCCGGGAACTCGCCTGCAACTGTGTCAATCTGCTTGACAACAGGCATGATGTCGTATTCGAGTCTGTGCTTGCGGACGGTCTGCTCGTTAGTAGACCAGAAGATACTCAGTTGCTTGTCTGAGAAACCGAGCTCCTTGGCCTGTCTGAAAAGCGACGAGGGAACCTCGCCAACCTTCTTGGTGCTCATGAGCTTACCGAACTCGCTCAAACCCTTAAGCTTGCTCAGGAACCACTTATCGATCTTGGTCAGTTCCCAGATCTTGTCGACGGTGTAACCAGAGTGCATGGCGTTGGCAATGGCGAACATTCTCTGGTCAGAGGGAGTCTGCAACTCCTGGTCGATGGACATGAGAGCGCTGGTCTCCTGAAAGCCGAGGTTGCTAACATCGACAGCACGGATAGCCTTCTGGATGGCTTCTTCGAATGTTCTACCAATGCTCATGACTTCACCGACACTCTTCATGGCAGAGCCGAGGAGAGTGGAGACACGAGTGAACTTCTTCAGATCCCAACGAGGAATCTTGACAACGACATAGTCGAGGGAAGGCTCGAAACAGGCGCAGGTGACCTTGGTGACAGTGTTCTTAATCTCGTTCAAAGGAATGCCGAGACCAAGCTTGGCAGCGACGAATGCTAGGGGGTAACCAGTGGCCTTGGAGGCGAGAGCAGAGGAACGCGACAGACGAGCGTTGACTTCGATAATGCAATACTCTCTGGAGTCAGGGTTGAGAGCATACTGGATGTTGCACTCACCGACAACGCCGAGGTGACGGATGACGTTGACGGCAGTGCGTCTCAGCATCATGAAGTCCTTGTCGGACAGAGTCTGCGAAGGAGCAACGACGATAGAGTCACCAGTGTGGATACCCAGAGGATCGAAGTTCTCCATGTTACAGACAGTAATGCAGTTGTCTTGGCAATCACGGACGACTTCGTACTCGATTTCCTTCCAGCCCTTCATACTGCGCTCAATGAGGACTTGGGGACTGGCAGCGAATGCCTTATTGCAGAGCTCGCGAAGTTGGTCCTCGTTGTCGGCGAAACCACTGCCCAGACCACCAAGAGCGTACGCGGCACGGATAATCAGAGGGAAGCCAATCTGCTTACCAGCGGCCATCGCCTCCTCCATGTTGTTTGCGGAGGCGGACATGGCGCACTTCTCGCCGATAGACTCCATGGCACGGGCAAAGAGCTCACGGTCCTCAGTGGTGATGACAGTGTCGATCTGAGTACCAAGAACCTTGACACCAAGACCTTCGAACTCGTCCTTGAGCTGGATACCGACCGACAGAGCAGTCTGACCACCAAAGGTGCAGTAAATACCGTCAGGCTTCTCCTGCTTGATGACCTTGCGGACAAAGTCGGCGTTGACAGGCAGGAAGTAGACCTTGTCGGCCAGACCCTTGGAAGTCTGGATGGTGGCGATGTTGGGGTTGATCAAGATTGTGTAGATGCCCTCCTCCTTGAGAGCCTTGATGGCTTGCGAACCGGAGTAATCGAATTCACCGGCCTGGCCGATGGAGAGACCACCACTGCCAAGTACCAGGACCTTCTTGACGTGGACTCTGGGGTTGGCCTTCTGGTTCTCAGCAAGATCACCACCGGGGAACTTGATGGGCTGGTGCATCATGCTGGAGTCCTTGATGACCTTCTGGACAGCATCCAGGAAGACGTCGAAGAGGAACTCGGTGTCCTGGGGACCAGGAGCACTTTCGGGGTGGAATTGGACACTGAAGTAGGGGCGGCTGGTGTGTCTAATACCCTCGTTGGAGCCGTCGTTGGCGTTGACGAACAGCTCAGACCAGTCTTGGGTCAGGGTTCGCGAGTCGACGGCGTAACCGTGGTTTTGCGATGTGATGTAGCACTTGCCGGAAATCAAGTTTGTGCAAGGAATGTTGTGGCCTCTGTTACCGTACTTCATCTTGACAGTCTCGGCACCCGAAGCACGGGCAAGAAGCTGGTGTCCCAAACAGATACCGAAGATGGGGACTCTGGCTTCGCGGATGTTGGCCTGGATGTTCTTGACAGTCTTCTCCATCAGTGCCGGGTCACCAGGACCGTTGGAGATGAAGAGACCATCGTACTCCTTTCCAGCCAATGAGGGGNNGAAGTCGTAGTCCCAAGGGACGACCTGGACCTCGACACCACGCTTGACGAGGCATCTCAGCTGGTTGTACTTGAGACCGACATCGACGCAGACAATGCGAATGGGTCTGCCTGAGGGGTGCTTCAGAGCAGTTGACGGTTCGGGCGAGTAAACTTTGGGTTCCTTGATAGAAACTAAATCATGTCAGAAGCAGCTTCACAATGCATCCTGTCAGGTAGCCTCACCATCTGCGACCAAGTTCTGGTTGTTAGGGTTGGACCACTCGACCTCCTCGAACTCGGGCTTCTCGGCGGTCTCGCCGTTGCTGAGGGTGATGCCATTGGTGATGGGAGCAGCAGCACCGGAGCCAGACTTTTGCAGTCTCATGCGGCCGAGCATGCTACCCTTCTCGCGGATGATCTTGGTGAGGGCGCGGGTGTCGACGCCACAGAGGGCGGGCACACCTTGCTCCTTCAGCCATTTGCCCAATGAAGAGGTGGCCAGGTAATGTGAGTAGTCTTCGCCGCAGTAAGAAGCAACGATCAGACCAGCAACGTGGATCTCCGACGCCTCGAAGTGAGCAGGGAGGTCCTTGAGCAGGGGGTCCATTTCGTCTCTGTCGGGCACACCATAGTTGCCGACGAGGGGGTAGGTGAGGACCAGGATCTGGCCTTTGTATGAAGGGTCGGTGATGGATTCCTCGTAGCCGACCATGCCAGTCGAGAAGACCAGCTCGCCGGCTACACTCTTCTCAGCACCAAAGGATTTACCTTCGGCGAGACGGACACATTCCGTGCCTTCCCTAGCCTCGAGGGCGATGAGCTTGTCTCCAGTGTGGCCAGCCATTGTGCAAGACGAGGCCAGTTTGAACTGATGACACAAGGAGGGAGGAAAAAGGGAAGATGGATATGAAAAAATGTCTCCAGGGTCTTGGCGCTAAAGCTGTGTCCCCGCGCTGAAGGAACGTGCGAGCCCGCCAAACGTCACTGAAATGGTCAATGTTTCTCCTGTAGATTGCAGAAAGACGGGGAAGACGACGCTCAGTTGTGAATTGAAGGACTTCAACGACTTGGAAGAGCTCGAGGATGACAGGAAATGGATATATGAAGTGTTGTGTTGTCTCTACTGCTGCATCGATGTTTCCACCGAGCTCGAGTAACCCTCGACCTGCATAACGCGTGCAAAACTTTTTACACCCAAGTGGCCGCCGAGTCAGGCCGTTGGAACAAGCAATTCAATTTGTTGAGTGCGGTATCGCTGAGCTACCACCTCTTGGAACGACTTCCTACACAAGCAGAAGCTCTGGACGCCTTTATCCGGAGGTGGCTGCTTGCGGAGCGAATGAATTGAGATTCTTGATCGAGAATGTTTTTTTTTTCAGCAGTGAAGACGGTTCCTGCGGCCATGCGGGAGTGCGGGAAGATCAAGCTGGCTGCAGGAGAGACCGCGCTGGTGCCGTTGAGGGGGGATTGGCCCTTAATTAGCGACACTTATGCCAGCTTAACCCAAATTAACGACGATTAATGGAATTATTCGGTCATCACTTTGCTCGCAGCTTCCGATGAGGTCAGCAGCTTACAAGTGCTACACAATACATTCGAGCTCTCTTAACATCAGGCGACGAGACATATAACATCTCATCGCTTGTCACTCTTGATAATAACGCATGTTCCACTCTCTGCTAAGACGCTCACAACTAATCAACACACATCTGACACCCACACGCATTCGCACAATGGCCGTCAGTTCATTGGACACCCATTCCCTCGCGAATTGCGGCATACTGATTACATACTAGACTCAAGACAAGCAGAAGGATATCCTCAACTGGGTTGATCCCAAGGACAAGTCCGGAGAGTTCAAGAGACAACAGTCCGTCTTCCGTGACTTCATCAAGAACGAGCCTGGTGCCGAGTTTCCTGCCGAAAAGGGCAGATACCATCTCTATGTATCATATGCATGCCCCTGGGCACACCGTGCTCTGATCGTCCGCAAACTCAAGGGCCTCGAGGACATCATCTCTTACACTTCTGTCCACTGGGAGATGCTCGAGAAGGGTTGGAGGTTTGCGAAGCCTGATGAAGACGTTCCAGGCGCCAACACCACGCCTGACCCTCTGCACGAGGGCTACACTCATCTCCGTGACATCTACTTCGAAAACAACAAGGAGTATGAAGGCCGCTTCACTGTACCCACTCTCTACGACAAGAAGCAAAAGCGCATTGTCAACAATGAAAGTAGCGAAATCATCAGAATGATGTACCACACCNTTGACGATCTGCTTCCGGAGAAGTTCAAGAACGTAGACCTTCTCCCCTCTGACCTCGAGAAGCAAATCGAGGAGACAAACGAGTGGACTTACAACGATATCAACAACGGTGTCTACAAGTCAGGCTTTGCAACGTAGGTGTCTATGCTTGCTAACAACCGATCTGGTCTCTCGCTGACTCTACTTAGAACTCAAGAAGCTTACGAGAAGAACGTCAAGACTTTGTTCAAGTCACTTGATCGCGCGGAAGGGGATCTTGCCAAATCTGGTGGTCCCTTCTATCTGGGCGACAAGCTGACCGAGCTTGATGTGCGCCTCTACACAACCATCATCAGATTCGATGCCGTCTACGTTCAGCACTTCAAGTGCAACATTCGCGACATCCGCAGTGGCTACCCCAACCTACACAAGTACGTTCTGACCTTCCATTGGTGCGCGAACCCCATGCTGACAGATCTCTTCTAGANNTGGATGCGCAACTTGTACTGGAATGACGACGCCTTCAAGAGCACCACCGAGTTTACTCACATCAAGTGCCATTACACAAAGTCACACAAGCAGATCAACCCTTTCTCGATCACACCAGTCGGCCCAGTGCCCGATATCCTGCCTCTCGATCAGGATGTCCCCGCCGCTGCTGCTGGCATCCGTACGACGAGCAAGTAGAAGATTTATTGATTGGGGTTTCGATATTATTGTACGCTAGTCATCTCTACAGTCTTTCCGCTCCAAAATGGGAGAGAATGCACATCTTACGACTCGATCATATGGTGATCTCTGATCACGATGTTCACTGCCAATGCGCCGTTGTGTTCCTCCACGTCGATCCCAGCCTTACACAACGTTGTGGTTGGCTTGAAATCAAGGCAGACAAGTGGTCTGGCCAAGTCTATTCTGAACCGCAGAGCCTCTTACTCTTTAAGAATCCTCCCGTGCTGGCCGCAAGAACTGTAATGGTAGATGACAGATGCTTCAAACAAAAAATCGTTTCCATTACCGTCTATATCTGACCTTAATAACCATTTTCTGACATACCGCAGAAGCTTGTTCACCATAACACGCAGGCGAAGCCGGGAAGTTGAGACGTCAACCACGATCCTAGATTGGATAATAATGCCGTTTCCCGATGCGCTTCCACAGTCGACAAGCATCATCGCTTGCCACGAGTCTCGGCTACGAAAGTGTCTCGGATGGTAAGTAATCTGAAGGTTCGCCTTGGAGTGCACTACGAGGGAAGCCCAAATCGGTTTCTGGAAAGAAAGCATGTCATGAGGTAGCCACGTTTCTTGGAAAGGTTAATTTCACTTCATAGCAAAAGTATGAGCGCTCTAGACCTTGTGCCTTTGTGCTTCTGCCAAGGCATATGGCTTTGACTGTCGACAAATTCGGAGAAAACAACACTCCGATCAGTTTAGTCTCCGCTCCGACAACAGCGAGGTCAAAAGTCGCTTCGACCTCAATGCGAACGCCATGCGCACGCCGTCGCTGCCAAACCTCTTTGCAGAAGACTTCAGGTATTCAGCTGGTGTGGTGGTTGAGCGCCTGTGACCCACCCTGAACGCGCAGGTTCTTTCAGGGGGCTCTTGGTGCTTTTCGCGTGCTTGCAGGTCACTCGCCAGGTACTCGCTCTTGTTTCGTCCTGATTTTATGTTTTCCGTATATTGAAGACCCAGATATTGGGACACAAGACATCTGCCACCATCTACGGCAGCGGGCCGCAGAGTATCTGCAGATCGGCGGGATATAGATCGTCAACTCGGCAGGTGTAGTACTCAAAGTTGCTCATCCTGTGTGTTCCACCCACGTCGTGCATGAGAAATCCCTCTGCATCAGAGTCTTTGTGGTAGATCGGCGATGGTATCCCTGAGATACGTTTGCGCTGAGAACTCGCGTGCAAGCGTTGCCGACCTAACAAAGTCCACTGCAAGCCACCGGGCTTTCCGATAAAGTCAGAGATGATTTTGGCGTCGAAGTTGCAAAAAAAACCGTTTCGGCTATCCATCCGAGATGCACCCTGATTGGCAAGAACCACCTCACTTTGTCCAACGTCGCGACCAAACCTGCTTCCAGTCCGTGGGAACGGGCAGGGCCTCGTGGTCCGAACTGTCAGCGCAAGTCTAGGCCTGTGGCTTGCGCAAGAGATGATATTGTGACAAAATCACAGCAAGCCCAAGCCTCTTGCACAGCTCGTACCGGCAAACCCGATCAAGACAGCGCCTCGTCCGCTTATGGCTCCAACCATTGACCGCATCTGTACCAACCGAGTGGGTTTGGGCGCTGTTTAGTCGAAGAAATCGCAGTGGCTTTGTCCGCGTCTGCTGAAATCACGGTGTTCGCGATGTGACTTGCGCAATACCCTGGAGCTCTCAGTGGACCCCATAGATGCAGGGGCTCAAGATACAATCCATCTGTTGCGGTGACCTGCGAAAGATCAGCTCCGCCGAAATAAGTGTATAGGTATCCTGCACCTAGTCGTGCCTGAATCCAGGTCCTTGAATGTCTCAAAGTCCCGGTCGGATCCAAGTCCACCGACGTCTTACCGTTCGCACCAGCAACCAAACTGTCGCAACGACTAACATTGACACTTATCCAAAAGAGCTTAAAGTTTGCTAGGCCATGTTCGCTGCCCCTGAGAGAGCCCTGGGGGAGCTTATTGTTGACATTTGCAGATCTTTGCTCAAAGTGGTCAATCCTCTTCTTCGACCTTGGATACATATATCTCACACCATCTTCATATCCTCACCTCTTGGTTTTCATTCATCACCGTACCAACAAAATTTTCATATTCAGAAGTCAGATAACAACATGAACTTTGTGTATCCCAACACCATGGGTGCCTTCCCTCAACAAGCCTTCTACAACACATCGGCCATGGTCAACAGCCAATGGCTACTCCAACAACCAAAGGATTCGGGCTACGCCAGCGATGACCACGATCTCTTCGAAAAGGCTTTCGAGTCGCAACTCCCCAGCATCCCTCAAGTCTCATCACACCACATGAGCCAACCAACGCCCATGTCCGCCTTCTCAGATTCATCTTCATCAGAGTCCTCAAGCAATGGTAGCCACAGCAGTCCCTTTGAGTATGCAGACTCGCTATGCACACCGTCAAATTATGAGGCCCATTGGAATCCCTACGAGAGTCTCGACTTGAGCGTCAAGAAGCTTTCTATTGATGCTGGCATCACATCCATGACTGGTTACTGCGATATCGATTCGATGCTCACAGCTGCCTACCACAACACAAGTGCTTCTCAACCCAAGCGTTTCAGCGCCTTCTCTCAATCATCACCTCGCTCCTCCACGTCAAACCAACAATCTCATCTCCAACAACAAGACACATCGATCGAAGCTCCTTCATCACCGGCTCTCGGTCGCCCAAGAGGCAACAGACTGGACCACCAGAAGGTTGAGCAAAGATACCGTGCCAATCTATCAGACAACTTTGAACGTCTGCGCAACTCAGTGCCCGAGATCGCCACTATGCAACCTGCAAGAAGCGGACAACCTCCTAAGCCCTCGAAGGCTGAGGTGCTCGCAGCAGCCGCCGAGTACATCAGGCAACTCGAAGAGGAGAACGACATGCTCCGAGAAAGCATGATGAATGCTGCCGCTGGCGAGCTTAGACGGAAAAGAGCCAAGATCGACTGAAGGTCTCTAACGATTGAGTCATGGATATGTAGTGGTATAATGTATATAATCAAAGTGGTGCTTTTGGAGTTGGTGTTCTTACCCTACTGGTGCTGGGCAAGGTGGTTTGGGATGGTCTAGGTCTTTCTCTTCTGTCGATATACCCGTTTGGAGTTTTCTTCAAAAATTTGAGCTTTTCACTGGTCTGATGACACAAAGAATATCTGTCCCGCTTCTTCTTGCTTGTCTTCTTGTTCGTTCCTTCTTGCACTTGGTATTCTTTTGATCTGCGTGTACTATCCTGTTCGATCCCGACAACTCGGTAAGACGGGTTCCTCATATCCAAAGCTTATCGGCGTTGCTGTCTCAGCACGTTGGCTCGGTTACAGGATTCCGTGGTGCTTGCCATTTGTTTCCGTCTTTCCGAGAGTCGATGAAACTGTTTGAAGAACCGTGGCATGAACATGTCTCTCGATAGATCCTTCCCTCTCGCTCCCACGCTTGGTCCTTCCCACTTTTGTGGTTCGGTCGCTGCTTCCGTCTAGTTGAGTTGCTGCTTCCAGCTGTCTGTCTGTGGGGATCCTCTTTGGTTCCTTGTTCCTGGTTCCTGGTTCTAAAAACTTGGAAACGTGTCTTGGGTTTCTCGTGTAGCTGAGTTTAGTCGTGGTCTAGATTGCTATTTCGATCTTGTCAAGAATTTATTTCCAAGTTTTCCTTTGCAGCTCGTATCTCGACACCATCGCTCTCATACGGCCGTACTTTTCTTTTCTCTCGCAGTCAGAACGGGTAGTGAAAAGTGTCTGTTCGGGTTCCTAAATGTTTGGTATCGGCGCTCCAGTCGCCCACTCATCAAGACCCAAAGTCTGTGACTACACTGTGACAGTGTACGCTTTCTAAAGCAGAGCCAGAGTTTCCGTCAATCCAAGACCCTAAGAAGTCGATGAGGTTGGTCTATTGTAGACATGGCTAGGAAGCTGGAAAGCGGTGCAAAGCACTGCATACGCTTTCGGTTACCAGGGAGGCAGAAACAGGACAAGTCCTCACAGTTGATAGTGCTGCGAAGGTTAGAGAGCCTTCCATTGGATCCTGGAATGCATACCGCAGAAAGGGGCGTGACGTGACGGTCGCATGGTACACACCAAATGCCATGAAGTCGGATGTTGGGGTGTTGGTGGCCTATGGCACGATTGGCTGTTGAGAAAAGGTGTGAGAGGCGTCTATGGGTGGACGCGCCGCTGCCTCCACTGCCCTCCAGTAAAATTCTCTGAAGACTGAGTCAGCGACAGATCGACTCGCCACGTCCACCTTCGCGGTCGTCGACGGTGCGGTGGTCAGCACTGATGCCCAGTCTCCAGCTGACTGTGGCCGTATGTGCTTGGAGTGCCGTTTCTGTGGTAAATAACCCAAGACCAAGACACCAGCTATCGTCCAGCATGAGTCTCGGCTATCGAGAGTCGTCATGGGCGCTGAAGTAACGAAGCCTTTCGATACTGTCTAAAGTGACCAGGTCATCAACTACCATACAAGACGAATTCGACTTCCGGAGAGTCAGTTATTCTGCATGCATACGTATTATCACAGACGCATGACAGCTATCAGGAACAGAGTAGAAGTCATTGGAGTGGCGATATATCGACGTTCATCCTGCTACAGAACATTCGTGGGTTGTTATAGCTAGCAATGCTGCTCGATGTCATCCTGAAACAGTTCGTCAACACGCAGATGGGAAAAGAAAAGGCCGGGTTTCACTGCTTATATCCGGCTCTGGGATGCCGGACGCACTAGCAGCCAGCATGTCGTCCATTGTCCAAGTAAATTGATCTGGTTGCTGTTGTGACACCACCGCTTGCTGTTGAGTTGATAGTTGTTGATCCCACATTTCNCTGTTCCATATTTGTCAGTCACATGTATGCTTGAATCTCTGGTTTGTTCTACTTACCCAGTCAATGTCGTTGGAGACGTCTATCATGTTGTCTAAAGCTGAGAGTTCGTTCTGAGCAGTCCATTGGTCTGTTGCTATCCAGTCGTTGTTGATGGGTAGATCAGCGAGCGTTGTCGTCGGCCCCTCAGACATCGACATCTGTTGCCAACCTGCTCCTTGTAGTGATGAAGGTACGACATCTCGAGCCTGGTCTTTNTTGACTTTATCCAGCATGAGTGTCATCGCTTTGCACGCTTTCCTAACCTCTGCCACAGCCGCATTCTCAATGGTCTGGCCTGCTCTGCCCGTCCCAAATACAGGCTCGGAGAAACAGTCATCGTCGCCCGCTTCCTCCCAAACTCGTTTCGAGGCTTCGAGTGCTGCTATCATGTCTTCGCGTGTGGCAATCGCATCGGTTTCTGGGTCAGGCTGTTTGTTGAGCTGGCGTGATAGCTCAAGGCATATGATCATACTTGCCAACAAGAAGTCATACGTTCCGATGGAGCACATATACCAAGAAACGCTCTCGAGCTGTCCACCAGGGCTGGATGCCCGATATATTGTCTGGTGATGTTCAAGGGTCTTCATCGCCGAGCCAATGACAGATATTCGTGAATAGCTTGCTGCAGCTCGGGACGAAGTAGCCACCATAAATCGACGGTGGAGGACTGTCTTGATCTTGAGATAGAGAAGATCAATACTGAAGCGATACATCAATGATTCCGGATCTTCTGTAAGACACAGCTCCATGTCTCTAAATCGCAGTCCTGGGGGAATGGCCGCTCTCTTTGCCTCAAGCTCTGCGTCTAGCGCCATGACTTCAGTGTAAGAGGGCGGTGTCGTTGCATGCGACATGTCTGCTGCCAAAGCAAATACTTGACACAACATAGTTTTGGCAGAGCCATAAGCCGAAGGAGTAAGTTGGTCAGCAGGTCGTGAGGGAGGCAAAGTCTTGCTGTGTACGGAGAAGTCCTGATCATAGAGATTGTGCGGAGGTTGGGTGTCGCTCTGCACTGCACGGAACATAGAAGGTAGACCGAGCTGGAACGATACAAGGGTATCGAACATGTATAGCAAATGCCAAACTCTTCGTCGCATCTCCCCAGCGATCACTGACACATTACTGTAGTGACTCGGATCCCGATGATAACCCATGCGAAGAGCCAACCTGAAGACAACACCCATGATAAGCCAGATATCATTGTAATTGTTCGTCCTGTTGCTTCCAGCATGGAGTATCAAACACTCGACCGTATAAGTCTTCGGTCGCATGTAGTTTCCCAGTACAGCCGCCGACGCCGCCAACTCCTGGTAAAGGTCTGCTTTGTTGAGGGTAGCCCGGACGTCCGGTGTGTCAGGGTTCCTTAGAGCACGTATCCTAAACAGGCTCGCCATGCCGAACATTGCATACAATACACCCAACCATGTGACTGGTGCACTGGCCGGCGATCGCCAGAACTGCCGGTATTCATTCTGAAACTGAGGTGCGTGAATGATTGTCTTGTACGGATGTGGTGACCTGAACCAAAGAGAAACAAGTGCATCTGCTTCAGTCTTGGGTGGTATGTACGATAGTAACTCGGCTTTTGTGACTCGACGAGGGGAGCGCAGAAGTCCCGGTAACTCTTGATCGTAGACATTTAGCGGTTCTTCGTTGCGCCATGCATCAAATTCCTCATCGGAAGCCTCGTCTTCGGGATTCTCTAGGTCTCTCTTTATTTCAGAGATACTGTCCAGAATTGTCGCCCAATGGGACGATCCAACATAGCTATAATTTGGAGGTCAACAATTAGCATGTTTCTCGTGTAAAGAGCAGCGCGCCGCCACAGCAGTCAATGGGTATCCATCGAGAGCCAGGTTTCGGTCAGATTCTGAGCGGAACTGCAACTAGAGACTACTGGCTCGAGTTTTGTTTTTTCGTGCTACGTACCTTGTGCCCTCTTTACTGATGCGCAAATGTCCAAACGATTCTAGTTGTTGTGATGTCTCATGCTGTTGTTGTTCATCCCCACTATAAGGTGGAGTTATCTCAGTGTGAGCAGTATCTGCTCCGGACAAGCCTTGAATCATGTGCTGCGAAGATTCGGATTGAGAGGTGGCGGGAGATTCTCTAGTGCTGGTAGCAATGCTATCTGATCTTCTACTGCTAGTCGTCGTCCCATTACCATCTGATGATCTCGAATTCATCAAGTCGACTACAAGTTTTTCGAGATGCTTGATGCGGCCTTTGACATCTTGTGGGCCCCTTGATTTGGTTGCTGGAGGTAAATAAGAACATGCTGAGTCTTTGCTTCGTTTCGTACACTGGTCGCATGGCGTCGCACGGTTGCATCGCAGTTTGCCCTGACGGCATGCTGTACAGCTGAGTTGCGACCTGGCACGCTTCTGTCTCATATGTGCCTCGTTCGAATCTCTGCTAGACATGATGGCTGTGTCGTGGGCGTTGTCCGAAGGTTCGTGAGTGATCCTGTTCAGGAAGGGCAGGGATGGAAATTGCAGCCTGGCCAAGACTTGTGCGCTCCTTCCGCTAATTGCTCATGGTATAGACCCTTATGAGTTCAGCTGTGGCTATGCTATTGCTGATATTACATCATCTCACTCATGTTGCAACTCTCGCTATTCAACTGGGAGGTGCCTTTGACCACAAGTCTTTGTCTCATCCAGACAGAGCATTCGCCATCGGCTTGGACATGGAAATGGTTGAGAGGACGACCCTGTCTAGAGACGGTTCATCAACCACTCGACGTATCTGCCTTTTCAAGTGGTAAATATCGAACAAGTCTATTCGAGAAGAAGATTATATAGTTTTGAGGGATCTCTGACCGCGGAATCAACCCTGTAGCACTATAATTGTCCGCCATAACCAACCGCTTATGAGACTCTGAATTCATTTCGATATATCTACAAACACAACCGCCTTTTCCCACACTCAACTCATTGAAATGAAACAGGGTTGAAGATGCAACTCGGCTTTATTGTCATACAACTATGGGTATCTGCTACTATCCACATGGCATATACGCCGTGAAAAGTTGGTATAGTCGGTGACTACTGCTTGCCTGCCATCATTCTATCAGCATCATGCCTCCGCTCTCGTACATAGCGATCCAAATCAAACAAACTTACTGTTATCGCCGGAGAAAGTGTTGCTGACAGCATCCTTGGTTTGCTCGAACATGCCCTGACCCTTGTCACCGGCCTTCTGCGAGTCCGACTTCGTGCTGTCGGGCTGCATGGATCCGGCTGCACTATCCATGCCGCCAGATGCCTTGTCCTTGGTCTTGTCCATGGTGGACTTTNNTTGGCTGTCGGGCATGACGGTCTTGGAGACCTTGTCGGTGAAAGATTCGCGTCTGAGCACACGGAGACATTGTTAGAATATAATACATGTCTTGTGAAGGCTTTTGAGAACATACCCCTGATCAGACATGATGGTAGAGTTTCTTGGTGTATGGATTGAGTTTTGCGTGTTTGAATGAAGAGTATGAGATTGGTGTTCTTCTTGAACTAACCTACCAAGAGTCTGCTTTATATATCGCCAGAAGAGGGGTTCGTGTAGACGTACAGTGAAACGAGGGAGAGCTCTCTCACCTCACACCCCTCTTTCTCGACCACCAACGTCATTTGGGTCTGGTGGTGTTATCTCCTTCGCTATTCAGCCTTGGAAGAATGTCCTACATGACCCTTGTGATCAGCTTGTGATTGGCTTTGTTGATAGCAGGCTCCATAGAGTTGTAGCATGTGGTTGGAATAAGGGCCAAGTCTCATCAACGGATACTCGAGTCGCTCGACAGCAAACCGGTGGGTGCGTGATGAGAAGCGTCACACTGGTAGAGGGGGTTTGACTCCTTGTCAAATGACAGGCATATATTGCATCTGAGCTTCATTCAACCCATATCCTAGGGATTGGTGGGTTCATGAACGTGGTGAGCATGCAGGGTACTTGACTTAAATGGTATGACGTGGAGCGGACATGCTGTGAGCGTACAACAGAGGAGTCTGGTCCGTTCCACTCGCTCCGCCCTGGCCATATCGCGACGCGGTCGTGAACCACCGGATCTCTTACCATCTTGACCACCTACCGTCATTGCAGCCAGCCGACTACCATATGATGCACCCTTCTTCTGGTGCTATTGCTCCCTGACACAATATTGTTGTTCCAGCCTATTGATTGCGGGGCTCACTATCGCTTGTTCTCTTGGTCGTTCTCGCTCTCCATCTTGCAATCGCCGATTTCGTCCACAGGGCCTGTAATATCAAGCACAGGCGCGCCTTATGTTGCGCCTCCGACCATAGCCGTCCGGCAGGCGCTTACCTGGCGAGCGTGTGGCATCGCATCCGACTCGTTATACTTTGACGCTCCAACTCGTGCTCGGTGTTACTCGTCTGTCGTGTTTCAAGTCATGAACTTGTCTTGGAGCAAATCGCAATTGGCAAAGAAGACCAGCATGGCCCCACCTTTCAAGACGTAGTCGAGAGGCAGCCGGAGATGACGGTCAGCAAGATGCAGCGTTTGGAGCTCGCACTCCACACAACGGTCGCGCGCCCCGATGACGCAGATCTGCGGTTTCGCTCTCGCGTCTTTTTATAACGTGGGTAGCAAAGTGTCACAAACCCCGTAGTTGCGCACCCAGCGCCCCTGGCGTTTTCCCTCAAGAGTGGCTGTGAAAAGGCAAAATCGGAAGGAGGAGGAGAGGGCTTTCCGGGCTGGACGTCATTGGGCGAAGATGTTCAGAATGGATTGCAACGTTTCATTGTCTTGTCCCTTTCACATTCTTGCAAGTCGAAATCCATTTCACTTCTCCACCTCTCTCCTCCACTTAGCGTAAGGAGCGTTGCCTTCCTTTGCGTGCCTATATCAAGGTACTATTATAGAATTTCCGGACCTTCCAAGTTATGTTACAATATATGACTTTGAATGAGGAACAAGGCTGCAGTGCGTAATCTCCCCTCTCGATTCGCTAAGCATCACGATCTGATCCGAGCTTCTCCACAATATCATGTGTCGAGCGAGAAAGGTTCAATCCATGATTCGGATCGACTCACGTTCAGCGACGGTCATGCAGTCGGCATGCAATGGACCTACACCCGGATCTTCAATTGCGCACGCGGCGCGCCAGACATCCTTTATCCGTTCGCCAACCAGCAAGCTCGGACGACATCCAGGTCGAAGCAGTGCAGCGTTAGTGTTTCTTGTTGCCAACAGCGCCGCAGGAGGAACGACTGTCATGTCTCGAAGACCAGCCAATGGCGCATCTGGCCCCTCCTTCCTTGCGCTTAAAATCGTCGAATGGTGGACGACAACTCGACCAACAACACCACCTCTCCTGACGAATTTCATGATCGCTGCTGCAGGCGTTGGGATCATTGTCGTCCATGTCTGCGGTGCGTGTGATCAACGGACTCCCACCCACGGGGAATGCCATATTCCAAAAGGTTAGCAGGTCATGCCTAGTAGGTACTCTAGTATGCAGTGTTGACGGAGGAATCCTATTACCGATCTGATAATTGTGGGCTCTCACACATTTTCGTTGCGCATACGTGTCGAGTCGAAATGATGCACCTCGATCATCTCTGACGATTACTGATCATAATAACGTTAATACTGCGTGTGATAATACTGAGATCCTGCCCTTGCCTTTAGGCTGGCTCCTTCCTTCCTTCCTTCAAACTGATTCGCAGCCCGCGCTAGAGATCTCCTCAGAGAAGCACACCATCTGGTTTGGCACGCTCCAGAGACGGGATTGTGGTCCGTGGAAAGCAAGTTGTAGAGTGGTGCACCAATGTTGATCTTAATCGTTAGCATGGCAGTTGTGGCGTCCAATGGCAAACCTTAGAGACGGCTCCACATTATCTGGGTCGGAATGGGAAAGTGGTCGCACTGGCGTAGGGTTGAGATGTTGCGAAAGGGAGCAAAACCGTCAGCCAACAACACAGGAGAGTGAGAACCCTAAGAAAGAGGGAAAGGGAAGACCGAAAATAATGAGCGAACAAGATGTCCTCTTGTATTCCTGAAAAAGGCAAAATACTGTATGTGCATTGCAACCACCACCATAAGCAACTCTCCTGGCTATTAAACAATCTCATTGAATACCATAACTCCGGTTCTTCTCTTCGAAGCCAACCCCCATGTCGTGTGCTGTCGATACATATTGAAACGCCTGATAAAGTACATAGCCCACCTCCGATTTTATACACCACCGGAAGCGCCAAAACTGTGATACCAGAGAAAGAAAGAATCCGTTAAAAGGTTGAAAGTAAGGGTGTGTGAAAGGTTATTGAGAACAAATCTCGTAAGAGCAAAGTGCAATCTCGCTAAGGTCTTTTGGCATATGCGCCTCCCGGGGCCTGAGACATGGGATGTTGATGCTGATGGTGTAGATCGTGCTCTGTCAAAGCCGGCCCTAGCTGTTGAGGGTGGTACCATTGTGTGGGCAGAGAATCGTGTCTAGATGAATAGTCCAAGCCCATGGGGGGCTGGTGTTGTTGGTAGAAACCCCACTGAGGAGGATACATGCCGATTGGAGGCATGGTGGACTCGCTAGTTACAGGTGTCGATAAGGAAGCTTCCGAAATGGTGCCAACCGGTGGTGCTCCAGTGTCGAGTGGTGTAAGGTTGTAATGCGAAGAGCCTGGTCTGGTGTATTCGATTGGGGTGGCCGCTGGCGCAAAGCTTTGTAACTGAGGTTCGATGTGGCCGTACGACATGGAACGCATCGGAGGCTGCTGAAGAGCATATTCATCTCTTTGCTGTGGGAACGCGAATGACGGATATACGTTAGGGCTGTGTTCGGCCGTGGTCGAGTAGTTTGAGTAGTCGCCCATCTGCGAAGAATTCCAGTGCACAGGGGTTGGGGGCTCAGTCCCTGACATGTCACCTGCAAAGATGGCGGGATACCCTGGACGAGCAAATGCGAACTCGGATGCGACTGGTGCTGGAGAATTGGTCAGTACAGAGCCTGTAAACTTGCCACGGGTTGTCTTACTGCCTGTGGAAATGCCCAGTCCAGTACTAGGATCGACTGAGCCGTATTCTGGAGGCGCGTTTGATGCAAGATGAGGGAAACGACTCATCTCATGATCGTGCTCGAGCTTTGGGCCTGTAGGATGCATCTCTGATGGCGAGTTGGAGATGACGGAAGAGTCCTTGGACCCTTTTGTTTGCGCGCGACTCTCTGGACCACCGGCCGAATCGACAGGGTAGAAAACGCACTCTTTCTTCAGACGGATGCAGTTGTTGCACCTGCCCATGTCGTCGGCTTCCGCTAGGACACATCGAATCTTTCTGCGTCTGCAATGTGCNTAGTGATCGTCAGTATGTACAACCCTGAACCGCTACTGATGCAACATTTACTCACAGCAAGCAATCGATATGCGCTGGTAACCCAGTTTGTTCCTTCTCTTGTCAAGAGCGCTGGGCGATAAACCTCCCGACTCTTGAACGGAGAGCCCATTCAATTGGGGAGTTGACGATGCGCGTTTGAGTATAGGGCTCATTTTGACCTTCGAGTTCTTTCTTTTCTTCGCAACCCCGGCAGAAGATGAGTGTGGTAGATTTGGTGTATGATAGTAACTCGCTGAAGGCGCAGAGTCTGTAGGTGATCTTGATTCGAACTCGGAGGGGGCGTCTTGTATGTCGATTTCCGGCATGTCTGTGTTTTCTGGCAAGAAGTTCGAGGTGACACAAGGTCTAACGACCTGGCGAAAGCGGACCAGCGGATCAATAGACCCTGTAATGGCAATGGATGAGCCCAAGTGAGGAATACTGCACAGCTCGATATCAAAGGCTTTAACAGGCGCCGGCCATTACTCAGGAAAAGAAAAAGGAATCGATTGGATGGACGCGGCTATTCAAAGATTTCCAGTCCCTTGATAAAAGATGCGCAGTGACACCAAGACCACAGATGCGGTGTTAGATCCGATGCAAGGATGGAGACCTTTGTGTGTACGCGTAGGATGCGAGTTGATATGACGATGGAAAGGTGACAAGGTTGGATCCGTATGAGAAGCAGGTGGCTTGTTGTCCGGGATTATCAGTTCGCAGATCAGCGAGGAAGCAGTAACGAACGAGTGAATGAAAGCGAGTACAAGAGGAAGTTCAAGAGGAAAAGAAGGCTACCGATGGACTACAGGTTCTAGAGAGAGCAGGCTCGGGCCTTGACACGGAGTTACCGATTCCTGGGGCAGAGACCCACGCCTTCTGGATGCAGTAGAAGAGTCGGTTACGAGATTGGCCGTTGCTAAGGTGGCAAATGCCCTTGACTTGTTGCATTTTTGGTTCCAATCCTTGCATTGGGCTGGGCATGATGGATGGTGGCTGTTCTGCCCAGTTCAACGGCGGAAATGTCACTCATGATCCATGCCTGGCTCTTGCGCTAATCGTGCTCGGACCCGCTGATGTACGTGGTATCAAAGGAGCGCCTTCTAGACCTGGAAAGCACATGGCCAATCTGCCGAGGCTTTCGTCTTGCATCTCTCCTGGCTGCTGTACGTAGTACGCACGGCACTTTCCTGCCAGGCGCGCGCGCTGCGAGAGCGACTTGGATATCCACAACGACAGGCGCCTCCGCGCATAGCCTGCTCGANCTCCTCAGAGCTCCTCCTCCGAGATGGGGGCTTGGTATTGTAAGCAACAATGCATTGCTGATCACTCTCCTTCTTGCACTCAGCATTTCACATAGCCTAAACAGATCGTTAGGCCACTCACGGCGCCACGTTATTTGGCAGAATCTGCCTGGTTGAGAANNAGGATTGTCAGTGTCATGGAGTTTGGCGTTGTCATCTCCGCTGGCCATCATCACCAACTGCGCCGCGTATCACTTCTCGTAGTGCTGTTTCATAACGACCTTCCGAATGCGTGGCCAACGAGTGTCGCTCAGTTGTCATCGATGACGCAGGATATTGTGCCAAAGGTTCGCGCGCTTGCTTGCAGGAAACAGCGTTGAACCCGATTAGCTCCAGGACCGCGCGCCACACTGGCCCCACCGCTTGTTTTGCGGCTCTAGTGGGGAGCTGGCAGATCCAGCAGAAGATGTGCATACGATCAAGTGGATGACTAAAGAATCCACCGTCGAGTCTTGCGACGACGCTCTTCGAACAGGAATTTCGTCTCAGAGCTACCACTCATTTGCACCTGGAGCATCGGTCCGTGTATCATGCCCAATCTTGCTGCTTCTCAAATCAAGCCGCCAGGGTCGAAAGGCGTAGTCCAAGACCAACCTCGACATTCAGCCACGCAAAAGGCGTTTGAACGATCCAACAGCTGTGGTACCGAGCGGGATCCCCAGTGCCACGTTTTAGTTGCCGGCCATTGGCGCAGGCATTAGAAGAAATGAACATCTCCTTCCTGGTGTTTGGACAAGACCTTCCACTCGTGTTTGTTCGTTGTGACAGGCTGTCGAGTTCTCCGCAAGCTCAGAACAGCTTGAACTTGAGGCCGCTATGGAAGAGTAGATGCGTGGTTGACACTATTGGTTTCACTGCGCCGGTCGAACTTCCATACGAAGAGTTCCAAAAGTCGCATAAGATAGCCACTTCTACCTAGTGGAGCGAACCTACGCCGAACAGAACCCACCTCGAACGTGACGATCAATACGTGCTTCGCCTCCCCGAGAGTCTATCACCACGTGAGATGCCGACTCCAGCACGTTGCAATTGATTGTCAGTCAGTCGTATGCTCTATTGCAGCTTGCCCTCATCCGGAACGTGCGACTGTTGCGTGCTCGTATGCAACGATCCGAACTTTGGATCAGAAGTTCAAGCAAGTACGTAGGCGTTCTATTGAAGTAACCATGCATTGTCGTGTCTCAAGTTGCTCGCATGTCTTCGTCTACTCAGCTCGTATAATCATCTTACTTTGTAGATGAATCGTGCTTGCGAATTCGATTTCGAGCTGATTGACGTCTGCTCACAGACTCAAAGCTGAAAGGCTCCTAGGCCTCCCTCTTTTTATCGCTACTAGCAGCGCTGCTTGGTAATGCTTGTGATGGTTTGCGAAGAGGATGCAATCTCGCCTGCGTCGAGGAATTCAGGCCCTAAACTTCGCGTCCGATAACAAGCGAGATATCTGCCTTGCACGCGACCTTTTGGCTGTCCACTAGGTAATTTGTTTTGTTTGCTTTGCAGGCGAGAGGACTGACGAGACTCACATGGAAGACGCACCTTGTAGAATCATATTGTCTGGACTCAGGCCCAGAAAGAACTTAACATCACTCTGTCTCAGATTCCGCCGTCGACAATTCGCCGATTTTTTCTTCCATTTTTTCTTCTCTCGCGACTGTTTTTCACCTCTTTTTCTCTTTTTTTCTTCTCCTTTTTCGTGTTATTTTTTCTCTTTTTGGACATGCGATATCTCATCACCTCCATTCACCTCTTCACCTGGGGCTATGCCGCAAGAAGATGCGCCATCTACAAGACAATGCAGTCTCAATGGAGAGCCGTCGCCCTAAGAGCTCTCGGGGTGGCCTTTTGATCTGTTCCTCAGGAGAGTGGTGCCATGCTACAGCACGCACATGACTGACTTCTCAGATACGCAGAGGTTTCCGCTCGTTCTTTTTCCTTTGTTTGTTCAGTTTCCCGCCCCTCATTCGTCTCCACGCCAAGACGTTGCGACCCTTCCATCTCGCCCTCTCTCCCCTGGCAATTTCGCAAAAATGTAGTTGATTTCGCTGCTGCTATGGCAGGGCTTGCTTCCTGATCGTTTTGAGGACTTCTCTCCTTCGCTATCGCGTAGCGACGAATCCTTTATGTAAGTTAGACGGATAGCTGCCGAAGTCGGAAACATACAGAGCCGGCGGTACTGAACTTCTAGTATCTCCGAGCCTACCCCACATGAACGCGCCGCCGCTATCTTGCCAAGGTGGTCACATGGAGGCAGGGGAGCGCGTTTGGGCGTCTCGTACGAGCAACTGGCGACTGTTGGCATGTTTCTGAGCAAAATGTTGTTCAGATGCCTGGTTGAAAGCGCTTCAGATTTCTTCACATGGATAGTCGGTGACTGCCCAGAGATGATAAGGACTTGCATGAGCTTTCCAAAACCTCTGAGATTGGTTAATCAGCCCGTAATCTTCCTTCATGGGCCAACGTTCTAGATAACATGCAGCTGAGGGTTAAGATAGCGTCGTCAGTCTGACCAATGGCGGCGCTGATGATGCAACGCCAGGTCTTGTCCTAGGCCTTTTTATCTCTTGGGCTCCGCATTTTCCGTGCGGGGTATCTATGCCTGTATCTCGAGGGAACATTGTCCAGGAAAAGAACAATCAACCCCTTCCCATAGCATGTCCTATTGCCTCTTCTTCAATTAACCCTTTCGAGTGTACATCATCGAACATGGCGGACACAATCACCATTCCATCGCCGTCTGTCTTTCTCCGCGCCTCGCCGGACCCTGTTCCTCGGCTCGATACCAATCAACAGGTACTCGACGACGAGCAAAACAAGACGGCTACCACCAAGAAGCGAAACACCACAAGGAAAAAGTCTGTTGCAGCAACAACCAAACCTCGTCGTGACGGTGCCGCTGTAGCCAAGCCCAAGCAGTCAAAGAGTCGTAATGGTAGGCTGCCACCTGCATCGCTGATGCCGATGATTCTCACCTTTTCTTGGTCCCTGTACTGAAGCAAATTAATGTTCANNGGCTGTGTCACTTGCAAAGCGAAACGCCTAAAATGCGATGAGAAGAAACCTGGTTGCGAGCAATGCAAGAAGCGAAACGTGGACTGTGGAGGTTACAAGAAGGACTTCAAGTGGAGGCCCTTCGAAGAGACCAACGTCGCCACGAACATTGCTAAACAAAACAATGGATGTGAGTATCCGAGCAGAGGGACTCGATATCTCATGGTGTCGAGACCTTACAACTTACTTTCTCTGTCGTCTATGCAGATCATTGTGGCTAACGCATGTCTCCTGCAGNCTTTGATCGTGCTGGGTAGTGCAGCTGACGGTTCCGGAAAACGAAGCCCGGCATCACCTCCAGCCAGAGCACCGTCATCAGAAGCACCTGCTCCGCTGTCTTCCTCGTTCGCACAGCAGCTGTTCGTGCCTGCTGCTGCATCACAGACCGTCCCACGTGCAACCTCTACCGAGAAAGAACGTTCGGCTCCAACTTCGTCAAGGACCTCACCTGCTGAAGTACAAGCCGAGCAAGCTGCATCTCCCACAGACTCTGCCAACGACGCAGGAACATCATCTCAAGGATCACCTCACGACAATCCCCTTATCGACGGTGCCCTAAAAGAGAATGATATGACAATGGTGCCTGGCACCAAGGAAGTCTTTGACTTCGACATGCACTTCCTGGATCAGTTCCTGAACATGACGGACCCTCCGCTCATGGAAGACATGGAGATGGACTTCAAGGGTGTTGAAGAACTTACCCCGATCGTGCCAGATTACGACGCCTGGGCCTTGCAGCTTTCTCATTGCCCGACGTTCCAAGACGACAACACCAGCATGCCGAGTCCACCAGCCATGGTGTTCCCTCAAAGAATTACTTACATGTACGAGCAGCCTTCACTCGCACAAACTAGTCCAGAAATGTTGATGCTTCGGTTCGATCGACTGACCTGTGGCATTCTGTCGATCAAGGACGGACCGAACGAGAACCCATGGCGTACATTGATTTGGCCGATGGCTCAGACTTCACCAGCGCTGTACCATGCCGTCTCCTCGATGACCGCGTTTCACTCCTCTCGTGACATTCCCGCTCTACGTGTAGCAGGACATGAACACAAGAGTGAGAGTGTGCGAAACTTGCTTGAAGGTATCGAGGAGAGTACCATGAACCTTGATACAGCCATCGCTACCACGCTAGCACTGGCCTTTGCAGAAACATGGGACCAGCACCTGTCGAGTGGCAATGACCATATCCAAGGTGCCCGCGCCATGATTAACATCGCCTTGAACCAGCACAAGCAGTCAGCATTGACAGGTTTGAATCTTGCCCGACTCAAGTTCCTTGCCAATGCCTGGATCTACCTGGATGTCCTCTCTCGCGTGACTACCGCAGACGAGGACACTTCTGATGACTATGACAATCTTTATTGCCTTTACAGCACACCAGACAGTCCCCAGATTGGCCCTTCGGGTCACGCAGGTTTCGGTATAGACTTCGGTCTGCCAATCGACTCCAACCTTGACCCTTTGATGGGTTGTGCAAGCACTCTCTTCCCATTGATTGGTCGTACAGCGAACTTGATTCGTCGTGTGTATCGCGCCGAGTCAAACTCGCCTCCCATGATCAGCCAAGCCATGGAACTCAAGCTCATGCTCGAGACTTGGGAACCACCAGCTTTCGTTGAGCCGCCGGAAGATCCTACATGTGACGTTCGCCATGCATTGCAAACGGCAGAGGCATATCGCTGGGCTACACTCTTGTACCTGCACCAAGCACTTCCAGAGATTCCTGAACGCCTTACAACGGCAGACATGGCAAAGAAAGTGCTTGTGTTTTTGGCCACCGTGCCTCTCGCCAGTCGCTGTGTCATCATCCACGTCTACCCTCTGTTCATGGCCGGCTGCGAAGCCGACGTAGAAGAGGATAGACAATGGATCAAGAGCCGCTGGGCCGCCATGTCACAACGCATGAGGATCGGCATCATTGACAAGTGCGTCGATGTCACGGAAGAGGTTTGGCGCAGAAGGGACGAGTACAAGAACAAAGTCTTGCCCAACAAAGTCGTGCCCGTGAGACGGAATCTGGCTGCAACTGCAGCAGAGTTGCATTCATCCGTAGGCAACAACAGACCGGCGTCAAACAGACGTGGTTCATCGTTCAACAGCATTGCAGGCGCAAGCGAGGGCACTATGGCTTGGGCGGACAAACTGCGGCGAATGACTGTAACAAGTCCGGATCAGATGGATTCAGCGTCCATCTCGTGTCGAGGATCTCGTGACGCAGTGAACGGAGCGACAGGCACGCTGCTCACAGTGCGTGGAAGGCTGCATTGGATTGGAGTGATGAAAGATTGGGGTTGGGAAGGTAAGTTCCCTTGCAACAAGAATCCGAGTTTTCGCATGAGCTGACCATTTTCGTAGTGTTGCTTGGATGATGATGATAATGATGTTGCATGGATTGAGGTTGCTTGGACGGGAGTTGCATAAGACGGCCGCCTAGGAAAATTGTCGCTTGGAAAGTTCGCAACCACAAAATAGTTGCTTGGCAGATGTTGCTCGATAATGGTGGGTGGGTGCTTGGTGGAGTCTGCTAGTCTTTTGCATGTTGCCTCTCAGGTGAACAACGTTGTAGAGTGCATAACGAAGGGTTTTCAAAAGCATTGTCGATGAGTTGCGATGTGTTTTGATTGAGCAATGTTGCTTGGTTCGGTGTTGCTCTGGTAGGCATCGAAGATGTTGCTTAAGGATGTCGTATAAATGTCGCAGAGGTTTTGTCGCAGAGGAAAGATAGCCGGATGGTCGTGCCGAGATGATATCGCATCAATCCATTTACTCAGGCAATACTGCAGGGACCCTGTTGTAATGTTGCTTGGACAAAATGTTGATAATGTTTTGATGCCAGGAAGTGTCGCTCAGGAGATGCCGCTAAGGCGTCGCTAAGGAGATGTCGCTAGGAAGTGTCGAAAGGGTCGCTCTGGAAATAGCAGGATAGGTCGCTCAGGAGATACTGCTTTGGTTAATATATTCAGGCTTTTGGATCTTGTCGCTCAGGAAGTGTCGCTTTGGTTTCTTTCTGTCGGAGCATGAAGATGGAAGTATCTTTCACACACATGGCTGCTGCTTTGGAGTGTTGTGGTCGTTTGTCGAACACCGATTCTGATTATCATAACATGACAATGGATAACTCGGAGCTTGTGAAAGGAATCAAGGGAAGATGTTTTGATTTTGTCTCTCTCTCTCTCTCTCTCTCTCTCTCTCTCTTTGCAGCTTTGTCGGGATTGTGGGTTTTCAGATCAACGTACACTTTTGTCTTCTCTTCTGTGGGAGGGTTTTGTTTTCGATGGACCATGTTCTGCTTTCTGCGAGCTCCAAAAGGAAGGGCAGGCCTCGGGTGAGCTGGGGGAGACGGAGCGTTTTAATCAAGAGGCTTCGGACGCACGCCTCGGGCAACATGGCTTGGCACGCCCGCACGCCATAGCGGGGTTCGCATGACTCTCTGGACAGACCTTCTGGTTTCGGACACGTCTGCCGTCCTTTCTCCACCACCGCGGGACAACAGGCGGGGGTCTGCCCTGGCTCTTTACAGCTTATCTGCATGTCTATCACGGCATGGCAGTGTGCTCTTTGGGGTATCCGGTCCTCTATCAGTTCTGTGGGGTGTCATACTCTTGACCTCAAAAGACTTGCCAACTACAGTGTCTTCTAGATAGTCTTATGTAAGGTGATAGCATGATTGTTTCCACCACCTTTGTGCCACATACGACATGGCGTCGCCGCTTGCAACAAAGCACTTTGCGAACGCTGAGGAAGAGCGCAAGCCTCGGCTCCTTGCAAACCAGAATTCTTTGCTTAGCGATATACAGCAGCGATCAGAGCAATACCAAGCAATTCATCAGCTGCGGCTTCCACGGAGTACAGGCTTGGAAAGGGAACATTTTCCGTTCAATGCCCAGTCGTGACAAATTCAATTGACATATAGTCTTGGTGCCAGAAAGGAAGGTGCTACGATAGTTGAGTAATACATATAGTAATGGAAGCATGTCCTGGAATGAACACACCCGCGACGATAGCTCTGAATCTCATGGGTCAAGCTACACGCTTCAGATGACATACACAGGTGGGTGCACCTTGATGGCCCATGGTTGTGCAGCTGGTGAGAAATCAGTGACGGAAGCTTCAAACAAGGCAAACAGTGGACAGCTCCATCTTCCAACCCGCGTCAGAATTTCAGATCTGCCATCATCCGTCAATTGAAGACTTTCATCTTCACATAAACAACCCATCTCTCGCACCTCTACCAAACCCCCTCAATACCGGGACCGTCTCACTCCACCATCAATTCAACCAGAACCCTAAGCTCGTAACAAGACCAAAAATGCCCAAAGAACGCAACATCAACCCCGTCGCAGCCCAGCACAAAGCAGACAAAAAACAAGCCCTCAAAAAATCAAAAGCAACCGTCCAAGCCCAGCGCAACGAGAAGCTCGCCCGCCGCAACCCCGAACGCCTCCAACGCCAAATCGACGACCTGAAGTCTCTAGCCTCAACCCAGCAACTGCGCCCCAAAGACAAAGCCACCCTTGACCAACTAGAAAAAGACTTGCGCGCTGTGAAAAAGGCGAGGGATGTGTTGGGAGAAAAGGCGCCAGAGTTTAGACCGAGGAGAGAGGATAGGGAAGGAGGTCAAGGGCATGAAGGCAGGAAGAGAAGAAGACAGGATGAGGATGAAGATGAGACGGACGAGGATGTGAGAAAGATTCCAATGCCGAGGGATACACCACCGCCAATCCCACGCAGAACCCAGCCGCATCAGTTGCCGAACAAACCTGCTGTTGCTCCCGTGCCCGCGCAAACGACATATAGTTCTGCACCTGTATTGCGCAACCTCAAGGAAGAGTCGAAACGATTCGTGCCTGCTGCAGTAGCGCAGAACATCGCGAGACAAAAGGGACAGGGAGGCCGATTACTCGAGCCCGAAGAAGCGGACAAGCTTGAGAAGGCTGGGTACAATGACGCACGCAAGATTGCCGATGAGATGGAGAAAGAGGCCGAGTTTGACATGATGAGCCGAGGGGAGAGTGGAGGGCAAGCAGCCGAGAGGGCATTGAGGCATGTCGAGATGGAGGAAGTCGAAGACGAGGGCATTTGATGCAAGACAAAAATTCACGACATTCATGACACGATGAATGGGAAACTGTTCATGATTCATCTACTACGACTACTGTATTCGTCGACAGCACTTCATAGCTTGGGTGCGTTGGATGAGGTCCTGTGGATGAGCGGTCAGCACAAGTGTTTTTCTCAAGTTTGCAACATGACCAGTGTTTTGCTTACCAACACGGAGCATCCATCTCACTTGAGTAATAAGAGAGGCACTTACATGTGCTCATGAAAGAAGTTGAGCAAGACGCCGTAAGCATCCATGTAGTTCTTCTTGACATTCTCGTCTTCGAGGTCGGCACTGTGAAATCGGTTAGTATATCCTCCTCCCTCAAGACATGACTAGATGCAAACTCACCGAGCAGCCATAAACCCGTGAACCTGGTCGTTGTACCACTTGACGAGGTGCTTGGTCTTGACACCCTGCTCCCACTTCTCGACAGCCTCCTTATCCTCATCCTTGCTGGGCAGCATGGCAATAGGAATGCTGATGCCAGCAGCATCATTGGGGTCAACCATGGCAGGGTGGCATGCAGCAGCAGCCTTGAACACAGTATCCTTCTGCGAAGACAAGTTCACAATCTTGCCGCCCCAGCAGAAACCGACAATACCAAACGAGGTGATGTTCTTGTTCTGGCTCTTGATCTCGTCAATGACCTTGGGGATGCGACTAACGGTCTTGGGTGGTGCGCCGGTGGTCTCGAAGAACTTTCCGAGACGCTCGCCCTTTTCCTTNCTGTCATGGTTGTCAGTCATCTGGTGTTTGAAGCTAGATCTAGGGAGCAGGCATACAGTGTCAGGAGGGTAGTCGCTAATGTCGACGGGCTTGCCCTCGAAGAAGTCGGGCATGAAGACTTGGTACTGGTTCTCCTTGTCGCTGGTTGCGAGGATATCAGCTCCCTGGATGGTCTGATCCTTGAAGCCAAAAATGTCGTAGATGACGAGGAGAGCCTTCTTTGCATCTTTAGAGCCAGTAACGTAGGTCTTCATGCCATCAATGGTTGTGTAGGAGCCCTTGGCGTCATAGCCCTTGCTAATGACAGGAGGAACGGTACAACAAGCGTGAGACTGCATTGTGGATTTGTATCTGATGGGGTTGGTATGTCTTGTGGAGCGGAAGAAGAAGTGAGTCGAGACGGGTTTGAAGCACAGAGAGGGAGATGTAACGGGCAAGCGCATTTCTCTTTGCCCAATCGATGATCTAGCTCGACAAACTCCACACCGAGGAATCGAGAGCTGCTCGAGGTGGGGTATACAACGCGTCATGGTCCGTCACAGCCCGCACATCAAGACCGATATCTCCGTGCCATCTGTATGACCCTGGTCATTGGATTTCCCAACATCTGACCACTGCCAGTATCGACAGCGATTAGCCTGTATATGTGTCTAGCATAAAATGTTGTTCTCTTAAATGCCGCACTCTTACACAGAATACCGTGCGTCTTCACAGCTCCAGTATGCCAGGCTCAAGCACAAGTAGATGCAGGAATGTTTATACTTGTTGGTGAGAAACAAAGTCTGGTAAAATAGAGGTAGAAATATTCGTGATTATATATCTGTGCTTTTGACAATATTCGTAACATCGTAAACATTATCAGTCATTAGTTCCCTTCACACATTCCACCTCCTTCATGTCACAATCAAGCCGTTCTTGCTGGTGGCCAGGATGTCGCTCCACGACACATCTAGAGAACCAGTATCGTCTCTTGCAGCCCACACCTTTGTGGCCACATCAGCGGCCACAAACAGGCTGCCTACGCCAGATTGCTGGCCAGCTCTGTACATGAATGCCGAGATCTGCTCGCGATGAACAGGATCCAGCGCCTCGCAAGCTGCAATGAAGCCAGGCCAAGCGACATAGGCAGATGTGTCGCCGTACATGTTCTTCTTCTTTTCGTGCTCCAAGAGGTGGTGGATTGTTTTGCCGACATAGTGTTGCAGAGCAGTTGCATTTGTGTCCTTGACCCGGCGGTAGAAATAGATGATCAGGGCACAGTGCATGGCTTCCAGAAAGTTGAAGAGTAGGTCGGTTCGCACCTCGATCTTGTTAGACTGTTCTGCTGGTCCATATACAATCAAGGTTTGCTTCTCGGCCAGTAGTTTGTACGGGTTCTTCCACTCGCAAATCTTGCTTTCGATGAGTTTGGCTCTGTGAGCAAGGTCCTCAGACATGCCGCTGAGGTAGGTGGAGCGGCTTCGACGGACCTCATCGGCCAGGTGAGTAGCGTGCGAGATCAGGCGGAAGAGTG